TGACTTGAAAAATGGTTGCTTTTGGAGCCTACACTAATGTAAAAATAACTGGCTGGAGGAAAGCGATGTCGCTGGCGGGACATTCGCGACATTCGCGACATCGCTGCTTTTTAGCGTGAAGGAAATATTCAAATTTATTCTTGAAAGTTCAGAATGATACAACGGCATGAAAAAGGGTTGCTTTTGGAGCCTGCACTAAAAATAACTGCCATGATGGAAGCGATATCGCTAGCGGTACATTGGCGATATCGCAAGAGTGCTGCATTGTACTCGAGACCGCGCAATTTTGAAATTTTGTAACTTTTATTTTGAGTGCTTGAGAAACGCGATGTCGCGACTAGAAAAATGCAAGACACGCGCGAGGACAGAGCGACATTTTTGCGATATCGCTTCTCTATCGCGCCAGACTAGTCGAAATATTTGTGATAATTTTGCAGCTATCTCTTTTGATAATCATAAAAAGCACAAATTTTGAAACTTCAGATTGTTGGAATCTAAAAATAACTGCCGTGATGAAAGCGATGTCGCTAGCGGTACTTTGGCGACATCGCAAGAGTGCTGCTTTATAGCCGCGACTGTCTTGCATTTTCTTGGCGTTTTATTTTTTGAACTTTTATTTTGAGTGCTTGAGAAATGCGAGACCCGCGCGAGGACAGAGCGGCATTTTTGCGATATCGCATTTCTATCGCACCGGATTAGTCGAAATATTTGCGATTCTTTTGCAGCTATCTCCATTTCTTTCATAAAAAAATACCATATTTGGGAGTTATTTGATGTAAATTAATCGATTTTTTTAAACGAGGAAAAATTTGAAAAAAAGCCAAAAAAATTTGTATTGGCGCCAAAAACGCGTCGCGACAGCGTTGCATGAAAACTTCGAAAAATCGGGAGACATATAATAAATTGGAAGTGAGTTTATTTAGTTTAATTGAAATTTTCAAGGGATATCATTGAAATTTTGATTTTTTTACGGATTTCGAGGGAAAAAAATCAAGTCTTTTTCCGAATTTTTTTAGCTTTTTAGATCCATTTTTTTGAACGGTTCTGATGATCAAATCCACCATTTTAAATTAATTTTCAAGAGAAAATCGACTTTCAAAAACTCACTGATCTTCCAAGATCCTTCTAATTCAAGAAAAGGACAAGATTTCGAGAAAAAAAAGAAGAAAAAGCGAGGAAAATCTCGGGAGCTTATAGATTTCCTTTGCAAATTCAATCTGCATGCAAATGAGATCTGTCCGCTGGGGAGGGCAATGGAAACAATTGGCAAGTCTACTCGTCAGATTTATGCGGTCCGCCTAAGGATCCATTATGGAGCCTGGAAGGCCAGGGAAATCTCGTTAAAGTCAATTAATTCGGCTTCAATTAGCTAATTTCGAAGAAAGGCCTTCATATATGTAGATAATGTCCTTGGAAACCTAATTTTTTTGAAAAGAAAAATACTTTTGGGAGGTAAAGAAGATATTTATCGAGGTCCTTAAGAGATCCCTTCAAGCTTGAAAACAACTTAAAAATCCATTATGGCCTAGAATCCGAAGAAAACCTCATTAACTTTAATTAAACATTCCAATTTTTTTGAAAAAAATAGCTGATTCTAATGATAATTTCCTGAAAAAAATCCTAATTTTTTTACAACAATTTCTTCTTTTTTTCAAAGGTATAAGATCAAAAAAATAACATTTAAAAAACTTTTTGATTGAAATCGCATCATTTTCAGAAATTTTTAGAGCTGAACATCTCCTCTGAAACCCCAAAGAGATCCCTTGAAGCTTGAAAACAAGATAAGAATCCATTATGAGACCTAGATCTCGTCAAAGTCAATTATTTATGGTTATAATTGAACTGCAGTAGATTCTAACGATAATCTTTCGAAGAAACTCTGTTTTTATGACTTTTTAGCTTCATTTTCAATGGAAAAGGCTTTTTACAGAAAAAAAAGAATATGTGGTCAAAAATCCAATCAAAATATTAAATTGATTGAAATCGCATCATTTTGAGAACATTTTCATAGCTTAAGAGATCCCTTTAAAGCTTAAAAAAATAATAAAGAACCTTTTATGGAATCCGAGGAAAAATATGATTGAAGTCAATTAATTAAGCGTCAGATGAGTTAATTCTGAAAAATAGTTATCTGATAAAAAAACTTGCAGATCTTTTTTTAGGGTCCTGAAGAAATCCCTAGAAGTTTGAAAATGACATGAAAATCCATTAGGGAACCTTTAAGCCAAAGAAAATCTCAATTAAAGAACTAATTATCCGATTTATAGCCTTTTCATTGCAAATCGAACGGTGAACTTGAAAACGTATCGAACTTCCTAGTTTTGTAGAAAAAATAATTCAAATTCGGAGAAAGGAAAGCTTGTGTTCCCGCGAAAAGGGCGCTTTGCAGTAAAGTTGCTCTATGGACAACACGTAACGCCATCTTCCGGATTTTCGCTTTTTTCTTCGTTTCTTTCAATTTTCAATTTTTTCTGTTGTCACCAAAGTTCTTTTCGTCACAAAAGCTTTCTATTTATGTATAATTTGCAAACTTTAATCGCAAAAATGCTTTTCTGGTGAAAAATGATGAGCAGGTTTCGATTGGGATAGCAATATTTTGTGTTTTCTTTATTATCGGTGTGTTTTCTGTTTGACTCAATGTTTTTTCAGAAAAGAAACCCTTGATTTGAAGCAGATATCCGGTTATTTCTCCCAAAATGCGAGTCTAATGAGATGTCCGCAACATCGCGTGTACGGCTACTGTAAACAGTTGTCCGTAGGCCGATCCAAAGCTTTTTTCAAAATTAAAGGCGGGAAAGTAAAATCGCGTTTTTCTTCTAAAGTAGTCACATCTGTAATTTTTTTGAGTACAGCATTCGATTCGCAAAGAAAAACTATACAAGATACTGCTTTCACCTGAAACCCCATTTTTTACAGCCCCTATGCCTTCAAGTCTACAGAAATATTTCAGGATCTGTAAAAAAACTCAGAAAGGCTCTTATCATTAGAAATTTATCTCCGTCAGCTTGAAGTAAAACTTTCTATTAAAAATGCTTTTTTTTAGCTCATATTAAAAAAATTTGAGCTAAAAAATTGCCAAAGAAGGTCTTTGAAAAAAATTTATGAAGGTTCAAAATTGCAAGATTTCATCTCGTTGGAACTATTGAAGTAAAAAAATGTTCAAAAAAAGCAAATTTTTCAAAAAGTTCTGTATAGAAATGGATAGGAACAGTTCGAAATACGTTTCAATCAACTTATCAAAATTCTTGGTGAAAAATTTGGATACTAGCTATTCGATTACAAGGTAAAAAATTTAAAATTTCACTTTTCGTAGCTTTTTTTCGGAAGACTGAAAAGAAAAATTAGAGCAAAAAAAAAATCGCGCCGAAAATAAAATAATGAAATCCTTGCATTCGAAACCGAGTCGGATTTCAGATTTCGAATGCATTTTTGATTGGACCTATACATTTCTCACCGTTGGATTTCGGATTCATAAGTCTTTTTGCACTTTTTCGTAGGAAAAGTCTTGGAAAATGTCTATTCATTCGTCAATGGCTTTTGGGGGTCGTGTCAAGTGAAATTTATAGGAAAAAAAGGGGGGGGTTTGGTAAAAGCCCTGTTAGATAGAATTTAGAGGAAAAATATAAGGAAAAATGAAGAAAAAAATCAATAAAAAAATTAGGGGGGATTTTAAATAGCGGTGATTCAACTATACGTTCTCATAAAATTTTTTTGAAAGTCGTTTCATGTAAAGTTTGAAAGGAAACCGACAAAAAAATGAGAAAAAAATTCAGGGGGAGTTCAAGTAGCGGTGATTCCACTACACTTGATAAAAATCAAAAAAAGCGGGATTTTTTTAAAAAAACCATTTCAGGTAAAAATTCAAAGAAAAAAATGGGCAAAAAAATGAGAAAAAAATTAGTAATAATGGGGGGGTTCTCCCATACTTCCTAATAAAAAAAAAAGCCATTTTCCTTCCAAAAAAATAACCGAGATTTCCTACAAACTCACGGCTTCTTTAAAAATAAAAATCTTTCACTTTCAACAAAATTCCTATACGAAAAAAAGACTAGTCGATCTATGAGAAAAAAAGATGACACAAGAGAAAAAAATTGCGAATCGAAGGGAAAAAAAGTGAGAATCATCGAGATATTCCAAGAATGAGCGACCCGCCTGATTCTTGATCAAATTCGATAAACCTAATCATTCAACCGGCTCACGAAATGGGTTATTTGGGGGGACAAAAAAACACAAATTCAAGGAAAAATAAAGTAAAAAGAAAAAGGAAAAATTCCTTTAAAATGAAAAAAAGAATGAAAAAAATAAGACAAGGATGCCTTGTAAAAGCTTAAAAAAAGAGCAAAGTTGGCTGATAAATTGAGTTTTTATTAATTTTCGAAATAAATGGATAAAATTATACTCAAAATGCGTTTTCGAAGCTCATAAATTTCTTATTTAGCTTAAAAATGCTCCAAACATCACCAGAAAAAAAGCCAAAAATTTCTGATTTTTTTAGAAAATAATCATCGATTCAATTCAAAAATTTCTGAAGAAAAAAATCGAAAAAAATCGATCAAAAAAATGATTCTGTAATTTCGGGGTTTCTAGGGACCAAAAATACGTTACCAAAAAAAGGAAAAAAATCATAATAAATCACTAATTTTGTTTAAAAAAATGGTCCAAAAATCACCAAATAGAACCAAAAAAATTCTACACAGAAACCTTTGGAATCACTTATAAAAAAATCATTTTTTTGAAGATTTTTTTGGATTTTGTTTTTTTCGAACACCAAAAAGCCTAAAAATCGTGAAAAAAAGCCCAAATAAAAAAATATTCCGGATAAAATCCTGTTTTTTCGTGTAATTTAAAAAAATTCGAAATCTGAATTTTTCAGCTAGAAAAAAAAAATCTATCAGCCACTTCAAAACCGCTAAAAAGTCAATCTTTGAATATCAAAAAAAGATTAAGAAATGCTATAAACTCATCGAAAAAACAACAAAAATCAAGCAAAATGAATCGATTTATTGAGGCTTTGCGCCGAAAGCCGACCGCATTTTCCCGGAAATTCCTTGAACTTCTGAGGTCACCTGAAAAACTGAAGCTTATTCATCCATAAAAAAAAGGACAAAAATCTCACTTTACTGGAAATATCGTCGTATTCCTTTTTGAGATGATCAATGACCCATTCGACGCCTTTTCGTCCCTAGAAATCGGGAAACTTGAAGAAAATTCGGAGGCTTCAACATGTTAAAAAGTAAGAGTTTGACCTTCTGAGGAAATTAAATGGTCCCTAAAGGGGCAACCTCAGGAGACCTTGAAGGCTCCTCTCTAGGGACCATTTTCTCCCTCTATAGGAGATAATAAAGCTTGAAAAAGTGGCCCCTATAGTGACATTTTACGACAAAATTTAGAAAAAGGACTCCTATAGGGACCACTTGAGTGTTAGTGGCTTAGGGGTCAGATTTTGAACTGGGAAAATTCTTAGCGGCCACTATAGGGTTTTAACGTTTTAGTGACCATTATAGTAGTCGAATTAGTGGCCACTTAAGGGGTTAAAAATCAGTGGCCACTGTAGAGGTTTAAGTGCTACTACTAGATCACTAAAAATTTTAGTGGACCCTTTAGGGGTCAATGGATCAAAATAACTGGTCCAATCTGTTTTTTCTAAAATTATTAGAGTTACTGGAAAGAATACTGGATGAAAAACTACTGAAGTGGCCACTAAAACGGAAAATAGTGGCCAATATAGAGGTGGGTTTAGTGACCACTTTAGTGTCCTCTTCGTAAAGTAGTCATTCGCGAGCCTCTTAGTGGCCCATGACAATTTTCCCAGTAGGAGCATCGCAAACCTTACCCCTATAGGGAGCACTTTTTTGCCCCATATAGGGGATGTTTTCCCCTAAATTCTAAAGGAACCACTCTGGCGTTCCGAAACTAAAAAAAAAAAGACCCCTATGGGGACCACTCAAACTTCCGGGTTAAAATCCCTACAGGGACTCCTCGGGGGTTCCTTAATTGTGGTCATTTTTTGAGCAAAAAAAAGGTCAAAATCTGAAAAATAAAGATATTTTTTTCCCAAAAGTCCTATTCAGTTTTTTTTTTCCTGAGAGACTATGAGAAGTTTCTGAAGTCTCACCTTCTCGGCATTCGATTCATAGACGCTCAAAAACGTCTTTTCGCAATAATCGGCAAAAGCTGGCAATGTGATTGTCACGCTCACGTCTTGTTTCAGTACTGTCCTGAAATATCATTTGAAAATTCAACAAAAAATAGAAATAATTCATGAATTAAATTTAAAAAAACCACGGTCAAGGACGGTCTTAAAGAAAGACTTCAAGAAAAAAAAGGAACCTAGCAATTTTTTTGATGACTTTTTTTCTTGTACAGGCCTTTCTCCTGGGATGAAACTGTATATTACAAAGAGGAAAAATCAAAAAGACGTCTAAAAAGGGCAAAAAAATTAATGGAAAGGCTTTTTAAAAAGTGTCAAAATTTTTAAAAATTCCACCACAAAAACCTACAGCCAAGGATGGCAATAAGGGTTTCACAAAAAAACCATAAAAAGAATATTTTTTTCTAAGAAAGCGGAAAAAAATGAGCTTTTTGTAGTTTTTTTCATGAGCAATAAGAGCAGCTAGAAAAACTTCTCATGTCATTTTTTTATTTCACAGAAAAAAAGTTCTTGGCTTCTTATTTTTTTATACCTTTTTTTCTTGAGAAAGCTTTTTTTCCTGGAGTAAAAAAATGCACAGAAAAAGAAGAAAAAAATGCAAAAAAAGATATAAGGAAAAAGTGACAAAAAAACTGATGAAAAGGCTCTTTTTTTCTAATGAAAAAAACGGAAAAAAATTAGACTTTCGAAACTAAAAAAGCAGCTGAAACCTCCTTTTTTTGGATTTTTATTTGGAAAATCTTTTTCTCGAGTTTTTTTTTCTGAAGAAAATTTTCTGGATCTTCTTTTTACAACCTTTCTCTCAGAAAAAGCTCTTCTCCTGGAGTAAAATTTTACAGGTAAGAAAAAAAAATGCAGAAAAAGACATAGGAAAAGTGACTAAAAGTCGAAGAAAAGGTCTTTTTTCTAAGAAAAAGTGGGAAAAATGAGCTTTTTCGTACTTTTTGTGAGCTATGAAAAACACCAAAAAAACTCCTTCAATGCATTTTTAAATGGAAAACCATTTTTTTCAAAGGTATTTCAGCTAAAAAAACTTTCTCATGACAATTTTTATTTAAAAAAATAATTTTTTTAAACTTTCTTTCAACAGCAAGAGTGGTGTCTGAAAAAAAGTGACTAAAAAAAGCTAATTGAAAAACCTCATTTTTTTGGATTTTGATCCGAAAAATGGAAAAAGCACTTCTCCTGGAGTAAAATTGTACAAGAAAGAAGAAAATGCAGAAAAAGACATAGGAAAAGTGACTAAAAAGTCGAAGAAAAGGTCTTTTTTTCTAAGAAAAAAAGTGAGAAAAAAATGAGCCTTTTTCTTACTTTTTGTGAGCTATGAAAGCACCAAAAAAATACCTTCAAGCCATTTTTTTCATTAGAAAAACCATTTTTTTGAATCTCCCCCCGCTCAAAAACTAACTTGGTAGGATCCTCCTCAAGGGGCCGATAGGTGAGCTTCTCATCGACTCTGAGAAAACTCGAGGCGTTTAACTGAAAAAGAGCTATTTCTTTTAAAAACCATAGAAAAACCGACATTTCTTGTAATCAACGACATTTCCTGCTTCGTCGGGTCGATCACCGTGTATTCGTGTGAATATTGGGTGCCGGAAAAGCCGGTGAGCTGGAAAAATTCAATTTTTTAGGGGGGAAATCTTTAAAATTCGAACTTTAGTGGCCCATGAGGGGATTTGAAAATGCGACTGGATCAATCTTTCGGATAATAGTCGGCCGGCGTCGAAGGAATGCTTCAGAATGTCGATTCCTTAAGGGAAAATGATAAAAAATAAATTAATAGCTTTAAAATGGTCCATTTTTAGTTCATTTCCTCTTCAAATAAAGAAGTTTTTGGTTGGGAAAAAGCAAAAAAATGGACATTTTATCAGTTTTCAGACCATTTTCGCTTCATTTTGAGACATTTTCCATTTTAATAATTAAAAAAACAGTCCTTTTCATTTCTTTAAGCGTTGTTTTACCGACAAAATTGACTTTTTCCAAATTTCTCTGTGAATTAAGAGATTTTCTGAGGCAATAATCAAGAAAAAAGCGAAAAGTGACATTTTATCAAATTTCGGAGCATTTTTGCTCCATTTTGAGACATTTTCGGTCTTAATCATCAAAAAAGTATTTTTTGAAAAGCCTTGATTTGAAAATTTCAACCTTCAGCTGAACTTTTCGCTCCTTTAACTTCTATTTTTAGGACAAAAATCAACTTTTTTTCTTCAAATTTCTTTTGTGAATAAAGAGGTTTTGTGAAGCAATAATCAAGAAAAAAAGCGAAAAAAATTAACTTTTATCAAATTTTAGAGCTTTTTTTGCTCCGTTTTCCATTTTAACCCTTGTAAAATAGTCCAGCTGAAAATCTTCAACCGTCAGCTAAATTTTTTATTTCTTTAAGTGCTGTTTTTACGACAAAAATCGACTTTTTTTTCCAACTTTCTCTATGAATAAAGAGCTTTTTGTGGAGCAAAAAAATCAAGAAAACGGTTAAAAACGACATTTTATGAATTTTGAAAGCTCTTATGCTTCATTTTGGAACGTTTTCCGTTCAAACAGAAAAATTTTCTTTTATAGACATGTCTTAAAAATCATCAACATCCAACTGAACTTTCAAAAAACACTGAAAATTTCCTCGCTGTAAAGCTTCCTCGATTTCATTTTTTTCAAAGCCTTGTGTAACTTTACACCAATTTTCAACTCTTTCGCATGGATTTCCGCCTTTTTTCTATAGAAAAAGCGAAAAACCGCTTCGGATATTTCTTTTTTACATCATAAGAAACATAAGAAGATGGTGAAAAATGATGTAAAGTTACAAAATAAGCGAAGAAAAACTAAAAATAATAGAGCAGTACAACCAAAAACGACTAGAATTGAAGGAAACAGACAAAAAATCAATTTTAGTTCAAATTAAACATATTCAAACGATTATTCAACTTTTTTTAAAAGTTCCATAGAGGGTGTTGAAAAATGAATAAACTGAAAATAAAGCAGAAATATAATAAAAAACGACCAAAAATGAAGAAAACCTACAAAAATCATATAAATTTGATCCAAAAACAGACTTTTAATCGAACTTCACATGTCAGAAGTGCTTGTAAAAAAACCATTGTATATCTATTTAAAAATGAAAACCTACCAGTGACTGCCCGATTTAATGGGTTGGGATATTTTTCGGTATGCGGCCATCGCTACTGTTTCCCAGTCGTGACTAAATCATTTTTTTAACTTCATTTTAAAGCAAAAAAATATGAGAAACTTACTTAAAAAAACGTGTTCTGAAGACCAAATTCTCATTTTCGAAATAAAAATTTTTGCAACTTGAAGTTCTGAAATTTGAATAATTTCAAGCGTATTTCAGAAAAAAATTCTTCGAATGGCGAGTTATAAGAGAAAAAAAAACGTTTATAAGCGCTTTTTTTAATAGGTTTTTTTCAGCAAAGACCTTTTCAATAGGAAAAAAATAGTTAAAGTTGCAGAAAAATTTCACAAAAAAATGTCAAAAAAATGATGATTATCCTTGAAAACTTGAAAAACAAGAGACCTAAACCCATTCCGAAAAAAATTTTAAGGAGCTAAGAATGTTTTTTTATCAAAGGCTTAATAATATTTATAGGCAGTTTTGAAGAAAGAACCAGTAAACTTCACAAAGAAAAGGTTTGAAACTGACAAACTGCCACAATAAATTCAACTGAAGCTGAGGGAAACCGAGGTACACACGTGAAGTAAACAGAGAAAATCACGCGAATGACGTCAGAAACGGAAAAAAGTGGTGTGATGTACTTTGAACCGGCAGATAACGAAAATTTGAGGATACTTTGTAGCCAACTTTTTTTTTTTGAAAAAAAGTGAAAAATCAAACTTGAAACTTTAAAGAAACAATTATCAAAAAATTTCAAAAAGCCACGATTTTGCGAAAAAAATTCTGACATTTTTCAGAAGGTTTTATTTGAAATTTATCTGATTAGAACAAAGGAACAGTGTAGTTTAGTTTGGTTGAAACTTGGCGTTAGGCCAAAAAAAAAAGATATCAGAAGTTATCAAGAAAAAATGTACCTAATGTACTTTAACCTTTTTCCAAACGGAATTTCGAAAAAAATAAAAAAATACTATTCTTAATCAAGGTTATTATACTTTAAATAAATCTCAAAAACCGACTGAAAAAAATATTATTTACAAATAAAATGAAAAAAATAAATAAATAAAAAAACACTGAAGTGATGAAATTTGTACCGAGGGAGCGCCTAAATTGCCGTCCTCGCGGAGCATCGTTGTTTTTATTTCCAAAACATTTTTTGCGAAAGCTTTTTTGCTTTTAAAATCTATTTTTTACTTATTTCATTTTTGTTTCTTGCTATTTTTGTATTTATAAGTATTAATTATCAGAAAATTAGTCTAAATGTATACTTAAGTCATAAATTTACCCTCAAAAGCGTCATTTTCTCCCTCCTTCAGAATGAAGATAAAGTTTGAATTTTCGAACAAAAGTTGAACCAAGATAGTTTTTCTTTCGAGACGCAATGGTTTTCTGATCAAAGCTAGTTATTTGACGTATTCACTCTTTTTATTCCGGTAAATTTTCCGCAAGAGAACTTAAAAATGATGCAATTGACACGCGGAGATAAATCAGTCGTTTTTTCTCGTTTCTTCAAGTTTAATGATTATTTTTATATTTTAAGGGTAAGAAATGGGTTGGTTTGGCTATGGCGGCAGTTCAAACGATTCTCCATCGTCTTCCGTTAACACACCATCAGAAACGATGGATTTGAGCGCTGGGATGAATTTTTCGGTCCCCGGCTTTGATTCGGTAAAAGAGAATCGTTTTTTATGTCTCAAATCCAATTTTAATTGAAGAGTACCCCAGCGAGCAGTGCTCCAATGGATCATTCTCCATTCCCAGCGGCGCCGGTCTTGGCTTTGGACCAAATAAAAAGCATTGGGGTTCCGGTCAGCCGGCAAATGAATCCCTATGTTCAGGTTCGATTCAAAACCCTTTTACCAATCAGAAAAAATTATTTTAGATGGATCCATCAATGTTCGTCTCACAGACTCCTCAATATATCATGCCAGAAGGAGGAGTTACTGGAAAAGGCAAATTCGAATTTGCTTTGGGGCATATTGGGCAAGTTTTATTTAAGAATTCGTGTTGATTTTAGAAATTTCAAGGTTTTTTTTGTTAGTTCACCTTGAAAAGCGTGCATTTTTGAATAGCTCTATGGAGTCATGAACATTTTTTTTTTCGTAAAAGTTGGAAAATTTGAGTTTCTTAATAGTCGCGCTGTAATAACACTTTCATGATCAAAACTTGAAAAAAATTTGATTTTGAAAAATTGAAATTATTATTTTCCTTAAATGTTCAAGCATTGCAATACATTTTAACGTTTGAAAAAAATAGAATTTTATTGAAAAAAATTTAATTTTTTTGCCTTGAACCAAGTTTCGCAAGTTTATTCAACAAAAAGCAAATTTTTTTGATTTTTTTCACTAATTTTCGCTTTTAATACTGTTTTATTTTTGATCCTCAAGTTTGATTTTGAATGAAAATTCGCACTCTTCGAATGAAATATGCTCAAGATTCACAAAGGTTAAACTTTTTTCAAAACGGCAAAATATTTTTCCCCAGTTTTTATTAGGGATTTTCAAAAGAGATTCTCGAGTTTTTCGGTTCAAATGATTTTTGCAGCTTGTAAAAGACAAAAAAATAAGCATATAGAAAAAAATTTTTCTCAATTTTTTTGAAGAGTTTGATTGCCAATTTCGGGTATTTATAACATTTTGAAGCTATTTCACCGCGACAAAAATGAAATTTAAAGCCGTAATATTGATTTTTGAAGGTCGTAGTATCGAAGTTTTAGGCCGTAATATTGATTTTAGAAGCGTTTTATCCGGAATTTTGAATAAGAGATTTTTGCAGCTTGCAAAGGTCTGAGCTAAAGCTATAAATAATGATTTTTCGATTTTTGAAAAGTTGGATTATCGAAATTTTTCAAATTATTTAATTTTGAGTCTGTTTCTCCAGGAAAAAAGTCAAAATTAGGGTTATAATTTTTTTCTTTTCCAGTTGGGCGGTCGGTAGCGCTTTCGGTGTCGGCTGCGCTCGTGGCTCCACGGCCGAATTGTTCAATCCTGAAACCCGGAAACTTGTAATTAACAACCACTTTATCGATTTTATTCAAATAAATTAAATTAACAGGTCGGGAAACCGTGGATGACGCGTATGGTCAACGCCACGATGAAACACGGATCGGGTTACGCTCAGCCCGCAGGTAAATTACCTGAAAAATCTAGGAATATTGTTTAAAAAGCTTTTTTTCCGCAAAAAATCCTATCGAAAAAGTGATAGTTTTATTGAATTTTCCATAATTTTATAATAGGATCTCGACTGTTGAAACTCAAATTTCATTTATAAATCGTTGAAAAGGCGAAAAAATGACTAAAATGTCACATTTTGGTTACTGGAACATGTTGATAATTCAAGAAACGGCTAGGATTTTTCGAAAATTCTCAAATTTATTGATTTTCTGGTGAAAATTGAGGCTTTTCCCTTAAAAATCAGTTTTTTGACAGTTCAAAAATGATCCAGGAGTTGAAAGATGTTCAAATAATGATTTTCTAACGTCTGAAGCTTACGGAATCGATCGATAATTGTGAAACTGGGGAACTTTTAACAATTTTATGATCTTTTTTCTATATAAATTTGAAAAAAATTTTTTTTTTCGTTTTTTTATCGTTTAAAAGTTATAGAACCAAGCGAGAAATTTGAAATTTTAAAAATTGAAAGAAAAAAAGGACATTTCCCCCTCAGGAGCCGTCGTGTTCATGTACTCGGCACTGGAAATCGGCCTCCGACAAATTCGAGCCGAAGACGAATTGAACTCTTTTGGAGCTGGAGCACTTACGGGAGCACTTTATCGCAGTCCCCATGGCCTGAAAGCCAGTGGAGTTGGTAAGAACTAGAGATTTTCCGGTGGTATGAAAAAAACACCAGCGAAATTTCGAACGGCGACTTTTCCGATTTTTTCATATTGCCAGGGAACTTTCCGGCGGCCACCTTTCCGCCGAATCTTTTTCCGACTTTTTCTCTTATATTTTCCGGTTAATAAGACATCTATTTAAATTTTTTTTTCCTATTTCTTTGTGTTTTTCATCATGAACCAACTACCTACTTCATATAGGAAGATTTAAAACGAAGATTTTATCGAGAAAAAAAGGTCGGAAAGGTGGACGTCGGAAAGTTCCCTAGCGATATGGAAAAAAATCGGAAAGTCGACGTTTGAATTTTTTTGCTGGTATTTTTTTCATACCACCAAACTTTCACGACGTTTTTTTAATACGTCCGTTTCGTGAATTATGGTTTCTTCCGTGTAAACCCACCGGGACGTTTATCGCATACTCCAAACTTTTTTTTAAATTTTAAATTTTGGAATTTTAAGCTAATGAAATCATCCCTATTTGAAGAATATGATGTTGAAAAAAGCCTTGGAAAATTCGAAAAAGCTGTGTGTAAATTTTTTTTTCGTAAAAAAAATGTTCTTTTTTCTATACCAATTTTCGTTCCGAAGCCCTTTTTTTAAAAAGTTTACCGTTTTTTTCCAACTAATTTTCGTTTTTTTCCACCGTTTTTTTCCAACTAATTTCCGAAAAAAACATAAGGGATAAAAAGTCGGAAAAAAAGTTTCATCGGAAAGTTTCCTAGCGATATGAAAAAAAGTCGGAAAAAGTCGCCGTTTGAATTTTTCGCTGATGTTTTTTTCATACCACCGATAACATTTACAAAAAAATGAGGAGGGGTAATGAATTTTAAGCTTAATTTTCGATCGAAACTTTTTTTCCATGCTGAAATTGAATCACGTTTTTTTCCAATAATGTTTCCATAAAGTGGGAAATTATTCTGTTAAAAAAATTTCAGTCTTTTTGAATTATTCGCAACTGTTCTTGATTCATGATTTTGTCGAATTTGTCGATTTTTGAACATTTCAAGGCGATTTTCTACCGTAGTGACTCGCGCTGCGGACGCGGCGCGGTTTTTGGCGGGAAAATAGAAATTCAAACGCGAAATTTTCTGTTTACAACAGTTTTCGATCATTTTTAGTTTTTTATGGTATTGAGCCTTCAGTTGGAAGTATAAAAAATGATTTCCTCGTTTTTGAATTTTCATTTCGCGCCGAAAACCGCGTCGCGACCGCAACGCAAGACTTCGTACGCCTATTTCCTTGAAAGTCACTAAAAATTACTGTAAAATGAATTCAAAAATTAAAAATAACTATGGTTTTTTTCCCAGGAGCTCTCGTTGGTTTGGCGATTTCCACGGCTTGGGTCCTTGCCAGCTCCGATTCCAGGCAAAGACTTCACGAAATGTTCTCCTAAATTCTTTTTTTTGTGTTCCTTTAGTTTCATTTTAGTGGCCCCTTTCCGAAATCCTGAGACTGTTGAATTTGTTCCTTTTTGTTACTTTTTGTTACTTTTAGTCGTTTTCTTCTCCGTGTGAGTTTTCGATATGCTTTCAATGAAATTTTTTTGTTTGATTTGTTCATAACTCGATAAAAAATTACGTGAATCTGAAACCGTTCAGTTCGAAAAAGATGTCGTGAAATATGATGTCGAAGACGCAAACAGCGGATCTCACGACATTTATTCTATCAGCGCGCTTTTTTGAAACTGGGCCTTTCTCCTTAAAAAGGCTGTATTTCAAGGTTTTTTTTTTGGTCTTCTCTAATTAAAGTTGTGTATCCCAATCCCAATTGATCGGAACACGCCGGAAGCTCTCAAGTCACTATTTTATCCTAATTTGTAGCAATTTTTACAATCATATTATTAAAATATTTTTTTAAGCTATCAAATTTGGTTTTCCTTTGTAGTCTTTTTTTCCATTTTATCTTACTCAACATAGTTTTTAAAAAAATGGAAACCCACGGTGAAGAATTTTTTGAACTTCAAAGTAAGAAGGAATGACCATTTCAACTTCAAATTTGCGGTAGAACCATTTTTTCCTCATATTTTATTTTCTTTTCTCCTTATTCTCGATATGCTCTATTTTTCTTTGAAGTTTGATGAAAAGAATTTTTTTTTTTTTTGCTGCTTGATCGGTCGGTATAAGTTTTGTTCTAACATTCAAAGTTCCAGAAGTTTTTTTTTTTTTTTATTTTCGTCATGAGATACTTCTAAAAAAAGCTCCGAAATTCTCTCTGCTGTTTCAAAAAAACGGAAAAATCTTATTTGAAATGAACTTAAATTGAAAAAAACCTTGAGAAACTCAGGAAGTTAGTCTCGGCTTTTTTTTAAACAATTTAGTGAGGGTCTTTGAATTGGAAATATTCAGTCTTTATGACCAAATAATGAAAAATTCTATTTGAATTGCCTATATGAATTATCTTCGTGAAAATTGACGTGATCTTTCTTTTTCTGAAATTCGATCGTATATATATTTATTTATATTTTGCAGTAATTGAATTTGTTCGATCCAGAAAAGAATGTCGGCGACTGTGAAGGAAGAAGTTTGTTATTTTCTTTGTTTTACTAGTGAAATTTTGAAATTCGCTTTGAAAAATTCTAATTTTAAAAATAAAGCCAATTTTTTTCACGGCCATATACTTCTAGACGTGTTATAACATTTTTTTAAAAGGTTAAAAATATTTTTTTAAAAAGCTTCATTCGCTTTCAAAATAGCATTCAAAGAACAAGGATTTACTCAAATTTAGGGAATTTCTACTTTTTTTTTTGGGAAAAAATGCCTTTTTCCTGTTATAATTTATGAATATTGCAGCTTTCGGAGCCGTCGGAAGCCGAAGAAATGATTTTCCGGATCGTAGAAGCGGCCCAGGACGGAATCGACATGGACGCCATCACTTTGATGACCCCCGTGTTGAAAGTTATCGATCGCCAAGTTTACCTGCATTTTTTTCCAGAAAAAAATATAATTTTTCTCAATTACAGGTAGCGATAAACTCGTTATTGAGCTCCAAGAGGCTTATTATTTCACAGGTTTTTAAAAAAAAATTCAAAAATTAATAATTTATTCAGGCGATGGGAGGAATTTTGCGATTGAAAGTGAACACCAATACGCAAATCGCTGGATCGCCGGAAGAGCAAGCGGTTTTCATTTATTTTATTTAAAAAACATTTTAGTGGCCAAAAAAATGATTTAAAAAAATGATAAATTTTTTTCAATTTTTCGGAAAAATTTTTTTCTGTTTTTTTCTAGTTTTTTTCCTTTGAAAAACGTATGCTCTAATAGTTCTGTTTAATCATATTATAATTTAAGTTCATTTTTTTAGCACCAGAAGCTATATTTTTAGAAGGCGAAAAATGATTGAAAAAAAGAACAAAAACTGATAGATTTTACAATTTCTGGGGATTTTTTGGTTTTTTCTTCAACTTTTTCCATTTTTTTTCTAGAAAACATGTTTTTAGTGTTCAAAAAAATGATTAAAAAAGTGACAGATTTTTACCATTTTTTTCACAAATTTCCTTGATTTTTTTCAAGTTTTTTTCTTATTGATATTTCAACTTTTTTTCCTTGAAAAAGTTTATTCTATAATCGTTCTGTTTGCTCATTTTTTTATTAAAATGCATTTTTTTAGTGCCAGAAAATATGTTTTAGAAGACAAAAATGATCAAAAAAATGAACAGAAAGTGACAGATTTTACAATTTTATGCAAATTTCCTTGGTTTTTTTCAAAAATTTTCTCATTCAAATTATAACTTTTTCCTTGAAACTTCGTTCTAAAAATGGTTCCGTTTGTTCATATTTTCATCCGAATTCATTTTTAGTACCAGAAAAATATTTTTTTAGAAGCCGAAAATGATTGAAAAAAAGACCAGAAAATGATGGATTTTACATATTTTTTTGGGATTTTTTTCTTGGTTTTTTTCAAATTTTTTTCTCATTGAAGTTATAACTTTTTTTCTTGAAACTTTCTTTTTCTAATGCTTCTGTTTATTTATATTTCCATTCAGATTCAATTTTAGTGGTAGAAAAATTTTTTTTAGAAGGCGAAAAATGATTGAAAAAAAGAACAGAAAATGAATTTTTTTCGGAAAGTTTCATTTTTTTCTCAGTTTTTTTCTTATTGAAATTTCCACTGTTTCCTTGAAAAAGTTTATTCTTTAATCATTCTTTTCACTCATATTTTTCATTTCAATTGATTTTTTTAGCATCAGAAAATATTTTTTTAGAAGGCGAAAATGGTCAAAAAAAGACCAGAAACTGATGGTTTTTACGATTTCTGGGGATTTTTTTAGGGTTTTTCCAAGTTTTTTTCTTTTTGAAATTATAACTTTCTCTTTGAAAATTTATTTTCTAATGTTTATTTTCACTTATGTGTGCATTCAAATTCATTTTTTTAGCACCAGAAAATATATTTTTAGAAGGAAAAAAATAATCAAAAAAAGAAGAAAAATGATGAATTTTTTTGCGGATTTTTTTCTTGGTTTTTTTCAAGTTTTTTTCTCATTGAAATCACAAGTTTTTCTTGAAATTTTATTCTCTAAGGGTTCTGTTCATTCATATTTCCATTCAGATTCAATTTGAGTGCTAGAAAATATGTTTTAGAAGACGAAAATGGTCAAAAAAGAACAGAAACTAATGGATTTTACAATTTTCGGGTATTTTTTTCTTGGGTTTTAAAGTTTTTTTCTCATTGAAATTATACCTCTTTCCTTGAAAAATTCGTTCTAAAATGGTTCCGTTTGTTCATATTTTTTTATTCAAATTCATTTTTTTGCGTCAGAAAAATATATTTTAGAAGGCGAAAATGGCTAAAAAAAGAACAAAAAAATCGATGAATTTTGCAATTTTTAAAAAAAGCTTTTTTTGCTAAAAAAACGTTTTTTTCCGAACTGAATCTTGAATTAATAAAGATACTAAATCATTTTCTATATTTTTTTTCTTACTTTTTCAGATCTATACCCTCATCGAGGAATCCAAAAACCAAAGGAATCTGGATCAAAGAGCTCCGAGACGGATCCGGCTTGGCTCAGCTCCAACTCCGGAAAGTCCTGAAAACACTGGAAACCAAGAAACTTATCAAATCCGTCAAGGTAAAAGTTGATCGGATCAATTTTTTGAGGTTTTTGGAAGAAGAAAATGAGAAAAGGACTGAAAGGGTCAGCTAAAGGAAAATTTATATTTTTGTTTTTGGTTCTTCGATCATGATATCTTCAAAAAAATTAGTCCTTCTTTGTTGAAAAAAATGTTATAAAGCCTTCAAAAATTCCAGAAAAGAATTTCTTAGAAAATAAGAAGTTTTCATAATAAAAAAAGTAGGTTTTTTTCGGATCTTGGACTGTTAAAAAGAATAAATATTGATCTTTTTTTTTTTTAAAAATTAGCCTAACAAGACCTAAAAATTTCTATTTTTCGGCTTTTTTTACCTAGTTGATTTCTTTTTGAAGCGTGTTTCTGATGATTTTATAAAAATATTTCTTCAGAAAATAATTTTCTAGATTTTTTTCGCCAAACTACGCTTGGAAATTGAATTTTATTCAATTAATTTGTTTCGAAATACTGAAATTTCGATTCCAGGCCGTCGGGACCACGAAAAAATGCTACATGCTGTTCGATTTGGAGCCGGATATGGAATTGACGGGGGGTGGAAAATTTAAAAAATTCAAATTTTACTCAAATAATTAATTTCAGGTACCTTTTATTCGGATCAACAGTTGGATTCTGAGCTTATCAACGCTTTGATCAATGTTTCAACTCATTATGTTCAGGTAAAAAAAAAAAAATTAGGTTCTTTTTTTCCTGGAAAAATGAAAAAGTCTTTTTTTCCTGAAAAAAATAGACATTTTTTTCTGTAAAATTTGATCATTTTTGGTAGCCCTTTTTTTCAGATTTCTTGCCAAAGATTATAAGAAAAAAAGTCAATTTTTTTCAAATTCCAGAAGAAAAAAAGAGAAAAAAATTTGGGAGTTTTTAGAGGAAATAGCTTTGAAAGTGAAAGAAAAAGCTGGCTTTTTTTCAACAAAAAAAGTCATTTTCTGTGAATTTCGACCATTTTTTTGTAGTTTTTTTCTTTCAGATTTTTGCCAAAAAACTATAAGAAGAAGCTAAATTTTTCGATTTCCAGATAAAAAGAAAAAAATTTGGGAGTTTTCGGAGAAAAAAATTGCTCCTAGATTGAAAAAACCTTTTTTTCCCGGAAAAAAGTCATTTTCTGTGAAGTTCGACCATTTTTTTGGTAGCCCGTTTTAGGATTCTTGTAAATATTTATAAGAAACTAATAATTTTTTCGAATTCCAGGGGAAAAAAGAAAAAAATGAACAGTTTACCGGAGGAAATTTGCTTTGAAAGTTTAGGAAAAATGGTTTTCTCCAAACAAAAAAAAAAGTCAGTTTTCCGATCATTTTCAAAAGATCGAAAACCATTTTTCATAGGCTTTATCCTAGATTTTGGGAATTCTCGAATTACGAAGATAATCAAATCAAATTTCAGGATCGGCACAAACAAGCCGTTCAATCTTACCCGGATAACGATCAAATGCAGAGGGAAATGAGCTACGTTCGGCCGCAGGAGGTTCCAAAAATAGACTTTTTTTGTGTTTCAAAAAAATTCAAGTTTCAGATCGCTGACTACATTTCCGAGAAGAAAATATTGAACGTCCCTTTGAAATTGGAAGATCTCCAGAAGATCCTCGACATCGCCATTGTGGACGGATCCATAGAGAGGAGGGCCGATGGAAAGGTTCCATTTTTTTATTTACTATTTATTTATCGCCCCAATTATTTTTTTTCGTTTTGAAAGATCTGGATTTAATTTTTTTGCATTTTCTCGCACTTCGATGATTCAAAAAAACGGAGAATTATTCTCGAAAAAAACAACATTTCACACGAAAAACCGCAATTCTTATTAATTTTTTTTAAAATCTTAAACGAGAGAAAAATGTAAGTATAACAAACATTTTTTTTTTGAAAACATTGAAAAAAAATATTTTCAAAGTCTAGCTATGAGGTTTGTAATGGAAAAAATTTTGTCGCGGAAATGCAAAATTCAAATTTTTTTTCGCTTGGCGTCAACTTTGAAACTTTCGGGAAGTAGACAAGATGACATTTTTCGGCTTTGAAAGCACTTCGCCAGTGAAAAATCGCCTTTCCACTTCCCTTAGGGGCCCTCGAAGGCTCCCCTCTAGGGGCTACTTTACGTTCCACTTTAGGTTGCAAAAGTGGCCCTATAGGGGTGCTTTTCGTTTACTGTTAGGAATTCTATGAAAAAACTCGATAAACTAGCGTTTTTCGAATCGAAAGTATCAAAAGGCGATTAAATTTGTGTTTTTAATTTTCAAATGGGAACATAAAAGTCTACAGACCCTATAGGGAGCATTTTGAGCTATAGAGGTCAGACCTTGAACCCTCGAGGGACCACTCTGGCGCTCCTAAGTAACTTAATTTTTCTCGAAAAGTAAAAATTTCTGTAGGATTTCAAGCAGATATTCGAAATCTTCACAGCAAGAAAAACATCTATTCGAAAACTTGGTTTCCCGGAAATATTTTAAAAATTTTTCACTGTCCATGTGGTGCTACGACAAGAGCGAGTTTTCCATTTGCGAGGAGTACTGTATGCGGAAATGCGCATTGAGTGCATACACTCTGCGTTTTTACACTTTCGTTGCGCGACGTCACCGGGTCGGACATCTCCGCGTTTTTTTTTTCGAACTCTTTTCAACTTTTTTTTTTTTTTCAAGATTTGAATTTTTTCTCGATGATATTTGCACGATGAAAAACAGTATGAAGAAAAAAAAAATTTGAAAAAAAAACGCGGAGATGTCCGACCCGGTGACGTCACGCAACGAAAGTGTAAACACGCAAAGTGTATGCACGCAATGCGCATACAGTACTCCCCGCAAATGGAAAAATCCCTCTTGTCCTAGTGTCGTTGACCGTCCATGTGCCTTTAAGCCGACTGTTTCACGTGAAATTTTAAAAAAAAGGCCCATTTTTCAGCTCCGGGCGAGTTTAATGGTAAAACAGCCGTCGGCCCTGGTTTCGATTCCTTGTTCGGTTTGTCCAGTCGTCGAAGATTGCCGGCCAGGATACGTCATTTCCCCGGAAACTTGCGAATACATGACCCAGTGGCTGGACGCCGCGCAGCAGATTTGACCAAAGTTTTATCGATTTTTTCCGAAAATTGCTATGCTCGAAAAAATCCTAAATTTTTATTCATTTCGACGCTGGTGATCTGTTGTTGGACGATGACTTGCTCTCCTTCTTTTTCAATCGTCCACTCGGCGAATGGCTGATTTTGTCGGTCATTGGCTGGAAATTCCATTTTTGATCTCTGACTTGTCTGCGCTCTCTTTTCCCTCGACGAAACGGTCATAGAAACGAGAAAATAGCGTGTAAACATGAGATAGTGGCCGAGAAAAAGGACATGTATGACTTTTTTGCGGAAGGAAGGTATTTGAAACGCTTGGGACGGCGATTTGAGAGTTGCGCCGGACTTGAAACGACTTGCGCAGTTCAAGCTTTTCATGGCTCGATAAGAACTTTTTCTGTTCATTTTTGATTTTTGGCTGACTGAAAGGCTCTTTGAAAGGTTGAATTTTGACGCACCCGACTCAAAACGACTTGCGCACGGTGGCATCGAAAGCTTTCCAAAAGTTTCAAGTGTCTTGCTTTCTTACTTACTTACTTTGATACTTTGATGGTCCATCTTCGCTTCTCAGCGTGGACCATCACACCTGTCACGTCTTGCTTTCGCAAAAAAAAAGTCATATTTATTTTTTTCTTTTTGGTCACTCTCTCACCTTCGAATGCTATTTTCTCTTTTTGACGAGGTTGCATCGGGAATGGCTATTTAAGAGTTGCGCCCGACTTGAAACGACTTGCGCCGTTCAAGCTTTTTATAACTCGATAAGATCTATTTTCTTTCGTTTTTGGCTGGCTGGTAAGATAGACTCTTTGAAAGGTTGAATTTTGACGCACCCGACTCAAAACGACTTGCGCGCGGTGTCATCGAAAATCAAAATTTTACGACCGCGACGCGCCAAGCCATTCCAAATGCGGTCACAGTTTTTTTAGTAGGGAAAATAAAGCGGTAAGCCAACATGCCACAACTTGAGAATGTCTGATTTTTCTCTGCGCTCTCTCGTGTTTAAGCACTATTGTCTGGTTCTATGACGTCATCAGCGAGAGAATAGAGACCCAGAGAAGTCAGAAATTTTCCAGTCGTGGCTAATGGACGCACTATCATTGGAAAACTCACCTGAACTTTGTTATTATTACCCGTTTTTCGGTCGAGATATTTACGCAATTCGGGCATTTCGTGACGGTCGTTTGAGTTTTCAGACCAGCAGCGCTTCTTAATTTTGATCTTTTTGAAAAGTTAAATTCGAAATTTACCGTCAAATGCTTGGCCAAATCGGGACAAACTTCGGAATTAAAAGGCATACGGTAGCCGGTAGTTACCTGGAATTTTTCATGTTATGAAAAAAATAGCTGTAGAGGTTAGATGAAAGTGTGCTCCATGGCGAAAATCGCGAAACATCGGGTTTAGCGTTAGAGCGCATTTCCCCATAATTCTGGCATCTATTAGTTTCAAAAGTGTTTCAAAAAAATACAAATTTTAAAATTTTTAGCCTTGGAGCAGACTCTGAATTATTTATCGTGGACCGTTTCTCGCTATTTTTGCCGTGGAGCACATTTTCCGTTGCTATTTCTGAATCAGACCGTATCTCGCTGTTTTTTTTTCGAACTTTTAGCCGTGGAGCACATTTTTTGTTCCTACTTCTGAATCAGACCGTCTCTCGCTGTTTTTTTTCGAACTTTTAGCCGTGGAGCACATTTTCCGCGGCTATTTTGTTTTAAATTCTAACCTGCCCAGCCACTTCGGCCACAGACATCCCTGGATACGGCTCTTTTCCATTTTCGAATATTTCCCAGGCCATTACACCTAAAATTTTGATTTTCTTTAAGATTAGTCACAAAAAAAGTGTTACCGAAAGCGAAAACGTCCGTTTTTTGCGTGTAGATGCCGCTTTTGATCGTTTCCGGGGCAAGCCAACGGATGGGAACCTTGGAAAAATACATTTTTTTAGGAGAATTCGAAAAATTCACCTTTTTCTTCATGTCCATTTGATAGATTGTCCCTTCTCTGGATAGGCCAAAATCGGAGATTTTTACCTGGATTTTTTTAAATTTTGATATATTTCGTCTAAAATATCGATTCTGAAGCATTTTGGAAAAAATTTGCTCTAAATTTTTGATTTTCTATCAATTTTAAAGGTTTAAATTTGTCACGATGCTTCAAAATGTGCTATATTTCTTCTTTTTTCGGGTTTTAAAATTTTTCTCGAGCTTTAAATGAATTTCTATAACATCCTGTATCGATTTTGAAAATCGTAGAAATCAAAAATTCAGTTATTCAGTATAAAATCACACTTAATAGAAATATAAAGACCGTATTTTACAGTTTTTTTCAAAAGATTTTCTAAAAATATCGATTTTCTGCCCGAAAAAACGACCAAATAATATTTTTTTTCGAAATTCCCTGAAGAGAACAGGTAGATTTACCTGCCCATTATCATACAAACAGTTCCTCGCGGCAATATCCCGGTGTAATAAATGTTTTTCGTGTATGTAGGCGATGCCACACGAGGCCTGATAGATCATCTCCAGCTTTTTTGGCATCACCATCAAATTTTTCTGTAGGAACGAGTCGAGGGCTCCACTATCTGCCTGGAAATTTTGGGTTTTTGTTGTCGGAATGGTGGATAATGGCCGCTAAGAGGGAGAGGCTCGAAAAAGGTAGCAAAAAGGCTGCGAAAAGGCAGTAAAAGGGCACCAAAGAGGCTCAAAAAAGGCTGCAAAAAGGCCCCATAAAGGCACCAAAAAGGCTCCAAAAAGGCTGCAAAAAGGTTGCAAAAAGGCTTGAAAAAGGCCCCAAAATGGCCGTAAAAAGGTCGCAAAAAGGCCCCAAAAGGGCATCAAAAAGGGTCCCTCTATCGAGCTTTCCATTTTTTCTAGGATTTTAAAGGCTTAAGAAGTGGTGGAAAAAGGAAGAAGCAGCAAAAATGGTCCATAAAGGCCGATAAAATGGCGCAAAATGGAGCCTTTTTGTACCCTTTCCGACCTATGGTATGGTTTTGCGCAAGTCGTTTCAAGTCGGGCGCATTTTTTGGTAGTATTCATTTCTCATGTATCTTATAACTATAATCCGGCGAAAACCGTTTCAAGTCGGGCGCAGTTTTGATGGCCCTTTCTTTTATATCGTATAACTATGAATCTATGGTAATTCCTAGCTTAAACTAGATTCCTGCGAAAACCGTTTCAAGTCGGGCGCATTCCTTTCGGCCCTTTTTTATACATCGTAGAACTATGATTCTATGGGAGTCCCTAACTAAAACTTTAGCCCTGCGAATCTCAAGTCGGGCGCATTTTCGATGGCCATTTACTATCAAGTCCATTCCGCGACAACTTGAAAAAATTGTGTCCTTTTTTCCCTCGACGTCTCTCACTTCCAAGTGCTATTCCCACATTTCTATGACCGACGAGGGAAAAGAGAGCGCAGACAGGTCAGAAAATTTCAAGCGAAAGTGCGAAAACAGGAGATTCAGACGTATATAAAAGGGTTATTTTTCTCAAAATGTGTTGTTACCTTGTTATTGTTGTTTTCTGTCTCATGGAGCTTGTTATAATTTATCAGATTTTTGGTTAATAAATTATTATTTGAATTCTTTTATTTTTTAAATTTTTTTTGTTGAATTGGTCATTTTCGATGTCATATTTTTGTTATTTTTTTGGAATTTTATCGTTTTTTTCATGTTTCCAAGTTTATCTGGACTTTAAGAAAAAAATTGAATTTTTTTTGGGGGTTGAAAAAAATTACCAATTCCATGATGACGTAGAGAGGCTCTGAACCAGCAGCCACGCCGTAGAATTTTATGATATTCGGGTGCTGAAAAATATTCGAATTTTAGGGGAATCTGTTGATGTTTTATAGTCCATTCCGCGTACGTTATTTTTTGAAAAAAAAAAATCTGACCAATTTCGTTTCAAGACCTTTGTTTTTTGCTGTTTTTGGCGTTGAATTACGGTTACTTTTTTTGCTCTGTTTTTAAAAAATTGCAGTTTTTGGTCAAGAAACTTGACTGGAAAAATACTTTGGAGCATCTTGATTTCCACTTAAAAAAATATTTCTTTCTCACATTTTGTCTTTTAGTAGATTTATTAGCGCCTAAAACCTAGGTTTTATCGATAGAAATGATTGAAGATGATATAAACTGTCTGAAAGGAAGAATTATGATTATTATGAAATAAAAATACGTAGATAACAGGAAAAAAATAATAAAAAAACTGAATAAAAATATTTGGCTGAAAAATGCTCCAGTGCTTTTTGAACGGGTGAAAAAAACCCCCGGATCAGCAGGTGCGTTATCTACGTAGTTTATTTCATCTATAAACGAATTTTTTTGAAAAAAATTTGGACAACAAAAAGTTTATTTATCATCGGCGCGCCTTTTACTATTTCCATCCTTTCCAAATTCAAATGGCGGGAAAATAAAGACGCTTTTAAAATTAGTCATATCTGTGATTTTTTGAGTGGACCGTTCGATTCGCAATGATAAACTATATAAGATACTGCTTTCACCTGAAACTCCGCCCCTATGCCTTCAAAGAAAACTTATAGTTACATCGAGATTCCTCATGAGCCTCGCCTCCCGCATAATTTCCTTAATTTGCTCCTTGTGTAGTTGTTCGAGTTTTGCCTGAATTTTTTCGATTTAGAAAGAAAAATCAAAGAAAACCGTTTTGACAGCGACATTCACCGTGTTGCCGTTCCTCGCTAGTTTTCCTTTCCAAACCTGGAATTTTTCGATATTCCAGCTATTTTTCTATCTTTTGAGAACGCTCTGAGGTTCAATAAATGCAAGAAAGCCAAAGAAACTTGGAAAAAGATGGAGAGGCCACTTTAGGGTTAAGAAAGTGGAATTTGAAAAGATGGTCCGTTTTTAAAAAAATTAAAGGGCTTCAAAGTCGAAAAAACGAGAAAAAGGAGTTATTTCAAGTTATGAGAACCATTAAAAAAGTAGGAATTGATATTGAAATATTTCTGAAAAAGTAAAAAATTACTTGGGGAGCCAATTTGAGCTTGTAGAAGTTCAGAAATGAGAAAAACTACAGAAAAAAATTTTTTTTTCAACTATTAGTGTCTAAAAAGCGTCTTCTCCTAGTTTTTTTGTCACCCAATTTTTTTAAAAAAATAAGGAAAAATAATCTGAGAAGCTAAGTTAGTATTGGAAAGCTCAAAAATTTTCGTTTCTAGTTCGAAAAAAACTCCACAAAAAAACCTCGCTAAATACGCCTTTTTTTCCAAGTTTTTTTCCCTTTAAAAAAGGTTGAAGATGAGAAAAAAACATCTTTTAAAAATTGAGAAAGACCATCAGGAGAAGCCAAATTAATACTATAAAAAAATCAAAAAAATTGTTCTAAATTCAAAAAAACCTCGCCAAACGCGCCTTCCCCGAGTTTTTTCGTTAAAATGACGTCCTCATGAGCGATCTCCCAATTTTGTCGCAGTATCGGGTTTTTGAGCACCGTTGTCTTAATTTTTATTCCATGAAATGATTGAAAATAATTCATAGGTAAAGTAGGATATGGTGAAAAGGCTTCATAGAAAAGTTCCTTTTTGCTGCCTTTTTGGGCCATTTTTTAGGCCTTTATGCACCATTTTTGCTGCCTCTCCCTTTTCCCATCCTTTCTTGAGCCTTTGAAATCCCATAAAATGGAAGGCTCGATAAATGGACTCTTTTTGAAGTCTTTTTGGTGCCATTTTGCTGCCATTTTGCTGCCATTTTGAAGCCTTTTTGCAGCCTTTTTGCGGCCTTTTTGCAGCCTTTTTGCGACCTTTTTGGGGCCTTTTTGCTGCCATTTCATGGGCTTTTATGCTCCATTTTTGCTGCCTCTTCCTTTTTCCACCATTTCTGGAGCCTTTAAAATCTTAGAAAAAATGGAAGGCTCGATAAAGGGACTCTTTTTGCGACCTTTTTGCTGCCTTTTTGGGGCCGTTTTGCGACCTTTTCGCAGCCATTTTGCTGCCTTTTTGCAACCTTTCAGCAGCCTTTTTAACCCTCTCCTTTTTAACGCCCATTATCCACCATTCCGACTTTGCTCGAATCATTGAAAAACCTTTGAAATGGGCTCTTTGGTCGTAATGTGATGCGTCACCAGTTTGCTTACTGTGTCAAATCCTTGCAGTTCAATGAAGATTTTCCCCTGTTTTTCACGAAGTACAAAATGTTTTATCTGCAAAACGAAAATTTAAAGGAGCATGTAGATTTTGGGAAAAATGTCCTAACACGATCTTAAAGATTTTTTGAGTTTTAGAGGAAAAAATCAGATTTTCTTTATGAGATACATTCTAGGGCAAAGGCGCCTGTGCCTTTAAGTTTTATTTTCATTTTTTTTTTTCGTTTCAATTTTGCACCCGGCTATTTTTTTCGGACTCAAGAACTCAGGAAACTGGTCCTGAAACGAAAAAATCGTTTACAAGTTTAAAGGCGCATACCCTAATCTCCAAAATGTGTCTTGAAACTTATAAGCTCCTTTTTTAGGCAAAAGTGACCAGAATGAAGCTCTCAAAAGGAATAAATGATTTTTCGGAGGACTGAGAGTGAAGAAAATGATTTCATTATATTATGGGTCTCGAAACGATGAGCCATGTCCCTTTAAAAACCTCGAAATCGTTTACGAATAGACCAAAATCTGTTCAGATTTTGAATTTCGAGTAGAAAGCCGTCATTCGAAAACGCTCTGTGAATGGCTCGCTCTCTGATTAGTTTATCGCGCCATTAGGGGCGGAGCTTGGGCGACGACTTGACATTCTAAATCTGGAAAGATTATATACCCCTTGATCCTCGAAAGTTTCGTTCTGCATGGCCGACAGAACGTACTGCCGTGGTTCTCCCTTCACCGGCTCGCTGGATCTCACGAGAAAGTCCCCGTTTTTGCTTAACATCATCTGGAAAAAAATATTCTATTAATAATTTCTATGAAGAAAAAAATATTAGACTCCTAAGTTTTGGCTTAAAACTTCTAGAATATTTTAATCTGTTCGAAAATTCAGTTCCTACGCTTCAAAACTTAATAGTAAGATATTTTGAACGGAAAAAAAGCTTCCAAGAAATTTTAAAGGCGCATAACGAGAATTTTTAAAGGCGCATAGTCCGAATAAAAATTGAGACGGACCAAAAATAGCTTAAAAAGATTTTTGATGATCCTACGGTATATCTTACGGTAAAATTTGCATTTTTCTTTGACCTGGCAGAAGAATTGGCAGGAAGAGTTAGTCAAACAACTGCAGGAAATGACAAAAATTGGCAATGCCTTTTTTCGCTTTAAAAATCTCAGTATTTTGGCCATTTTTCGGGATAAAAAGAACACATAGGCAAAGTCGGAAAAGGTTGAAATGGCTCCATAGAAATGTTCCTTTTTTTCTGCCTTTTTGCGCCATTTTATCGGCCCTTATGCATAGGGGGCGCAAAGCCCCGCCCCTTCACGCCACCAAAATGACGATTTTTTTGTTGCAGAAACGGTTTTGAGGCGTTTATACTAGCTAAAGTCCCACTTTAAAAATGAACTGTTTCTGTTAATCTATGTAATCGACAACGCTCTACAAGACTGAAAAATTTTTAAACTATGTATTTTTCAAAAATAAGCGAAAAAGTAAGATTTAACACGAAAGAAACGGACAAGTTTCACAAAATCGTCGCGTTTCTGAAAACCAAGTGAGGAACGCTTCCGAATTTTGAGTATGTTATACATTAACACTTTCTTTATTTTTTTTGAGTAAAAAAATTTAAAAAAATCTAACGACGCGAAAAAAATCGAAGCTTGTAAAGTGACACCAAACTTTGAAGCTGAAATGCGAAAAAATTTCAGCGACAAGGTATACTTTTTATTTGATTTAAAAACTCACAATGTGTTCAAAAATAAAAATTCAGAATGAAAATAATTATTGGGACAGCGAATCAAATTATATTTGAGTTTTACCAAAACCTCCTTTTTTCGCCTGCCTCGTTGACACATGAGAGAATAGGATCGCGTCTATACTTTTGATTATGTTATTGAGCGTTCAAAACTCTATCAATGAAAAAATTATGAAAAAAATCTAACGACGCGAAAAAAATAACGGCTTTGAAAACCTCGAAAAAATGGCAATTTTTTTTGAAATTTCGGAAGATTTCGTGCAAGCGTTCGTAGCTGTGTTTGCGTCAAACACACCGATGCGCACTTTTAAATGTTGCAGGAGCCTTTTTTTGGAGTCAAATTGCACATTTTCCTGTTTTTATTTCGAAATAACATTATTTTTTTCATTTTTTTCTTTTTTTCCAAACCAAATGATAATAATTTTTTTCTGATTAGAAAAAAAGAAAAAAATGAGCTGAAAAATTCCTTCTGACCTTTTTTTCTAGGTAGTTTTTTTGATATTTTATCAAAAAAATTCTTATGAGGATTGTACAAAAAGATTCATACCAAAACATGAGGCTCAGTTCGGACAACCTCTCAGAACGGAAAACCGATTTAAAAACGGTCCAGAAACGCGCAAAAACATTTAAAAAGAAAGCGTGCGGCAGCGGGTAAACCGTGAGATTTTGCCTCCAGTTGAACGCCGCGCGCGCTAGTTTTTTGGCCATAACTTTTTTCTTAGTGGAGCTTTTTTCTAAAACTGAACGGATTATGAAAATGGACAGTCTCCTCTATCGAACAGTGTAAAAAACATATTTTTTGGATCGTTTTGAAGAAATGGCTTGCGGACCCTACTTATGCACCATTTTTTGCTGCCTTTCTTATTTTTCACCATTTCCTGAGCCTTTAAGATCCTAGAAAAAATGGATGTCTCGATATAGAATCATTTTTGGTGCCTTTCTGCGGCCTTTTTGCTGCCTTTCTTCAGCCTTTCTGCGGCCATTTTTAAGCCTCTTTTTTTTAGCTTCTTTTTTTAGCGAACCCTTCCGAATTTGCCCGAGTGGATTATTCCTCCGGAAATTTTTAAATACAAAATTTTCACCAAATCACCTTGATATCCTCACGCGGCAGCAGTCCATGGTACCATTTCTCTGCAGCGAGGTTCTTGTCGCACATCTTTCCGGGGACTTTTATTCAATAAATGACGCTTTAACGTTCGTTTTTTGAGGATTTTTCATAATCTACGTGGGAGAATTTAAAGCCGCAGTTTTTCCCTTATTTTAGCTTTTTTTTTTCCTTGATTACATTCATTTTTGAGAAGTTTTGTGATTTTACTTTTGATTTTTGCAGGCTGAAGGGCTCAATTGTTCTAGGCAGAATTTTGAAACGAAGTTTCGATTTGAAATCGACCCAAACTTTGTCGAAATCCCACGACGCCACAATGACAACGTTACCTTGCAGTGAGGACGAATTCTATGAGAAGGTACTAGGAAAAAAGTAATGAACATAACTTTTTGAAAGTCAAGGGATCAACTAGGAGATGAGAAAAGGTTAAAAAAAAATAATTAAATAATCACTTTTTTCGAATTTTTCATGAAAATCGTTAACACGCGTTCTCTGAGAAAGTCGATAAATCCAAAGAAAAAAAAAAGTTTTTCTGATTTGCCTAAAAATGTGGTCACAGCTCACACATGTGTTTTTTTAATTATTGAATCCAGATGGCTCCGCCCCTTTTTTTAGGGTTACTGTAGACAGTAAGCTGGAGAAAATTTAAATTTTTCCTGTTGAGAATTTTCAGTCAAAAATGTTTGAAAGTGTAAGAAAATACTGTTTTGAGTATTTTTCAGTACTAAATTTTTTTCTACCTCGGCTTCTTCAGGGAGAAAAAAATCGATATCTTTTCAAAAACAGCGATTTTTTCAATTTTTGAGCCATAACTAGAGTAAAAAAATCCCCTATGGTACGACTTTTATTTCTGATTATGAAACTAGGGGCTTTGGTCTTTAAGAAAAAAAGTAGTTTTACTAGAAAAATAAAATTTTTTTTCCCTAAGTTGTCGAAAAAAACTGAATTTTTCGCCCGTTTTGATTTCAAGAGCCATATCCAAAAACCTCCTCTATGTTTCGAGATGAAAAATTAATTTTTCTCCGGAATGACAAGAAATCTCCGATAAACTAAAAATATATAATTTTTTTATAATTTTAATTTTTTTCCAGGCGGAATCATACTGGTCACGAGCCAGCCAAGACGTCGACGGAATGCTCGGCGGGTTTAGCAATTTGCACAAGCCCGACATTACCGTTTCCAAGAACTTTATTAGTACACTGAAGAACAAGGTTGAGTAGTATGTAGACATTTATCTCAACCAGGAATTCTGTAAAGCTTTTCATAACTTTTATCTTCCATCAAGCTGCCCTCCCGTCGAGGTGCTCGGTCTGCATCTGTCTATGCGCCTTTAATATGATGAAAAATTTAAGCTGGGAAAATTTTCAGTGGCCACTATAGAGACTCGCCAAGGACACTAAAGTGGCCACTAAACCCACCTCTATAGTGGCCACTATTTACCGTTTTAGTGCCCACTTCAGTAGTTTTTCATCCAGTAATCCTTCCAGTAACCCTGATAATTTTAAAACAAATAGATTGGACCAGTTATGTTGATCCATTGACCCCTAAAGTGGCCACTAAGTGGTCTAGTAGTGGCACTTAGAACTCTATAGTGGCCACTAATTTTCAACCCCTCAAGTGGCCATTAATTTGACTACTATACTGGCCACTCAAACGTCAAAACCCTATAGTGGCCACTAAAAATTTTCCCAGTACAACCCACGACTTTTTTTTTTGGCCCGCTCATTTTTTTTCCGTAAAGTTTAGTGTGCATACACTGCGGCGCTCTGGCGCATGCCACGTTTATTTTTCACGAAATTCAAAAACATATCAGAATTTCCGAATTTCCGTTAAATTTTTCACTCTCTAGTGGCTATTTTGAATTTCGCGGAATTAATTTCAACACGGTATGTGTTTTAAAAAAAATGAAACAAAAAAATCGCGTTTTTTTCAAAAAGAGAAGTAGGTTCGTCTCAAGGCCCATTGAACATGCGCCTTTAATATTCCCTGTTGTTTACGCGTTTTTCCAATGACGTCACATTGAAACGGCGAAGTTTTGACCACATATTTGGATTTGCATTTTCCTCCACTAACAAAAATGCCGTGTAATTCGGAGGAAAACAAAAATTTCTCATCTAGCCTAAAATTTCCTTTATTTTAAAGGCGCATGCTCAGAGACAGGCCACGCGCATTGAAGCGAAGAGAAAAACTTTTATACATTTTTTTGAAAGCTTTTTCTTTCGTTTTTTTCAGTGTTCCAAAGCGCTGAATTTTTCGAACAAATAACAAATTTCTTATATTTTTTTGCCTGTAGGAATTTTTTTGATTTCCAGAATTTTTCTGTCCGCGTCGGATTATGCCCTGGATTGTGGGGCCGGAATCGGAAGGGTCACGAAGCATCTCCTGATGCCCCTATTCAAAAAAGTCGACATGGTCGACGTTGTCCAGGATTTGATCGTGAAGAGCAAGGAGTATATCGGTTGGTTTTGACATAGGCAGAGTCGGTAGGACCCTTTAGGGACCCCTTGAGCGTCCGGATCAAAACGTTCCATTAATTGTTCCCAAATGGTTTCCTTTTCACTGCCTTTTTCCACCCTTTCATCGGCCTTTATCCACCCTTTTTGGACCCTTTTGAAATAATTTTTTAAATTGAGAATAATCTTTGAATGTGTAAGAACCAAAATGGGCTACAGTAATAAAATCGGAAATAATCAATTTCCGAGACTTTCAGCACCCTTTTTGGACCCTTTTCGGACCCTTTTTGGACCCACTTTGCACCCTTTTTGGACCCTTTTCGGACCCTTTTTGGACCCACTTTGCACCCTTTTTGGACCCTTTTGAAAAACACAACATTTTTTAAATTGAGAATCCTCTCACAAAAGTTGCGGTGCACCCCGCGTCGAACCGGCCATCGGGGTGCACCCCTCGTTGATGTTTTCGGTGCACCCCTGGTTACACTGCGGGGTGTATCGGAAAGTTCAACGCGGGGTGCACCGCAACTTTTGTTAGAGTCTTTACCAGTGACTGTGTATGAACCAAAATGTGCTACAGTAATACAATCGGAAATCATCAATGGCCGAGCCTCTCGGCACCCTTTTAGCACCCATTTTGCACCCGTTTTTCGCACTTCCTTTGGCAGTAGAGGATAGTTGAAAAAAAAAAACACGAAAAAAGTTAGGAAAGCTGTTTTTTTTGTCATTTTTATCTCAATTCTCTGTTTCATGAAGGATATATTATCAATTATTCCTGTTTGGAAAGTTTCATCACTGTGTGGGGTTTTTGCTCGATTTTTTTGCCATTTTAACGAAGTTTTTGAAGATTTTCAGATAATTTTTTTTGTGTTTTGTCAAAATGAAAAAAACATTGAGAAAAACTATTATTTTCGAGAATATTATAGTAGAATTTTTCCTCCTAAGTACATAAGAATCTCTCATTTCGAAAAATTTCTCCTTTTTTTAGAGTTTTATAATTTTTTTCTTTGGACATGAATAATTATAATACCGAAAAAAAGTGAATTTATTCTTCACCAATTCAAATTTTGGCCACCTGAATTTGAAAAAAAGTGGAAAAAAATCTGTTTTTTTCGCGCCCTTTTTTTATCTCAGTTCTCTGTTTCATAGATGATATATTATCAATTACTCCTTTTTGGAAAGTTCATTCTATAGAGCAATGCTCAATTAATGTTTCTTTTTTTTCTTGGTGATTTTCTTTTCCACGAAATTTTTTTAAAAAAATTTTTTTATTAGGATTTTTTTGTTCGACTGCTTCAAACTTGGGAAAAATCGAAGCAAAATATCATCCGAAAATATTTCGGTAGAAAAAGAGTGCAGAATCTTTTATTTGAATTTTTTTCTTCCTATTTTAGAGTTCCATAATTTTTTTGGACATAATACGGAAAAAAGTGCAATTTTTCGCCAGTTCAAATTTTTGGCCACGAAAAATTTGTGCGTTCTTTTTTTATCTTAATTTTTCTGTTTCATAGAGGATATATTATCAATTTTTTTCCTATTTGGGAAGATGCATATTGCGGTAGTTGAAGAAATGTTTTTTTTCGCTCAATTTTTGTGATTTTCACGAAATTTGTAAGCTTTTTCAGAAGGTTTTTTTGGTTGGTTGAAATTGAGAAAAAAATCGGAAAAAAATAATATTTTTTTGAAAAATATTTTAGTAGAACGTTTTTTTGCTGAAGCGCAGAAAAAAATCGTTATTTCGAAAAATTTCTTTCTTTTTTTGAGTTTTGTTAATTTTTGTGCTTATTGTAGAAAAAAAGTGCATTTTCTCTTCACCAATTCAAATTTTACCACGAAAAAAAGTTGAAAAAAACCTTTTTTTGCGTCCTTTTTATCTCAATTTGCTGTTTTAGAGAAGAGATATAAAATGAATTATCCCTATTTGGAAAGATTCATTAAAGGAGAAATCCTAAAAAAATTTCTTTTTTTCGATTTTCTCGACTTTATTTGGCCAAAAACAGGTCTTTTTCCGCAAAATTATCTGATTTCAGTCCATTTTGCGCTTTTCCAGGCGATGAAGCTGGTATCGGAGAGAAATTCGTCGAAGGCCTTCAATCCTTTGAGCCGCCAGAAAAACGATATGACCTCATCTGGATCCAATGGGTTTCCGGACACCTAACACATGAAGATTTGAAGAATTTCTTTGCCCGTTGTATTGTTCGTTCATTAAATTTTTTGGAAGGAAAAACTGAATTTTTTCTTTTCAAAGAGTACGGTATGCAAAAGTCCGCAATTTGGCGTGTGCACTTTGCGTGTTAGCACATTTTTTCGCTTTTCTCCCAGTTTTGTCCCAAATTTTTACCGAAATGGAGTGAAAATAAAGGAATTTCTGCAAACACGCACACGCCAAGACGCGGACTTTTCCATACCGTACTCTTCGAAAATGAAAAAATCGCCCTTGCACAGAAAAAAACGAATGAAGTGATTCAGAAGGGACTGAGAGAAGACGGCTGTATTGTACTGAAAGATAACATTGCCAGCGGGAAAACGGCCATTTTCGACAGCGAGGATCACAGTTGGACACGGCTCGAAGTTCGTTTTCCCCGAGTTTTATTGAAGAAAACAAATTAATGAGTTTCCCGTTTCACCCCTTTTTTAATTAGAAGTTTCGGTTATTCTTCCAATAGGTAGACTATTCCCGTATGTCGATTTCGTGTACATATACTCGTGGGAACGCTAGAGTGGTCTATAAAGAGAAAAAATCTCATGTTCGCAAATTTTAGTGACCCCTATAGGGGTGGTTAGGTGCTCCCTTGAGGGGAAGCTAAAGTTGCCCCTATAGAGATCACTTAGACGTTTCTGAGCTGGTAGCGACGAACAGTCTAGCTTCTCTGCGCTCTCTTTTCTCTCGCCGACTGGAAAATATCGTGTGGACACGAGAGATCGCAGAGAAATCAGACGGTTTAGAGTTGTGAGACCTCTTTATGAACTTCAGCGTGTTTCCCGTTTCACCCTTTTCTTAATTACAATTTTCGGTTTTCCTTCCAATAGTGTTTAATTTCGATTTGTCGATTTCGTGTACATTTACTCTTGGGAACGCCAGAGTGGTCACTTAAGGCCTTATAGGGGACAAAATAATTTCCCCTTGAGGACTCAAGTTCGGGTAGCCCCTATAGTGGTTTTTTTGTTCAGATTTGAAAGTTTGCTCTCCTAAAGTGGCCACTTTTGCTAGTTTTGGAACAGTCTAGCTTCTCTGCGCTCTCTTTTTTCTCGCCGAAATGAAAATAGCGTGTGGACACGAGAGAGCGCAGAGAAATCAGACGGTTTTGAGTTGTGAGCGCTCTTTTGGACACCTTGTGAAGATTTTTAATCTATTCTGATTTTTTTTTTTTCTGGTTTTCTGAAAGCAACTCGGCCATTAATGAATGAACTATATCAATTTTTTGAAGAAAATCCTAAAAAAAAAAGACTATTTTCAGGAAGAATTGATCGAAATTTTCGACGAAGCGGGCCTCCGAATCGTCTCCCGAACACTACAAACGGGATTCCCGAAGGCCATTTTCCCGGTCAAACTCTTTGCCTTGAAACCGAAGCGGCCTTCCGATTTTGAATAGTTTTCTGTTTGAATAATACTTGTCAATTTCACGCTAACACGCCAATAAATCATTGGACTAACAGAGAAACAATTGAAAAAGGTTTAAAAAAATAAAAAGAATCATTTTTTTGAAAAAGTTTCATAGTGATTTTGCATGAGTCAGCGAAAGAAGAAAGTGGTATAGCAGAGATTCCCGTTTCAGAAAAAAAGTTTAGAGTTGGAAATTTTTTTGATTTGGTTATTCTAGTGCGAAATGTTCTACTAAAAATTGTCTATATTTTCAATTTTTTTGGAATTTGACTTTTTTTCTATTTTTTTGAATATTTTTTTTAATGCTTTAATTAACCAATTTTATCCGTTTTAAAAAAAGATTTTTTTATGGCGTGAAAAGGGGAAAAATATACGATATTAACTGTTTTTTTCTTGAAAAACTCTTATTTCTATTTTTTTCATAAAATCGAAAAAAAGATAAGAATTTGAACAAATTTGAGCGGTAAACTGAACAAAAAAATACAAAAATCCAGAGACGTTTTAAATTTTCAAAAAAATCCTGAATTTAAATCATATTCCAGTTTCAGAAAAAAAGTTTAGAGTAGGAAAAATTTTTACGATTTGGTTGTTCTAGTGCAACATTTTCTACGAAAATTGTCTTTAATTGTCAATTTTTCGGGATTTGAACATTTTGAAGTCATTTTTTGAAAATGTGAGTTTTTCCTAACATCTCCAAAAGCTGTTATCGAGATTTTTGAGGCGTAAAGTGCGGAAAATACGCATTTTTAACTATTTTTTCTTGAAAATGTCCAGAAGATTCATTGTGATTTGCTTGATTTCGAAGAAAAAAAAGTGGTATATCCGAGATTCCCGTTTCAGGAGAAGTTTAGAGTAGGAAAAGTTTTTGATTTGGTATTTATACGGCAATGTTCTTCGTAAAATGTCTTTCTTTTTCAATTTTTTTGAAATTTGAACATTTTGAATTCATTTTTTTGAAAAATTCGATTTTTCTATTGTCAATCACTACAAAAAAAGCTGTTTTCTATCAATTTTATCAGTTTTAAAAAGATTTTTTTGGCCAAAAAGGGTGAAATTTAATCTGATTTTTCTTGAGAATTTCCATTTCTACCTTTCATAAAATCAAAAAATCAAAAAAGATAAGAATTTGAACGGTAAACTTGGAAAAAAAAAACAAAAAATTCCAGAGCATTTTCAAATTCTCATGAACCGGAGATTACTGTTTCAGACGCTTTTCCGATTTTTTCACCTCAAAATCCAACTTTCAAAGCGACTATTTTTATAACCACCTTCTTCCCCGCTTTGCAGACATTTAGATGATGAAAGGTGACGGGAAAGTTCGACCCTGTTGGTGACACATTGAGTTGAAAAATTCATGAACTCTTCAAATTAATTCCGCGTTTTGACTTTGCAACTCACCAACTCCATGTTTCTACTATTCTTACGCAAGAATCGGTCAGAAAACAGCAGAAAAATGTTGATTCAATAAAAAAAAGCCCTTTTTAGCCATGGAGCGCACATCACTCGGTTTTTTTACGGCTGTTTTTTCCGGAGTTTTTTTTATTTATTTTTTTTAAAATATGGTGGAAAACGCTTCATTGAACATACTAGGAAGCTGATCAGAGCAATTTAAAGCAAAATCATGAAGAAAAACCAAAAAAAACTTGTGTTTATTTGCTAAAAAGTCGTTTATTTATCAACAGAGCACATTTGAGGAAAGAAAATAGCTTCTTATAGTTATTATGAATTTGATTTATTTTAATCGAATCCAGCGTTTTTCCATGGTACCGGTTTCTAAAAAGAGGCCCTTGGAGCGAACATTTTTCTTCGAAACCCATTTTCAGGCCAGTCGATGCGCCTTTAAAATTTCCAACGCGATGGATGGACTATAAATGTCATTTAGAACGCCGAAAGGTGCAAAAATTCCCCATATTTGCCCATGAAATCATCCGACGTCGGTTTTTTGATTAATCCCGTGGCAAACGGTAGGAAATAAAGTCCAATAAAGTGTTTCACGGAGATTTAATTAACCGGAAACGGGCCGGGGGGCGTGGCTTCCTCGGGGCGGATTCAGGCCTCATTCTTGAGCTCCTTGAGCCCCCAGGAGGTCTTCCCGGCCCCGCCCACCAGAACTTTTCCACATTTTCTCGTCTTATCAAAGCAGCTGATAAGCCCTCAGTCGCTCAATTTTTGCGCCCAAAACTCGACTCGACCAATGAAATTCCTGATTCCCCTCGTCTGTTTCGTCACCCTCGCTTTGGGTTCGTTTTTTGAGAATTTTTGGAGTCCAGGCCTAGAAATTTTGAATTCACCAAGTAGCCTGTATAGTCTCTCAATTCATAGAAAAAAATTTAAAAAAATAAAATTCAGAAAAAGTTATGAAAAAAATTATTTTTCCAAATGAAGAGTTAGTGATAAGTTTACATTGATTTGGGCTCCTTTTTTTAAAAAAATTTCAGAAAAAATTTTTTTTTCCAAGTGAAAATTTAGTGATAAAGTCACCATATTTTTTTGACTGCGTTTTTTTCAAAGATTTATAAAGTCCAGGCCTAAAATTTTTATATGTAATGAGTAGCCTGTATAGTCTCTCAAACCATAGAAAAAAATTGTTGGAAATATATATTTTTGAAATAATCAAAAAAATCAAGCTTCAAGTGCAAAGATATCACAGAAAAATATGGATTTTTTTGATCGATTTTTCCCAAATTTTCATAGTTTTTCTTTTCCAAGTTTTATTCTCGATACTCTTTGATAATTTACCATCAAATTTGAGTTTAGAGTTTTTTTCGAAGTAAACTCTATTAACACGCTGTCTCTGTAATTTTTCAAAAAAGTTTCAAAAGCAACGGGTACAAAAAAATTTTTATTTTTTTGATTTTGATGAAACTTCATCCAGTGTGATAACCCATCATCAGAAATGCGGACGCAACTTTTTGAGCCATTTCCTCTTACTGTAGCCGGATTACGGTAGGCAGGTGGGCACCTGCGTATCTAAGTATAGAAGAGTTATTACTAGGCAAGTGATATATCAATCGATAGGTAATCAAATTTTATGAACTTTTTTAGTACATACCATCTTGGGTTACTGTAGGAATTTTCGAGTTACGGTAATTTTTGTGTTTGGAAAGTCGGTTTTTTGGTCACCCTGGTCGTGGGCATAGAATCGCATCGTAATTACTTATATGGAATATGTCTTGTAGTATGTTCTAAACAATGCCACAAAAAAAAGTTCGAATTTCTAAACCCGTCATCTCGAGATTTCACTCCGAACGCGCGCAACTTGGCACTTGGCGGCGAGGGTTGGTCGTGGTTGACGATTTTTCACATTTTTTTCTTCTGTTAGATATTGGTGTAAAACTTTTTTTAGATTATAACTACAGTATGTTTTTGTAACATTCAAAGTGGTTTGAAGAGATCTGTACGCTACATATTTGGCCGAAACTTTGTTTTGAGCTCTATTTTCGCTTGAAAAAAAGCGCGATTCGCTCTGAAAAAGATTGGTTTTTAAAAATTTCCGACAATCCCGCAGTTTCCAAAGCTATTAAATATGTAACTGACATCTTCTAGGTTACAATTGATATAGTTTTGTACTAGAACAGGTAAACATTTATGAGACTTTGCTTGACTTTTATCGAACCCGTCTAGCCTAAAGCTGCTTTTGAACCCTATTTTGGCTTCGTCGGTGGGTCTGAGGCTGGATTTTTGAGCTTCGTAGCTATTTTCTCATTCGTACATCGCAAGAAGTAACGTTTTCATGCAAAAAAAAGTTGAACAGAAATTCAGCTGCGAGAATTTCGCCAGCTTTAGGCTAGACGGGTTCGATAAAAGTCAAGCAAAGTCTCATAAATGTTTACCTGTTCTAGTACAAAACTATATCAATTGTAACCTAGAAGATGTCAGTTACATATTTAATAGCTTTGGAAACTGCGGGATTGTCGGAAATTTTTAAAAACCAATCTTTTCAGAGCGAATCGCGCTTTTTCAAGCGAAAATAGAGCTCAAAACAAAGTTTCGGCCAAATATGTAGCGTACAGATCTCTTCAAACCACTTTGAATGTTACAAAACATACTGTAGTTATAATCTAAAAAAGTTTTACACCAATATCTAACAGAAGAAAAATGTGAAAAATCGTCAACCACGACCAACCCTCGCCGCCAAGTGCCAAGTTGCGCGCGTTCGGAGTGAAATCTCGAGATGACGGGTTTAGAAATTCGAACTTTTTTTTGTGGCATTGTTTAGAACATACTACAAGACATATTCCATATAAGTAATTACGATGCGATTCTATGCCCACGACCAGGGTGACCAAAAAAACCGACTTTCCAAACACAAAAATTACCGTAACTCGAAAAATTCCTACAGTAACCCAAGATGGTATGTACTAAAAAAAGTTCCTAAAAATTTGATTACCTATCGATTGATATATCACTTGCCTAGTAATAACTCTTCTATACTTAGATACGCAGGTGCCCACCTGCCTACCGTAATCCGGCTACAGTAAGAGGAAATGGCTCAAAAAAGTTGCGTCCGCATTTCTGATGATGGGTTATCACACTGGATAAAGTTTCATCAAAAATCAAAAAAATAAAAATTTTTTTTGTACCCGTTGTTTTTTTGACAGTTACAGAGACAGCGTGTTAATATTGAACTTATCTAATTTTTTTAATAACCTTAAAAATTATTTTGAGACTTGAAAAATTGTTTTTGAACTTTTTCGCCTCAAAACAAGAACATTCCAAAAATGGGATGTTCTTTTTTCCGTTTTTAAATGACTTTTAAAATGATTGGTTCGGAAATAAGAACGAGAAAGATAGCGTGAGGACTCATTTTAGAATGGAAAACAAGAATTTTCGGACGATATTGGTTTCAGAAAAATATTTGGAATTTTCTGGGAAAGTAGCTTTTTTCGACTAAAAATCTCCTTGAAAATCAATTTTTCGGTAAATTTCCTTGAGAATCAACCCTCTGCAGGATACCGTATGAAGCTCTCGGTTTTTCAAAATCGCTTCGAGACCATTTTTGGGACACTTCACTGATTCTTTGATGTTTTTTCAAGCGAAAATAGGATCCAATTGGTTTTTAAAGTTTAAAAATGACATCTGAAAATTCCGTCAGAGAAAAAAAAATAATAAATTTTGGACAATTTTGAATTTCGCGGGCTAGCACTCACAAGGAAGGCCAATTCACTTTCCGCTTGGGAATTTCCTGAAAATTGGCCAGAATATTCTTTGATGCACTAAAAAGAAATTCTTAAAATCTCAACCTGCGAAAATCTCTGGTTTTCGAGAAATAAAGGCTCAAAGCTCAGAAATAGCCTGTTTTAACAGATTTTGAAGCGTCTTATTTCAAAATCTAAGAAATTCTGTAGGTTGAAACTCCCAGAATCTTCTTCTAGTACATCCAGAAGTGTTCTGGCCGCTTTTCAAAAAAATCCCAGCCAAAAAAGTGAAATGACGTCAGAGCTGAAGAATCAACATGTTTTAATGATGAAACGCGCAAGTCGCTTCGGGTCGGGCGCATTCTCTTTTTCATTTTTCCCTTGTAAGAAGAATCCCGGAACCATCCGGAAGAAACCTCAAATAAAATTATATATTTCCCATCCCAAAAAGGAGTGTTCTATTTGGGATGACCTCCGACGTCATCATTTGACCCGTCCGACTCAATTTCACTCAAAAAACTCGTCTCAGACAAAGATACGACACGTTTTTCCCGCTCACAAATGCATCTACAAAGTCTGCTCAGTTGCTGAAAAACAAAAATATTTTTTTTGATGAAAAAAATATGATATTCATAAAAATGTTCGTTAGTGATCTTTGAGTCACTCTGGAGCTTATAAACTTTCGGCACTTTATTGGGAAAATTCTAGTGGCCACTTAAGAGGTTCCTTAAAGACCACTTGGAGAGGACACTAAAGTGGCCATAAGATGATCTCCATATAAGCCAATTTTCGCGTCTTAGTGGTCACTATAGTAGTTTTTAGAGGTCTAGTGACTGCTATAGTGGCCACTGAAATATCAAATCCCTCAAGTGGTCACTTAAAATTATTTATTACTATGCTTTTTTCAACTCAAGTGGCCACTAAAACGTCAAAACTCTTAAGTGACTACTTAAATTTTATAAATAGCTTGTTTTTCAAGAAAAGTAGCTGAATTATACGAGAAAAAGATCAGGGAATGGTAAGGGAAATAGTGTGTGTCAATGAGAGAGCTCTAGAGTAAGCTGTGGATTTTTTTAACGCTACAAAATGCTCTGGTCGCAAGTGGAATGGCCTAAAGCGTCGCGGTCGCGTCGAAAGCCGAATATTTTAAGCTTTGGCGCAAGTCGTTTCTAGTCGGGCGCAGCGACCACTACGCCTTGAAACACTCCACATCCATACGTAAAAAAAACCTGTTTTTCGGTCAAACAAGCCTTAAAAATTTAAAAAACAGCTATTTTATCGATTTCAGGAGCGCCAGCCCAAACCGGTGAACAACAGCAAAGAAATCTGGCTCTGGAGCTGGCCCAGCTCAAACAGCAGCTCGCCAGCCTTGAAAGACAGTATTCTGCGGTTCGTTTTGTGATTTTTAACCTGAAAACTACTGAAAAAGAGAAAAAAAAGATTTTTTTCTACAAAACATCTCAAAATACTTCAAAAATTAAAAAAAAAAATGTTTTCTACACATAGGCCATTTTTTCAATAAATCTTAAAATATGTTTTTTACAGTGTTCGATAAAGGAAGTTGTATATATTCTTAATTCGTTTAGTTTTTGAAAAAAGGTTCATTGAGAAAAAAGTTATGGCCAAAAAAGTGGCGTTAAACTGAACGCGAAATTCCACGGTTGCCGCACGCTGTTTTAAAATTCATTTCGCGCATTTCAAGACCGTTCTCTAATCAATTTTCTGTTGCTAAACGTAAACTAGACTGTGCTGAACATAATTTTTAACTTATCGCATAACTTTCACTACAAAAATTAAATACAAAAATTGAAATAAACCTTCCAAAAAACCTGAAAAATTTTGATTTCAAAGTTTACTGTTTTCTAAACTTTTCCAAAAGTATTTCCCAACAACAGCGTGTACCAGAAAAACAAAACTAACTTCAATTTATTTTTAGAAAAAAACATAAAAAAACCGATGATTTGAATTAAATTTTTTTCAAAAAAATTTTTGAGGTTAAAACGCGCCAAGTAGCAGAATGACGCAATCTTACACCCATACGCGCAAAAATTTAATTCGGAAAAAAAGGGGGAAAATGTCTGTTCAAACGAATCATTATTTTTTTAAACCAGAAATCTCTTATTTTTTTTCTTTAAAAACTATAAAGTGACAGATAAAAAAACTTCAAAAATGAAAAAAATTAACCTTTTTTTGCACATTTCTCTACCGGAACGTACCGAAAAACCCCAAAAAAATCTCATGATCACTGGAAAAAAATGGCATCATAAACCCAGACCAATATCGTCATGATAAGTCACATTGACCATTAAAAAGGCTTGTGAAACGGACGCGAAACTCGTAAAATGTGTTATTCGAAGAATTTTATCCCAAAATAGGTAAAACAAAGAGTTTTTGAAGTAAAGGACCGGGATTTCGATTTTTGAGGGATTGAAAAGTCAAAAAATGGCAGTATCCTTTAAAAAAGAGCCAGAAAAATATTTTTCAAGAACCTGATTTTTTTCAATTTAACACTAAAGTGGTCAGGTTTTGAAAAAGAGCAAAGATTAATTCATTTAGATGGCTGAGCAAGATTAAACTTGATTATTTAGAGAAAATAGAGCTCTCGGAGCATTTTTTTAAGAGACCATTATTTTTAAACCATTGAATTTTCTTTCTAACTGAACTTTTTTGCAGAAAAATACATTTTTCTGCTTCCCTAAAAGAGGAAGTCTCGTAAGGAAAGCAAGGATTTTAGTCTGAAATTTTGGGGTTATAGCAAAAGCTTCCAAAGAAAAATGTAGCAGAGGCTTATTTTTGTATTTAATGCAAGATTGTTCTTCTTTAATCCTTTAAAAATCATGAGAATTTCAGCCGGAAGCCCAAGGAGCCAAGCCGTCGTTGGTAGACATGCTCAATGGATGGAAGCCGCAGAAACGGATGGTCGCCTGGCAGCCGATGAAGCGTTCCTTCGACTACGATCACGCTCCCCGTTCGTTTTATCTTCTTTTTTCGTTGTAAGGTTATTAAAATTGGAAAAACCGCTCTTTTTGAATATTTTTGTGCTGTAGACAAAGCTGCCGACAGACCGGGTGACCCATGGAAAAATTTGAAAAAATGCATTTTTAATGACCAATATAAGGTTTTTACGTCATAGTGGCCACTATAGTAGTCAAATTAGTGGCCACTTGAGGGGTTAAAAATTAGTGGCCACTATAGAGGTCTAAGTGCTACTAATAGACCACTAAAAATTTTGGTGGCCACTTTAGGGATCAACATAACTGGTCCAATCTGTTTGTTTTAAAGTTATCAGAGTCGCTGGAAGGAATACTGGATGAAAAAATACTGAAGTGGCCACAAAAACGGAAAATAGGGACCACTTTAGTGTCCTCTCCAAGTAGTCCTTGGCGAGCCTCTATAGTGGCCACTAAAAATTTTGCCACTAGTTCGACCCGTCTCAGCAGTGTCTTTGGCCATGTTCAGCTACTTCAAAGTCTTATTTTCCATTTTATTTATCAGTTTTATTTCTTTTCCCCTACTCAACTCAGAACGGTCCTAAAAAGGTTAATAATACATACATCAACTTAGAAATTTATAAGATAACGAATAGAACTAATCACGGACCCATTCGTTCAGTTTGAGCTGGTTTGGAGGAAAATTCGATTAATTTTTTAAAAATTGAAGCTTCGAAATAAAGCTGGAGGAGACCTATGACATTTTATGGGTACAACACACATTTTTTTCCAGAAATGAATCATAAAAATTGGTATTTTCAAGTTTTTAGAAGTTTTAGAGTCTACAAAGTGATTTGAGCCTTTTTCCTTTTTTTTTTCGCTATCGATTTCAACTTTTTTAAATTTTTTTAGAGCCCCGAAAAATTTATTAACGTTAGAAAAGAGCCTCAGAATTAAGGTATAAAGTTTTTTTTTTCGAAGAAAGTCCAACAATGTACTCATTTAGACCCAAGCTTGTCGAAAATTCGAAAAAAAAAGTTGATTTTTTGATTTTTCAAAAAAAGTCTTGACACGATCTAAATGGAGGTTACTGTAGTTTGAAATTTTTACTGATAAACTAGCGTTATTTGAACAATCAACCTAAATTTCCCGTCTTTTTTTGAATTTTTCAAATCGAATTAAAGTAATAAATATTTCAAATACTTCCAATTCCTCCCTGTTGAAATTGTGACGAGATTAACTCTTATCGATTGATTCGAACTGATAACGACGTCAGGAACACCCTTATTCTGGCATAATCTTACATTTTTCGAGCGGAACAACATTTTGAATGACGATGAAAATTTTGTGATTTCTTATTTTGGAACGGATTTTTTTTAAAACGTCTTTTTTTTCAAATGAAAGTTGAGCGGAAAAACATGTTTTTTTACATAAATTGAATCAAGTATGACGATTGTTTAACAAAAAAAAGCTGGATTTCGAAATTGTGAGAAAAATTCTTGTCGCACTGTTTATTTTCGAAACATCATCATAACCTCGGCGACAAAAAAAGAAATAAAATGCGATAAAAAGGAACTTGCAATGACGACAGCAGAAAAATCAAGCATGATAACGAAATTTTGACGTCCAAACGGAGTTGTTTCACTTCTGGAACAGACAAAAAAATGATTTGGAACCGTTTTGAAAAAAATTATATCAAGAAAAAGAGCTATTTTGTGTTTTTTTCCTTTCAAAATTCGCAATTTTTTTATAAATAGAAAGTTTTTAAGACGAAAAGAACTTTGGTGACAAGAGTAAAAATTGAAATTTGAAAGAAACGAAGAAAAAAGCGAAAATCCGAAAAATGGCGAAGCGTGTTGTCTATAGAGCAACTTTACTGCAACAAGCCCTTTTGGCCGGAATTCCGGCCAAATTATTTTATCAAATTATGAATGATTTTATCTTCAAAATTACCAAGTTTTTCACGTTTCCATGTTCACCGTTCGACAGGCGAGAAATTCCTCTACAAAACGGCATATTTTTCTCGAACCCCATTTTTTACTGTCTTTTTTGCGATTCTAAATTTGAAGAAATGAAAAAAAGATGGAAAAAAAATTTTAAGTTTAGACGACGGTTTCCAGAAAAAATATATGCGATTTTTCTAAAACTGCAAATTCCTCAATGATTCCTTTTCAGTCGTCCAAGCCGTTGAAGCTCGCCTGGCGGAAGTTCTCCGAGCTGGAGAAGGTCTCGGCGTGGCTCCGGAAGAAGTTCTGCAAGACCTCCGCGCCCGCAACCAGTTCAACTGAAAGCTGAACCAAGAAAACCCTCTTTATCTGTACCTTTTCTTCGCCTCCTGATACTTTGCGGTTTCCCAGTCTGTTCTCAATAAGAATGTGTTAATAATCATATTGGAATTTTTGTGTTTTTGGACAAGAAAAACGATTTTCAGTTGCAAAATTGATGCTACTGCGTGATCATACTGAAAATTGAAAGAAGTTTATCCATTTCGAAATTTTTAACAAACTTGCAGCTGAAGTTTCAGCTAGCTGCAAGTTTGTTAAAAAAAAATGTAATATTTCTTACGGTAAGCAAAAGATCTGCAGGCACCGAGGAAAAAGTTGCACTAATTTGATTTAAATTTTCCCTTTAAAAGGAGGAATTGTCATGCTTTTCTCAGTTTTTTTCCTCATTCCTTCCCTTTTTCGAAACTCCTGAAGTCGACTTTCCAGATTCTGCCGTTTTTTTTCGAGAAGCTTCGGAGCTAAAGAAACTTTCTATCGTTGTTTGTTTATTAAAAAAAGGCCTTATTTATTTATTTTTTTCTTTGATTCAATTTTTCTCCGTTTAGTTTTATTTGGCGGTTAACTTGAACTTTTTGAAAAGTTATAAACCTGAAAGAAATATTTTTAGAAGGCTTTTTTGCGTGATAAATAACTGAATTTGTGAGAAATGTTCATTTTTCGATAGTTTTCATCGTATACACGGAGGAATTTTTAGTTTTCGAGAAAGTTTTGGTTTTAGATGTGCTGACGAAGAAGCTAGAGAACTAAATATGAAAGAATTGCACGATTTTGCACGCCGCGCCGTGGAGAAGGGCGAAGCCCACATCTACCTGAATGCCCTTCACAAAAATTTGCATACTATGGTCAAAGAAGACTTTTATGAACCTCTCTGTCACAAGGCCTCAGTTTTACATTCTGAGGTTAATGAGAATCACAAAAAAAAATGGAATTCGAGGATTTTCAGAGTCTAAAATCCCGAAGAGACCCTCTGAGCATTCAGCTTTTCAAAGACAGGACCTTATGGATTGCGAAAATTCCGAGGTGAAAAATAATAATATTTATCAATCTTTGAAGGAAAAAAAAAATGTAAAACTGAAAATTTCAAGCTGCGACTTCTGCGACCGTCTTCTGATCCAGTCGACGGATTATTATATTCGCCAGAACTTGGATTTTCTTTCCGAAGATTTTGAATCGAATATGGCTATTTTTAGGTTGGAAATTTTATTTTTAGTTTCATAGGGGTTGAGAATAATTCTTGGAGGGTTTTAAAGTTGATTTCAGTGTGTTATATGAGGTCTTAGAGCTTGTAAAAAAACCTTAGAAAAAAATTGAAAAATTTACCTTTATGTACTAAAAATTAAAAAGAAAAACTCAGTTTATCTTATTTTTTTCAAGCTTAAAAAAATATGATTTTCTTCGAAAAAAATTGTTTGCTGTGGCGTTCAAAAAGTTGTTCTTGAAAATTTTAGATGTAAAAAAAGTTTTTTTCTCAAAACGAAATGTTTTATTTAATTTAAAAAAATCATCAAAATTGGAAAAAAATTGAAAATTACAGCTTTTCAGTTTCAAATTTAGGTGGTTTAATCAAATAAATACATTTTTTTCTTTCGAAATAAATTTTTCAGGCTTCTCACCCAAAGATCCGTCTATTTGTTCGAAAAAAAGGAGACAAGTTAAAAGAAGATAGAAAAAAATGTTAATTTCATTATTCTCAACATTGTCGGATGCTCGTTGGCGTGTTCAGATTGTCGAAATGGTTGGTTTTTCCTGAAATTGATCAGTTTTATTTAGGAAACTTTTTTTCTAAAAAAATGAAAAACTGAGGTTTTATTGAAAAAAAGGACTGATTTTTTTGCCGACCTTGAAGCGTTATTTTTTTAGTGAAAAAAATTTTTTTTATTTTCGAATTGTAAATATTTTCAACATTTTCACAAAAATTTTTTTAGGATTTATATGAATTTTACTTTAAAAAAATTAGATTTTCATTGTCTTTGAAGCGTTATTTTTTTAGTAAAAAAATTCTAAATTTTGATTTTTTTGGAATTTTAATTATTTTTTTAATTTTTTTCAGAAAACTTTTGAGAATCTTATTAATTTTAGTTGAAAAAAAGTTTGAGATTTTGCCCACCTTGAAGCGTTATTTTTTTAGTGAAAATTTATTATTTTAAATTTTCTGAATTTCCACAATTTTTTTAACTTTTTTTCTATGAATTTCAGTTGGAAAAAAAGTAGATTTTTGTCGCCTTTGAAGCGTTGTTTTTTTAAAAATTTTAAGTGTTTTTTTATGAGAAAAATCTTAAAATTTTTTTAGGAAAAATTTGCAGAAAAAAAGTTGATTTTTTTGCGCTTCAGAAGCGTTATAAAACTTGAGAATCTTGAGAAAAAAATTTTTTTATTTTTTTCATTTTATTATTTTTTTAAAGTGAAGTTTTTTTAAACTAAATATTAAGATTTCACTTGATCCAGCTGAAAAGAAGCGGTTTTTGGCGCTTTGGAAGCGTTTTTCTCAAAAAAACGGAATTTTTTTGCTGAAGATTTGAAAAAAATTTTTCCCTTTTTAAAAAAATAATAAACTGAAATTTTTTTGAAAAATTGGTTGGTACGTTCCTTAAATCACCCTAACTGCACTAAAAAAACTCGTTGAATTTTTCAGTTTTTTTCGTTGAATTTTAAGTTTATTCGAAATAGCTTCAAAAACTCAATTAAGATAATGCCTTTGGGCAATTTAAAAAAAGCCATAAAATTTAAAAATAAGCTATCGGATTCAATACCGTGTTCAAATTAATTTCCGTGAAAATCAAAAGTATCTCTGACTCTCCAAATTTTAGTTATCTTTTCACACTCTCTGATGTCGTGAAAACACGGCATAACACACGTTTCAGCGAGTTTTTAAATTCCCAAAGTTATCTTTTGTGATGATAGTCGGCTATTTTGACAGATTTCTAAATTCGCCTCGGATTTGCCGATTCATTTGGCGTCGAGATGGGAGATTCTGGCGGCTCTTCTCGGCTTGAAACAAATTTCCGATCCGTCTTTGTTTGTCAGTTTTTTTTGTTCTTCGTATAATTTATAATAGATTTTCTAGTCGTAAAAATATCTAGAATTTTCAGGGTTTTAATAGCATTGTTCTCATTGAATTACTTTCATAATATTTATTTTTTTTAAGAAATTCTCCGGAAGGTTTGAGAAAGTTGATGGAAGGGAGCTTATCCTTGATGGATTTTAGGAAGTTTTTTCAAAAATATTTAGAAATTTTCAACCTCAAAACGGTTTTATGAACGTTTAAGACAGTGGTAACATTGTCTGGCAGCTCTTTTTTGTTTAATAGTCATTTAGGGATCACTTAAGTGTTCCCTTAAAGTCAGTGAAGCTTCCAGAAAGCTTAATAGTAATTATTTTTCCAAGAAGCCTTTTTGACAAAATATTTTTCAGGGGTCCAAATAGGTCTTTTACACTTCACATGTATTTATAACGCTTTTCGGACATTTATAATAATTTTAGAACACTTTAGTGATCGCTTAAGTGTTTTCATGCTTCTTAAGTGTTCCCTTGAAGTTAGTGACACATCCAGAAAGCTTAAAAGTAACTAATTTTTCCAAGAAGCCCTTTTGAAAAAACTTTTTGAGATCTCTAGAAAGTTTTGATTTTTACAGACATTGGTAACACTTCCAGGAAGTGTACCGTCGTTTTTAAAGCGTTAGTAATCTCTTTAGTGCCTTTTGCGCCCTTTAAGTGGTCCCTTGAAGTTATTGACACTTCCAAAAAGCTTAAAAGTGACTAATTTTTCCAAGAAGCCTTTTTGAAAAGATATTTTTGAGGTCTTAAGAAAGGTTTTGAATTTTTATAGACATGGTAACACTTCCAGGAAGCATTAGATCGTTTTTAAAACCCTTTAGGGATCCCTTCAGTGACTTTTAAGCTTCTTGAATGCTCCCTTGAAGTCAGTGAAGCTTCATGGAAGCATTAGATCGTTTTTAAAGCGTTAGTGATCCCTTTAGTGCTTTTTGCCCCCTTAAGTGCTCCCTTGAAGTTTTTAACACTTGCAGAAAGCTTCTCTTTTTGATGAAATTCCCTATTTCGTTTTAAAATTTTGAGGAAATTCTTCTGAACGAATTGAAAGCCTGTTCGTCGGACCAAAGTTGCTCCGTCAACTGTTCGACTTTCGTCATCGCCCTGGCCTCCCTGGAAAATTCCTCAATTTGTGCAAAAGTCATCTACTCTTGCTTGTGTTCCGCTGAGAGGTGAGGCTTTTATTTTAGAGAATAATGAGAATTTTTTCGAAAAGAAGAAATGTTTGGTCTTTCAAAAAAAAAAATTAGGACCGATTGCGTGTTTTTTCAGACTTTGATACACGTTCAGAATTCAGAAAGCTTTTTTGGACAGTTTTTCCAAGAATTTTTCCACGAGATTCATAACTTATTAAATGATTTCTTAAGCTATCAAAAAATGGTCCTGACACGATTTAAAAAAAAATAGATAGCTTTTCAAATTAAGAAAATCATAGTTGGTCTCCAATTTGAGAAAAAAAAAATTAGGGCCAACCACGTGTTTTTTCAGACTTCGATACACATCCAGAATGTTCAAAAAGTTTTTTTTGGTTATTTTTTTTTCTAAGAACTTTTTTCGTGATCCATAGGTGGTTCAGAGCTGGCTTGAGCCATCGAAAAAGGGTCCTGACACGATTTTTAAAAAAAGAGACAGTGCCTGGTTTGTGGAGAGCGCAGACAGAAAAAATAACTTGTGTAATTTTTGAAATCAATGAGGAACTTTTCATATCAAGAAAAACATGGTTGGTTTCCAATTTCAGAAAAAAAAAACTCAGGGTCAATTGCGTGTTTTTTCAGACTTCGATACACGTTCAGAATATATAAAAAGCTTTTTTTGGATAATTTTTCTAAGAATTTTTTCTCGTGATTCATAGGCGGTTCAGGGCTGACTTGAGCCATCAAAAAAAGGTCCTGACACGATTTAAAAAATAGCCCCCCCCCTTCCCCTTTCGAGCCAACCGGGAATCGACTATATTTGAATTGAAAAATGCGCTTTTTTGAAAATTTTTTTTAATTTCCAGCGCGACGCGGAACAATGTTTCTCGCGCCTGGATCGGGCGGATGATTTCGATTCCCAGCTGCAAAGAAGCCATAGAAAAACTCATCGAAATGGCTCGAAACGACTTTTTGGCGCCCCTCCAACCGTACTGGCCTCTGAGCTTCCGACAGCTTCAAGTTTGATTTTTTTGTGCAAAAAATTTCAATTCCTGCAAATCAAAAGTTGTAAGAATGAGAAATAAATCTTCAACTACAGATTGTGAGAAATTTTGAAAAGTTAATGAATTTTCTTACTGTGCTCTTTGCTTAGCAGAAAAAATTTTCTCACAGTTGAAATTTTTCGTAAATTTGCCTGATCGTATTGATTGAATTCTGACGCTTCAAAATGTACAAAAAAGGCGTTTTTCAAGCTTTTATACTCACGTAAACTATTGGGAGAATTTATTTTTTTGGAATTGAATTAAACCTCCGCCAAGTTGCTGAGTAAATCTTCTAGTGGTCACTTAAGAGGATTCTCAAAAACTTCTTGGAGAGGACACTAAAGTGGCCACTAAAATAACCTCCATAGTGGTCACTTTTTTCCGTTTAAGTGGCCACTTTATAGGTTCTGTATTTAGTGGCCACTTCAGTAGTTTTTAGTGATTTAGTAGTATTACTTTAACTCCTAAAGAGGCCACTAAATTTCAGCCACCTTAGTGGCCACTAATTCACTATAACGTCAATACCCTAGAGTGGCCACTAAAAACTTTCCCGGTTCATCAAATAGTTAAACCAGGGGTTAAAAACCATTTTTTTTTCTGTATTTTCAAAGAATTTCCAACTTTTCCAGGACCTCACCTGCGTCGACTTGGAATGGAAGGAGAAGTTCGAAGAGGACCCTTCGACGGGACAAGATTTGGCTCTTCTCACTTATTTGACCATCTTCGAAGCCTTATCGAGTGGCGGCTCGCAAATTCGGATCCCGTTGGAAGAAAATGATCGAGTTGGATTTTTTTTTTTTGAATTTAATGGGATTTCGTTTGAATGTAATGATGAGGACGTTGGAGGAGCTGAAAAATTTCTCAAGAAATGTAATAATTTTTTTAATTTTCATAAGTTTAAACGAGCTTGAGAGACCAGAAAAAAATGAAATTTTAAGCTTTCAATGATCCAAAAAAATGGCTTAGAAAGTAAGAAAGCGTGATTTTGAGGCCATTTTTAAAAATTTTAAAAAGCTTAAATAGGTTTTTAAAAAAATATTTGTATGGTTTCGAGCTAAAACATCGAAAAATGTTCGAGGAGCTCAATTTTTGAAGAAAAACAGGAAAAAAATAAACGCTTTCGGGGGTTCAATGTTCGAAAAATTCGACAAAAATTGGTTTTTTTAGAAGAAAAATTTAATAGTACTTTCAGACGATATTTGAACTTTAAAGCTAAAAAAATAGTTTTTTATTAATATTTGTATGGTATCGAGCAAAACAACGACGAAAATTTTTTGAAAATAATTTTTGATTTGATGAGGCCCTGCGCCTTTAAAAACAGTATGAAGAGCTATAAAGAAGGTTTTTTGTACTTTGGTCGCACTGGGAATGGCTAGAGGCTTCAAGGTTGAAGCTCAAAATTCAAACCCTGACTGGGAAAATTTTTAGTGGCCACTATAGGGCTCGCCAAGGACTATTTGGAGAGGACACTAAAGTGGCCACTAAACCCACCTCCACAGTGGCCACTATTTTCCGTTTTAGTGGCCACTTCAGTAGTTTTTCATCCAGTATTCCTTCCAGTAATTATGATAATTTTAAAACAAACATATTGAGCCAGTTACGTTGATCCGTTGACCCCTAAAGTGGCCACTAAGTGGTCTAGTAGCCGCACTTGGACCTCTATAGTGGCCACTGATTTTTAACCCCTTAAGTGGCCACTAAATTGAGTACTATAAAGGCCACTAAAACGTCAAAACCCTATAATGGTCACTAAAAATTCTCCCAGAAACGTGAAGCTTTTACGACAAGCGAGAGTCGGTTTAAGGTCGGGCGCACTTTTCAATTTTTTTTTAAAGCCGCCACGCATTCAGCCATTCTACATGCGACCAAATTTAAAAAATATTTGGACAATTTTTGAACTTTCAAGTCTTGAAAAACGTTTCTATCATTTTATTTTTATGATTTTGAGGCAAACGTATTCCCAAAATGAGATCAAAAGTCTTTTTTTCTCATGCCCTGCGCCTTTAAAAAAACATTAGAAAAAAACTAGAAATAGGTAATATTCGAATTTTGGTCGCATTGGGAATGGTTGAAGGTGTAGTGAAATCTTACACTCAAAGCTTTGCCACCTCGCGAAAGCCGTTTTGAAGTCGGCAGCATTTCTTGAAGCCGCTTTGTGGCCGTGCCATTAAACTTGAAAAAAAAACAAATTTGTTACTTTTTCATACCCATTTTGGTCGCATTAGGAAGGGCCTTGAAATTAAAATATTGGTTCTTGCACTTTTGCAGCTCCGCGAAAGTCGTTTTGAAGTCGGGCGCACTTTGTGATAATTTTTGAAACGCGTTAAGTCATTCCCCCTGCGGCCAACTTAAAAAAAAAAGAAACTATATTTTTTAGATGATCCGCATCGCATTGGACTACCATGACGAGGAAATTCGTGAAAAAGCTGTCAATTTATGCAAGAAATATCGCATTTTTTCTTCTTCTATTGGTTTTTTTTCCTTTTTCAACATTATTTTTGTCATTTTTCAGAGCAAAATGCTGGGGAAATAGGCGAAAAAAACCGGCTGAATCTGATGAAAAAAATGGAAACAGAGACGGTGGATGACAATGTGAGAGTTTTATATTTAAAAAAAGAGGGGGAAATTCAGAAAAATAACCTTTTTGAAGTTTTTTTCAAGATTTTTTTCGGTTGCCACTCGATTTCTAGTTTTCTCAATGTATCGGCATTAGAATGGGGATTTTTTTCTGAATTGCTGGATGTTGAGATTTTTTCTTTTTGACAGGAAAAAAATTAATTTTTTTCGAATTTCCCTAAATTTTTTTCCCTTTCATGTGCATTTTTTTAAAGGAATCAAATATGAATCATCGATTTTTTTCTCATTTTATCGTGGGGAAAATGATCATTTTTTTCGATCAAACCTAAAAAAATTCCATGTTTTTTTCAAGAATTGAATCAATTTCAGTTAGGAAAAATCGTTGAAAAAAATTTTTTTTTCGAAAAAAATTTGACTCATTTTTTTAAATAATTTTTCCTGTTTCAGATGTCCCGATTTTTACCCGGTTTCTGAGGAAAGTTCCGATTTTGGACAGGATCTGAAGCTTGAAACGCTACTGGACGCTCGGAAATCGGTCGATAATCTCTTATCGATCCAATGTGATTATCGATTTTTTATTGATTATATTGATTTTTTCAAGCTTCATCCATTTATCCATCTGTCGCTGAGGTCATGGAAACCCTGAAGAAGAAAAATATCGACGAAAGGGCGATGGTTCTGAAAATGACGGTGAGCTGGGGAAGTTTGTAGTGACCACTTTAAAGTTTTGACTTTTCAGAGGTCACTTAAGGGGCCTTTCCAGAAGTCTATATGGTACTGGTAAACCACTAAAAATTATTATAGTGGTCATTAAAACACAAAATAATGGATCCTATAGGGGTTATTCTAGTGGCCACTTTAGTTTCATTTCCAAGTAGTTCTTGAGAAACCTCTCAAGTGGCCATTCAAGTTTTTCCCAGAGATTCAGAAAAATATGGAGATTTTAAAGGCGCATTACCTGATTTAAAAGACAGGTCTCGAAACGAAAGTGTTATTTTTGACCATAGTACCTTTAAATATCTGAATAACGATTTTTGAAAGCGTTTTATAATAAAATCTGCCTTGAATAAGACAGTGAAAAGCTCAAAAAACCCCTACTTTAAAGGCGCATTGCCCCATTTTGACAAAAAATTCTTGAAACGGAGAGCCGTTTTTTGCATTATTTTTGGTTATATGAGCCTTCTGTATTTTTAAATACCTGAGTTACGTTTTTTAAAGGAAATTCTGCCTAAAAATTGACGGTGAGATTCAAGTCCGGCACTTTAAAGGCGCATGTGCTGATTTTGACAAAAAGGTCTCGAAACGGTGAGCCTTTTTTTGCTTTATTTGGAGTTATATGAGCTTTTTGTACCTTTGAATACCTGAATTACGTTTTTTGAAGGGAATTCTGCCTTAAAAATGACGGTGACATGCTCAAAAGGCCGTTATTTTAAAGGCGCATAAGCTGATTTTGACAAAAAGGTCTCGAAACGGTGAGCCTTTTTTTGCGTTATTTGGAGTTATATGAGCTTTTTGTACCTTTGAATACCTGAATTACGTTTTTTGAAGGGAATTCTGCCTTAAAAATGACGGTGACATGCTCAAAAGGCCGTTATTTTAAAGGCGCATAAGCTGATTTTGACAAAAAGGTCTCGAAACGGTGAGCCTTTTTTTGCGTTATTTGGAGTTATATGAGCTTTTTGTACCTTTGAATACCTGAATTACGTTTTTTGAAGGGAATTCTGCCTTAAAAATGACGGTGACATGCTCAAAAGGCCGTTATTTTGAAGGCGCATAAGCTGATTTTGACAAAAAGGTCTCGAAACGGAAAGCCGTTTTTTGCGTTATTTTGGGTCATATGAGCTTTTTGTACCTGGAAACTCATAAATTACAATTTTTAAAACAAAATCTACCTTGAAAATGGCGGTCAGTTTCTTAAAAAGTTCGTTATTTTAAAGGCGCATAAGCTGATTTTAAAAAAAGTTACGAAACGAAAAGTAGTTTTTGTGTATTTATCGGTCGCATGAGCCTTATTTTTGAAAATGTGAAAATCATGGTATATTTTTCAGAAGATTATCGATTTTATTCGTGAAAGGGTTGCGAATAATTGTGATAATGTCATCGATCACGCTGAACTTTTGCTAGAGATCATGTCCCGCTGCCCTCTTCGAGTTTGCATTTGGCATTTGTCCAAAAAATCGATTTATCGGATTCCAGGCTGTCGTGGATTACTCTGGAGTCGTGGTTAAGGAACTCGGATCCGGCTCGGAAGTTTTCAAAGAGACCATCTTTCACTCGGTAATTTTCGGAAAAGGTTGAAAAAAAGCCGCTAAATGTGCGTTTCAAGGATATTTCAAAGGCGCGAAAAGTAAGATTTGATTAATTCTGTAGACAAATTTTGCACGGAAAAATATGGATTTCATGAATATTTTGTCAATTTCGTTCAACTTGCGGGAAAGTTCTTGACATTTTTTCTCGTTTTTCTTCTAAAAACTTGAATTTTTCATCGATTGATTTGAATTTCTGCTTCTGGGAAAATTGTTAGTGGCCACTATAGAGGCTCGCCAAGGATTACTTGAAGAGGACACTAAAGTGGCCACTAAACCAACCTCTATAGTGGCCACTATTTTCCGTTTTAGTGGCCACTTCAGTAGTTTTTCATCCAGTATTCCTTCCAGTAACTCTGATAATATAAAAAAACAGATTGGACCAGTTATGTTGATCCGTTGGCCCCTAAAGTGGCCACTAAGTGGTCTAGTAGTAGCACTTAGAACTCTATAGTGGCCACTAATTTTTAACCTCTATAGTGGCCACTAATTTGACTACTATAGTGGCCAATAAACTGTCAAAATCCTATAGTGGCCACGAAAAGTTTTCCCAGAACCATACAGCATTACGGTATTTGGTTAAACGCGCTCTATTGATAAAAGAGAACACTCGGAAAGTAATAAGAAAAGTCTGGAGGTCAATTGTAGGGCCCACTTTAGGGGCTGAATTAAAAGGGGCCCCTATAGGGGGTGGGATCAAATTTTCACTGGAATTTGCTGGTGGTATGAAAAAAACACCAGCGAAAATTCAAACGGCGACTTTTCCGATTTTTTCATATCGCTAGGGAACTTTCCGACGGCCACTTTTCCGACGGATCCCTTTCCGACTTTTTCCCCTTATGTTTTTCGGTTTTTAAAACATCTATAGAAATTTTTTTTCCCTATCTCTTTGTGTTTTAATCATGAACCAACTACTTACTTTATATAGGAAGTTTTTAAAAACGAAGATTTTATCGAGAAAAAAAGTCGGAAAAAAATTTCGTCGGAAAGGTGGCCGTCGGAAAGTTCCCTAGCGATATGAAAAAATCGGAAAATTCGCCGTTTTAATTTTCGCTGATGTTTTTTTCATACCACCTTTTTGCTTCCCCATAGTCTTCCCTTGCTCTTTCAAACAACGCCCCTTAATGAATTAAAAAAAAATGTCCCGGGTGCGGGGGTTTTCGCGATTTTTCAATTTTTAGCGCTTCTAAAATTAATTTTTTTCTGCCCAGGCTCGGGACCTTCTCAATAAGAAGGAGACGAATGCAAGGTCCTTGGTTTTCGAATTATGTTTCATCGGGACAGCGGCCAATAATCCCAAATGGAGCGCAAGTTTGTGGGCTTCCGTCAAGAAAGTGGTGATTTTTCCTTTTATCTTAAAATTTGATTTGTTACTCAGGAAGTCCAGAGTGGCCCCTTTAGGGGCTTTTGAAGATTCCCTCTAGGGACCACTTTACCAACCCCTATAGGGGCAACTAAAGCTTTCTAAAGTGGCCCCTATAGGGAAAATAATAGACGATTAGTACTAGAATCTTCTAGAAAAGAAAAAATTCTGGAAAAAACTCTAGTCACTTAAGAGGTCCCTTAAGAGCTGCGTGGAGAGGTCACTTAAGTGGCCACTTAAACGATCTCCATAGAAGCCATTATTTCCCGTTTTAGTGGCCACTATAGTGTTCCATTAGAACCACAGGAACTTCTGAAGAGGCCAATGAATTTTAGCTGCTTAAGTGGCCACTTGTTCGACCACTATAGTGACCCCTAAAACGTCCGTTTGTCACAGTTCCATGCAAAAAACTCTATAGGGACCACTTGAGATTTAGAGAATAAGGGGTCAGACGCTAAACCACTAGAGGGATCACTTAGATTTTTCCAGTAAATATGGATTTTTCCCCTAACCCCTATAGGGACCACTCTGGTGCTCTTAAGGATCAAAGTGATTATCCGAAATTCAAAATAGCTGTCAGAGAAAAAAAAAAGATAACTGAATTTTGGAGAGTCAGAGATAATTTTGAATTTCGCGGTAATTACTTATTTGTGTCGACGACTATGTCACTGGAAAAATTTTAGAAAAGAAGAAATTTTCAGAGTGACGTGAAACGGCAAACAATGTTTGAAATGTTCTCAAAAGTCGTCGCTCATTCTTCCATTGTTCTGGGTGAGTTACAGGAGTGACTTTTCGGGATTTTTAAAGGCGCAGAGCCGAATAAGGATGAATTTGAAGGCCTTGACATGTTCCTTTAAATTGTTCTGCTTAGGAGAGGGACCACTTGAGAATTTTTTGGGGAGATTTACTAAAGAAACTAGAAAGATTCCCCTTTATCGAAAAAAAATCGATTTTTGACGAATTTTGTCTTTTTTCTCTGAGTAATGAGCACATACGAGTGATCACATAAAGATAATTAGTAAGGAATTTTTTTGGAAAAATCAGAATTTTTAGCGAAAAAAATTTTTTTACGAAAAAAACCGATTTTCATGATTTCTTTTTGCCAATTTTAAATTTTTTTAAAAATGCTTCTAACCACTGGAAATATCTCTAAATCTTTCAAAAAAATTCACTCAAGCGGTCACTGAAGCTTTTTCTGAGTATCATGGAAAATATTCAAAGGGAAATAACGCTAGAAAGATCTCGGAAGTGTTAAAAACTTCACTTAAGTGGTCACTCCAGTTTTTCTAAATACTGTGGAAAGATTTTCAAATGGAAATTAATCCCAAAAGATCTCTAAATTCCTCAAAAACTCACTGAAGTGGCCACTGAAGGTTTTCTGAGTTCCTAGAGAATATTTAAATGAAAATTAGGCTAGAAAGATCTCTGAAGCTTTCAAAAATTCCCTTGAGTGGTCACTTTAAATTTTTTGAGTACTCTGTAAAATATTTGAATCATTTTTTCGAATTTCTCCGAGTACGATGGGAAATTTTCTAAATGAAAGTTGTTCTCTGAAGATATCTAGAAGGTGAAAATTTCACTCAAGTGGGCACTTGACTTTTTCTGAGTACTGTGGAAAGTTTTTCAAATGAAAATTAATCTCAAAAGATCTCTAAATTCCTCAATAACTCACTAAAGTGGTCACTGAAGTTTTTGTGAGTACCATGGAGAATATTTAAATGGAAATAACGTTAGAAAGGTCTCTGAAGCTTCCAAAAATCCACTCAAGTGGCCATTCCAGTTTTTCTGAGTACTGTGGAAAATTTTTTGGATGGAAAATGCGCAGGAATGGTCTTGGAAATGTTCAAAAAGTCGCTTAAGTGGTCACTCGCATTTTTCTAAGTACCTTGGAGAGTATTTAAATGGAAATCACGCTAGAAAGGTCTCTAAATAGTTCAAAAAATCACTTGAGTGATCCTTGGAGGGTATTTAAATGGAAATTGCGCTGAAAAGGTCTTTGAAGCGTTCAAAAATTCACTCAAGTGGTTACTTGAATTTTTACTGAGCACCTTGGAGAATATTTAAATGGGAATTGCCCTTGAAAAGTCTCTAAAGCTTTCAAAATTTCACTCAAGTGGTCACCCGATTTTTTATGAGCACTATAGAAAATATTTGAATTTTTTTTTTTCAGAAACGGAAGACCTATGCGATATTCTATTCACATCACTTGGCCTCGACCAAAATATCGATTATGTCTGCCCCAAATTGAATGGTTTTACCCAAAATTTCGACATTTTCCCTGATTTTTCTCATTTTTTCCAGTTTCGGCTCTGTCGAAAATGATCGAATTGAGCAAAGAATCGGACCGCGTGTGTCTCTTTTCCTTCAGAGAAAAAAAGCTTGACATTTTCCAGCTGGTACCTTGAAAAAATCAATAATCAATTTATCGATTTTGTTCAGTTGGAAGATTTGGTGAATAAACTTTCCGAACAGACGGAGCCAAGCGAGAAAGTCGTCCACTTGGCGATGGTTCTTTTTTCCAAATTTCAAATTGCCGCCAACGATTTTTATACTTCTGAGCAATTGCGGTGGGTTTTACTTTGCATTGTGAAAAAAATTAGAATCTTGAAAAAAATTTCAAAAATTTTAAATATGACTCCAAAAAAAGTTTTTTTCCTGAGAAAAAAGGTCGAATTTTTTTCGAATTTTTTTATCGAATATCAGTCAGTTTTTTTTTAAATACTCTTTTGAGATCATAAAATGCTTTTTCGTAATCGATTTTTTTATACTTCTGAGCAGTCGCGGTGAATTTTTCTTAGCATAGAAAAAAATAAAAAAATCTCTAGAAAAATATTCAAAATTTGAAAAAAATAATTCCAAAAAAAGTCTTTTTTTCAAAGAAAAAGGGCAAGTTTTTTTAACATTTTTTATCGAATTTCAATCTTTTTTTCTTTAAATACTTTTTTTGAGATCATAAAATGCTTGTCGTAATCGATGTTTATAGTTCTGATCAAGCGCGGTGGGTTTTTCTTTGCATTGGGGAAAAAAATTAAAATTTCTAAAAAAATTTCGAAATTTGAAAAAAATCATGTTAAAATGTCTCTTTTTTTCCCAAGAAAAAAACCTTTCAGGTGAATTTATAGATAAAACCTCTTTTTAAGACATAAAAATGGTGCAATAAGTTGATTTTTTCCCCTCTTTCTTGACCCCCTTTCATGGAAGTTTTTTTCTGAGATTTCAAAAAAAGTTTCCTATTTGCAAAAAAACTCAAATTTTTTTAAAAAAATTACATGGACCTTATTCTGAAATTTTTTTCAATCTTTCAAGAGAACCTTTTAGCGGAAAAGGCAATGAAAATGCGCTGTGAAGGATTTTTTTTCCGTCAGAAAATTATTTTGGTCCTTCCAAGCCTTATTTAAAATGAATTATGGAAGGTTGAAAAATGGTCATTTTTGATTGAAAGGTTATTTTCGAGCTCTCATCCTTGGAATTTTCTCAAAAATGATCAATTTCATAATCTTTCCAGGATCATCGAGAAGGTCAAAGAATATCTCTTGAAAACTGTCGAAAAGTGGAATTGGCACAAGTTCATTCTAAGTGCGGCTGTCGACGCGATTTGCGGATTTTCCCTCTGGCCCGACCTCCGCTGGTTTCTCGTTCCTGAGGTGAGAATTGGATAGAAAAATCGGAAACTCATTCAACTTGTAATGAACTCCAGAGTGGTCACTATAGGGGCAACCTCGGAGGGTCCCTAGAGGGGCCACTAGAGCTTGCAAAAGTGGTCCCTATAGAGGCAGGCTAGTCGATAATTGTTATGAACTGAGAGCGAAGAAGCATTTCCATTAGAAGAAAAAATGAAGAAGCGTTTTTTGAATGAATTTGAAAGACCCTTTAGGGTCCACTTTAGGGACTGAAGGGTGAGACCCTAAACCCCTTTAGGGACCACTTTTTCGACCCCTATAGGGGTTAATTTCTCCCCTCCCTAACCTTCTATAGGGGCCACTTGAATTTTACCCCTTTAAGGACCACTTTTTCGGGGCCTACAGGAACTATTTGTTCCCCTAACCCCTATAGGGACCACTCTGGAACTCCTAAAGACTAGAAATATGGATTTTTGAAAGGTTTCTTATTGATTTTCCTGTCAAATTTCCAGATTTTTGAGTTTTTTCTAAGAGTTTCATGCATTTTTTGGGATTTTCTCCCGAAAAATTAACCCATTTTCAAATGCTCTAACATTTTAGATACAAACTTCTGATGGAAAAAAAGCTTGGAAATTGATAAAAAAATTCGGGTCTTTCCAACATGGTGGTGGTCAATAACTTGAAGTCTCACTTTTATTGGTATTTTCCAAGAAAATAATAAAAATTCAATAGAAAATCCTAGGAAATTACTCTACAATGTGATGTTGCCTGAGAGAAAAGTCGATGAAAACGTATTTTCTGCCCTCCCCGCGGGTTCTTTCATCGAATCTGCGTTGAAATTCAAAGAATCCTTGGAAATTGGAGGTCCAGGAAAGCTGGAATCATTCTTGGAAAGGTTTAAAAAAATTATTTGATTTTTTTAAAAAATAAATATCCTTCAGCATTTCCACTTCCAGCACTTATTATGAGCATAATTCGGCGGCCGTCGCCTTGGAAATCGTCGCGGAAACTTTTTCTCGAATGGAAATTGATGGGTGATTTTTTTTATTAGGAGAAAATGGTTCTTACAACGGATTTGTTGAAGAAAAAGTCCAATGAAAGTTATATTTCACGAAAAATAGGGGAGAAAATGGCACAGTTTTGGCTGAAAATTGGAGAAAAAGGTTTTTCTATTGCTCCAAATTGTGGAAGATAGTTATTTTGCCTTATTTTCTGGGTTTTTCGAATAAAATAGTCGTTTTTAACTGAATTCTATACTAATCGAAGAGAAAAATGGCACAGTTTTGGTTAAAAAAATGGGGAGAATGTACCTTAAATTGGTTGAAAATTTCAAAAAAATCATTGATCAAATGGGTATTTTTGCTACTTTTAAAGTATTTTTTTGAAAAAAATTTTTCGATTGCTTTAAGAGAATTTCGATTCTTTGAGGCAAAAAGCATGTTCAATTTAAATGGATTTCTTCAAAAATTGCACGAAAAATGGCACAATTTTCACTGAAAATTTGGAAAATTGGTTGAAAATTCAAAAATATTCCCTTGAATCGTTATTTTGTCTAATTTTCTGGATTTTTTTGAGTAAAATTGTTGATTTCTGAATTTCGAATTTTTCGGAGTGATTCGTGTTCATTTTTAACGGGTTTTCATGAAAATAGCAGAGAAATCGGCGCAATTTTTCTCGAAAATTGAAGAAAATTCTCCCCCAATTGCACAAAACTGTAGAAATCTTCGATCAAACACTTATTTTGCCCGATTTTATGGTTTTTTTCAAGTAAAAACTTGGCTTTTTGAGAAAAAAATTAATGTTAATTTTGAACGGAAATCTCAAGGAAATCTTCTGAAAATGCATGATTTTCGACGAAAATTGAAGAAAATGCATTGAAAACTGTCATTTCGCTCAATTTTCTGGCGAATTTTGATTTTGAAAGGACTTTTTAGCTTCATATACAGGTTTTGCACGTTCAGAGTAGTTCTAACGGTGAAAAACTGATTTTTAAAATCCCATCATAACTTTTCATTCATATCATTCATACAAAATCTTGATGCAATTTTAAAAAAATTTTATTTTTAGGTGAATTTATGAATATTTCGTTTCCAGAGATGAGAGAAAGCGAATAAATCAACTTCTTGCCAAATTCACCCTCGATTTGATTCTCCGTGTTGAGTCGGACGCCTCGAATCAACGAACATTTGCCATTCTCTCATTTATTCCTGTCCGAATTGGTCTCACTTCCTACCGTCCTTCCGCTTCTTCCTTGAAAAAGGTGATTTCCAATAAAAAATCCAATAAAAATCATTTTTCAGGCGCTTTCAACCATCTGTGCCCCGTGAAAAAAACTTCTCGGGAGAAATATTGCATTTTTTTGGGTTTTTCTTGTCATTTTGTCATGTCTAATAATTTTTTTGAAAATCTGGGTTTTTTTATTTAATTTTTTTCTTTAATAAATTTTAACGGGCTTTGAAATTGTTTCGTTGTGAAAGTCGTTTTCGATTATGAAATACTTATTTCTTGATTATACGAAAGAAAAAAATAGAAAAATAAACTGAAACCAAAATTTTCCCCGTAAAAAGCGCCAAAAAAGTGGCCGTGGAGCGAATTTGCCGCGTGAACAGTCATTTCCTCGTTTTACTTTCCTTTTCGCCAGCATTTCGGTGGGTGTGAAACGAGTTTTCGGCACCTTTATCTGCATTGTTTCATTCTCAAACCATCTTGCTACATATATTTATTTTGCACCTTTGATTTTTTTGTCGTGAAATGTAATTTTTTTCAAGAAAAATGGAGGCATTACCAACGATGCCGACGATTGCGCCGCAATTCCGAACATCGCCCTTTACCTTCGATGATTCGTTTAAATATGCAATTAAGGAGGTTCAGAGAAGGATATTTGTGAAGAAAAATGGTTTTGGAACGGGTTTTTGAACGAAAAATGGGGCAAAGTTTGAAGGGATTTTTGTTTTTCGAATAAAATGCCCTTTTAAGGTTTTTTTTTCCATGGATTTTCGTCAGTATAAATTTTTCAAGGAGGTAAAAGGAGCTTCAAGTTGAAAAGAACAGAAAAATAATGAAAAAAATAGATTCCAAAAATAGCCGAAAAGGTTCATTATTTTTTAAAAAAAGTCTTTTTTGTATTTTTTTTTTGAAAAAATTCCATTATTTTGTCATTTTTCTAGCTTTAAAAAGATCCCATTGAACTCTGCCTCAAAATTATCAATTATCACCAGAAAATTCCCTTATCAAACCGTTCCCCCAACCATTTTTCTGATGTAATTTGGTCGATTCCTGTCGTTATTTCGTGTATTTTAGTACATTTTGACGCATTTCCAAGCGGAACCTTGCGATTTTGACGGCGCTCTGGAGGAGTTGGCCTCGTTGAAGCTTGTAAGTTATATAATAAATGCGAAAATTTATTTATATCACGGTTTAATCAAATTTAACGCTGTTAATGAGCAAAAATAGTGATAAATGTTCATTTTTCAGGTTTTTTTTACGAGTTTCAAGGTTGAAATAAACATTTTATCACGCTACAATCGAATTTAATGTATATATAGAGCTAAAATCGGTTAGAATAGTTCATTTTTCAGGTTTTTCCTCAAAATTTAATGTTCAAGTAAAAAAATTTTTACCGAGGTTTGAGCATTTATAACGCAGAAAAATCAGCTTAAATGATTAAAAAAATGTTCATTTTTTTCGAGTTTTTTTCTTTTTGAATTTCGAGGTTAAAATGAATATTTTATCACTTTAATTTAAATTTAACGCAGAGAATGAGCTGAAAAAAAGGTAAAAAAATTGTTCATTTTGTTCGTTTTTTTCAAGCTTTTTTTCGAATTGGAAAGTAAAAATAAACATTTTAACAGGTTTTGATCGATTGTAACACGAGAAATAAACTAAAAACGGTCAAAATTGTTCATTTTTAGCTTTCTTCTTGAATTTTCTCGTTAAAAAGGCGTTTTATCACTTTTTATTCAAATTTAACGCATGAAATTCGCCAAAAACAGTCAAAAAAATTAACATTTTTTTCCTGTTTTTTTCTTTTTTTCTTGGTTTTTTTAAGGAAAAAAATAAATTTTAGGAGCTAAAGACTGTTAAAAAAATGTTTTTTTCAGGCTTTATTTTTGAATTTTTTTAAAAAAAGTTAAGGTTTAAAATGACTGTTATGAGCTAAAAAAACTGGTTAAAATGTCCATTTTTGTTCATTTTTAAAAATTTTTTTTCTTGACTTTTTTTGAATGTCAAGGTTTCTAATGAATATTATGAGCTAATAACGATCAAAAACTGTCCATTTTTCAGTTTTTCTGAATTTATCAAATTTTAAGGCTTCAAATGATGTAATTTATGAGCCAAAACGGTCAAAAATCTAACATTTTTTTCAGAATTTTCTTTTCCTTTTTTTTGGGTTTTAGGAAATTTAAGGTTTAAATGAACATTGTGAGCTTGAAACTGGTTAAAATCGTCCGTTTTTTTGTTCATTTTTTTTAGGTTTTTTTCTTGAATTTTTTTCAAATTTTAAGGTTTCTAATGAATATTATGAGTAGAAGTTTTTTTGAAATTGTTTATTTTAAAAGGCTTTTTTTGAATTCCTTAAATGCCAGGTTGAAAAAGGAACCTTTTTTAAAGCGAAAAGTGGTTGAAATTATACATTTTTTTGTTCATTTTTTTAGGTTTTTTCTTGACTTTTTTGAATTTCAAGCATTAAAAGGAACACTCTGAACGAAAAACGATGTAATTGACCATTTTTCTAGCGTTTTTTTTGAATTTTCCAAAATTTTAGGCTTCAAATGAACCTTATCCGGACGTCCAATGCGCATGCCAAATAAAACGATATTATGGGCAACTTTGTATGCTCGAAAAGAGGTTTCCAGTGGCTAGAGGACAGGATTTGTGCCTCCCATTTTCTTGGTTCGTTCCTCGATTTAAAAGAAAAGATTAATTTCAGGTACGACGGCAACGATAACCACCTGAATGTCTACGAGGACTTGGATTTCGAGAAATCCTCGATTTTGTTCAATATCGGCGCGATCCATGCTCAACTCGCCTTTGGGGAAGGAAGATCCAATCAAGATGTTCGTGGGAAATTTTTCTTTCAACTGAAATTTCGTGTTAAAATTAGTTTCGGCATGGAAAATGGGTCCCAAAGAAATATTTATAACGTAGTTTGAAGAAAAACGGTTGGATAATCTTCAGATAGAGAATAATTGAAGTAGAATTTTCAAAAAGGTAATCTTTGGGCGACGAAAAATGAGTAGAAATAAGAAGAGTTGATTTTTTGTCCAGAATAACTTTGCCGATTTAAAAATCGACGCGTTATTCGTTCAAAATGATTCCGCGCAGTTGGGATTTTGGATTCCAATTTGAAATTTTCGTTGAAATTGTCCGAACAATTTGAAAATTTGAAGTTTCATCCGATATTTCGCTGAAATTTCTCACGGCTCTTGAAATTCCAATTTTGTGTGATCCGCGAAATCATTTTGAGCGAATAACGCGTCGATTTTGAAAGCGCCGAAATTTTTTCGAAAATTCCGGATTTTGAAAAGTTCTGCGTGCTTCTGTTGTAGAATTGTATAAGGAATAACATTTTTTTCCTTTCATTTTTTTAAAAACTACTTTTTCAAAGTTATTCATTTCTCCCACATTTTTTTCGAAGAGTAGGGAGGAATGAAGCATTGCAGAAAATTTCAAAAAGGAAAATTTTCAATGGAAGTTTGAAAGAAAGGGCAAGGAAAGAGCAGTTTTATTAGATTTTGTGATTTTATGGACTATTTTTTATTTTCCACGCGTTTTTTTCTATAGAATAGTCATACCTTAACAAAAAAAAATCGAGTTTTATTGGTCGAAAATTTTTTCTCCGAGATTCCTGACCACAAATTTGATTTTTTTCAGTTTCCAGGAAGTTCAAAATTATCTCTGGCTCTCCAAAATTTAGTTATCTTTTTTTCTTCTCTGACGACTATTTTTAGGGCATTCCGAACACCAGAGTGGTCCCTGTAGGGGTTAGGGGGAAAAAGGGGCAAAAAAATGCCCACTATAGGGTTAAAATTAAGCTAGACCCTAGAGAAGTTTAAGGTATGAACCCCAAGCCTTTAAAGCTCAAGTGGTCACTATAGAGTTTTCCGCATGAACTGTAAAAATTTTTAGAGTAGGATTATGAGCTTCTCGTGGTCATTACCATGAATTTTTATATTTTTTTAAATGATTTTTTTTCCAGAGCATCAAAAGCGCTTTCATGCATTTCCAATACGCCGCCTATCCCTTCGATTTACTGAGTAAACAGAACGGCGGAAGATTCGCCAGTAGGGACCTGGAGCCCGAAATGGCCCTCTTCTACAAAAATGTCATGTTGGCAAGTGAAAACCCCCCGAAAAAATCAGCTAATTTAGCCATTTTTAAGGCTCAAGCCCAAGAGTGCCTTGTGCAGAAAAGCCTTCTCGACAACCGTAATCCGACCGTAATCGCCAAATTGGCCCTGTTCGTCTCGAAAACCCTCCTCGACAGCATCGGAATCATCGAGGGGATGTGCATCACCCAGGGGGAGCGGGAGTATAAGGTAAGGATGGGAGATTTAAAGGCGCATAGGTTGGAGTTTTATGAGGGTCTTGAAGCGAAAGGGCTTTTTATTAGGTTTTTAAGGTTTGAAACATAGGGAAGATTTTTTTAAAATGGACTATTCCCATTAGAGAAAGTTCTTGAGAAAATAAGATTTTTTTTTTGGCCTGAAAGGATTAAAACAATGAGTTTTAAGTTGAAAAAAATAATACTATATAAATTAAGGAGGTTTTTTTGTATGATCTATATTTTTTTATAAGTCATTTTACATGGTCAGACATTTATTTAAAAAAATGAACGATTCACAAAAAAACAACGTGAAATTTAAAGGAGCATAGGTTGGAGTTTTATGAGGGTCTTGAAGCGAAGAGGCTTTTTTTATTAGGTTTTTTTCAGAGTTTGAACTATAAGAAAAAAAGCGAAATAGTGTGTGAATTTAGGAGATTTTTGTGTGATTTTTTTAGATTTTTTTATCAGTCATTTTACATTGACAAAAATATATTTTTTTAAAAAAATGAAAGATTCACAAAAAAATAATGGGCCGTTTAAAGGCGCATAGGTTGGAGTTTTATGAGGGTCTTGAAACGAAGAGGATTTTTATTAGGTTTTCTTAAGGTTTGAACTATAAGAAAGCTTTTTTTCAATGGATCTATATTTTTTATAAGTCATTTTACATCGACAAAAAATAAATGTAAATATTAAACCTCGATTCACAAAAAAACAACGTGAAATTTAAAGGAGCATAGGTTGGAGTTTTATGAGGGTCTTGAAGCGAAAGGGCTTTTTATTGGGTTTTTTAAAATTTGAAGCATGAAAAAGATGGTTTTTTTTTCTCCCATGACCCCTGTAGAGACTACTCGGGTTTCCGATTTCAAAAGCAGAATTTTTTTTCGCTTCAAGAATCTTTTTATTCATCAAAGAAGAACTGATTTTTCAAGATTTTTCGGGCAAAATTTGATCAAAAAATCATTTTCCAGAGAATCTACAAATTGGCCAAAATAAAGGGGGAAATTTTCGCGGCCGTCGCCTATCTGGAAATGGGAATGCAGGCGGAAGCCGACGAGAAAATGGGCGTTCGGTTTGAAATTTTCCCGCGAATTTTCACCTTTTCGTGAACTTTTCAGGTTAGGGTACTACAACGTCTCCATGACTCACATGGAAAAAGCCCTGACTTTCATCAAAAATAACAACGAAAGCAGCGAAATCGTTCCCACTGTGTCTTTTCTGTTGGACGTCGTCACGGCCAAGTAATTTGGAATTTTTTAAAATATGAAACTTCAGCCTGGAAAGTTTGAGCTTCTGAGGAGAGTTCATAGAATTGGATTTTTATGGAAATTGATATATTTTCTCGATTTTTAATGTGTCTTTTCTGTAGTGACGGCGAAAATTTTGAATTTTTTGATTTTTCTGGAAGTTCAGAATCGTAAAATTGGGCCCAGAAAGTTGGAGCTTCTGGAGGGGAATTGTAGAGTTGGATTTTTATAAAAATTGATGATTTTTCTCGATTTTTACTGTCTCTTTTCTGTAGTCGCGGGGAAATTTTGAGATTTTTTGATTTTTCTGGAAGTTCAGAATCGTAAAATTGGGCCTAGATATGTTGAGCCTCTGAGGAGAATTCATAGATTCGGATTTTTTTAAAGAAATTGTGGATTTTTTTCTCGATTTTTACTGTGTCTTTTTCTGTCGTCACGGCCAAGTAATTCGAAATTTTTTATTTTTCAGGAATTTTAAAATATGAAAATTCAGCCTAGATATGTTGAGCTTCTGGAGAGGAATGGTAGAGTTGGATTTTTCATAAAAAAATTGATGATTTTTTTAATATAATATTATTTATTTACAGGCAGAACAAAATAACATGTACAGAAAAAAAGAGAAAAAAATTTGGCATTAAGCCTGAAATAAATAAATAAAAGGCACTTGAGGCCCTCACGAGCCTCTGAGCCAGTAATGAAAGAATAAGTTTTTCTCGATTTTCATTGTCTTTTTTCTGTACTCACGGCGAAAATTTTGAATTTTTAGATTTTTTCAAAAATTTTGAAATTGCAAAGTTCAGCCTGGAAAGTTTGAGCTTCAAGCAGAAGTCATATAGTTGAATTTTTTCAAAAAATAATATTTATTCTCGATTTTTACTGTCTCTTTTTCTGTAGTCACGGGGAAATTTTGAATTTTTAGATTTTTGCAAAAATTTTGAAATTGCAAGATTCAGCCTAGATATGAGCTTCTGGAGAGGAATTGTAGGGTTGGATTTTTATAGAAATTAATATATTTTCTTGATTTTTATTGTCTCTTTTCTGTTGTTTTTCACACATTTCTTTCAGACAAACCAACGCGAAAAAGGAAAATGACTTCATTTATCACGCCAAGGTTCCGTCGGAAGGCGAATTGCAAGATATTATGAAACAGGTGAGCTGATATTTTATAAAAAAACGTTTTTCAGGATCACACTGTTTTTATTATTTTTATAGATTCGATTTTTTTAAAGCGAAAGAGATCTTTACACCTTTTGAGAACATTTAGGCTCTCGAAGTAGGAATATTGTTTTTAAAAAAATCCGATCTAACTTGCTCAATTTCATTCTCAGGAAAGGCGGAATGGAGGGTAATGGCCGCTAAAATGGAAAGGCTCAAAAAAGGAAGCAGAAAGGCTGGAAAAAGGCAGAAAAGATAGTCCCCTTTTCTGAGATTTTGAAGGTTTAAGAAATGGTAAAAAAGGGAGAGATAGCAAAAATGGCGCAAAAAGGCAGCAGAAAGGATCATTTTTGGAGAATTTTCCGCCTTTTCCGACTTGGCCTTTTTCGTGGAAAAATGGGTATTTGAATTTAGTGCAACATCATTCCCGGGCAAAGTCCAAAAGGTCTCAAAAAGGACTTTTGGAAAAAGGCCTCAAAGGCGCCTTCCTTCTAGACCTTTTTTTGAAAAGGACCTTTTAAAGAGGACTAAAAAAATAAGGCGGAAAGAAAGAAATTCCGAGAGACTTTCGACACCTTTTTTGGAACTTAAAAAGAAGCTTTAGGCTCTTATTTTTAAGACATTTTTAAGGTCGTCTGGACTTTCGCTGTGTAAAAGAGAGAGGATCAAAAAAGGCCGCAGAAAGGCAGCAAAAAGGCGGCAAAAAAGGGTCCCTTTACCGAGCTTTCCATTTTTTCCGAGATCTCAAAGACTCAAGAAATGGTGGAAAAAAGAGAGAGAGACTGCCAAAATGGTGCATAAAAGCCGATGAATTGGCGCAAAAAGGCAGCAGAAAGGGAACATTTCTATTAAGCCTTTTCCGACTTTGCCTATATTGAAAAATTTTTTTCCCGTAAATTCTGAATAATATTTTTTTTTTCTGATTTCCAGGATGGGTTCATGTGCAAAGTGAAGCCCCTGCAATTCGACCCATTAGATTCGTCGGTTTTGGGCGAAGATTTATTCGGAGCTTTATTACCCCCAACTGTCCTCAAAGCTGTTAGCTTGTATGAGGTAAAAACCCCAAGATACATCAGAAAAAATCCAAAAAATTCGTTTCCAGGAAGAGAAAATGAAATTCAAAAGGACCCAAATGAACTTGGTCGACGAGGCGAACAAAGTTTTCGAGTGAGAAAATCGATTTCTCCACTTTAAAATATAGAATTTTTCCACAGAGATTTCCTGGAACGGGCCCAAATCGCGAACATCCAGAGGATGATTGAAGGAACTTCGGATACCGACAAGTTGTTCTTATTTCCTGATGTTCTTCTGGAGAGAAATGCGGCCCTGACTTCTCAGCCTGAAGCCATTCCTAATCTTCTCGAGCAACTTAGGGGTTCGTAAATATTTTTTTGAAAAAAAAGAGAAAAAATTAGGAGTTTTTGTGAAGGAACTTTACGGAAAACCCATATTTTGACTTCTTTTCCCCTCAAAATATCAACTTTTTGATTTTCCTAAAGTTTCCTTTTCTTCGGCTTCTCAGCCGGAAACTGTTCCCAATCACCTTTTAGAAATAAGGGGTTTGTAACTAATTTAAAAAAAAAGCAGAAGTGAAGAGTTTGTGTGAAGAAAGTTTACTGAGTACACTTATTTTCGACCTTTTCCCTCTAAAAATCTGCAAATATTAAGTTCGTACTCTCGAAAATCCCAGCCTTGAGCTGTTTCTAATCCTTCTGAGCAATTGAGGGGTTTGTAAATGATTAGAAAAAAACAAGTAGAACTGAAGAGTTTTCGTGAATTTTTTTGAATCTCTTTTTTGACTTTCATCCTGAGGCCTTTCCTATCTTTCTAACGATTAAGGAGTTTGCGAATTATTGTTAAGAAAAAAAAGGAACTAAGGAGTTTTTATGAAGGAGATTTACTGAAAACCCATATTTTGATTCCTTTTCCCCCAAAAATCAGCTTTTTGATTTTTTCTGGAGACTTTTTTTGTGAAGGATATGTAGGTAAACAGATATGTTACATCGTCAAAATAGCTCAGAATTTTTTTTTTCCATTTTTTCGTACTCGAAGTATTTTCGTGAAAATAATCATTAGAAAAGCTAGATTTTGACGAGTTAGAGATAATTTTGCATTTAGCCTTTATGCCAATTCATGCAACTTTGAAAGACTTCTCGTTGACTAGAATGTACTACGCTGAACAATACAGTTCTACATGAACTTTTTCTTTTCAAAAACTTTAGAAAAACGTTTGGGACCTTTGAGGGGGTATAGCCGATTCACGGCTAACTATGGGACGGAAAAAGTCGGAGCCTGTCGGCGCTCTCTATCAACTAAAAAAAACTGTTTATTGCATCTTCAATGTAAGAATACATGTGCAATCGACTTTCATTGATTTTAACTGTGTTTGAACGGCGGCAGGAGCTGTGGCTTAGGCAGAGAAGGTGTGAATTTCGCTCGTAGAACATCAGGTACAAGAGAGGTCGTAGGAAGAAGTACGGTGCCGGCTTTCCAAAGGCCGATGGCAGAGATTGAGCCTTTTGCTGCATGCAGCTCCCAATTTTATCTACTCCCGAGGGATGAAAGGCTTGGTCGACCTCGGGGGGACTCGAACCTACGACCTTGCGGACGATTTTTAATTTCACGAATGACTTGAAGTTCAAAACACTTGCGAGGAAGGGTGGACGGCCTTCAAATGTTGTTTGCCTATGTATGATGGGAGTATACTAAATATATATTAGATAAGTTTCACTATTTTTTTTTATTCAGAAGGCAGCGAAACGGCCCAAAATGCCGGAAATAAACTCGCCAAGTTGATTACGACCCTTCGGGCAATCGATCTTCCTGAATTGGTAAAAAATTGGGATTTTTTGGAATCATTGTGATTTTTCTTTCTTTTAGACAAGCGATGAAGGTTATATCGCGATTTCGAAAGAGCTAGACCGATTGAATGAACATTATACGCAGGCTAGGTTGGTTTTTTTCAATCATGTATCTTCTATAAATAATTTATTTTAATTTCTAAAGAATTTTTTTTGAACATTCACAGTAGTAAAAAAATGTCAAAAAAATCGGTTAGAAAAGTAAATTTTGAGATTGGGATGAAAATTCAAAAGTTAAAGTTTCTTTTCTTTCCGTTTTTTCTATCTCTCCCCTTTTCCGCCCTTTTTGAGCCCGAATATGGCCTTTTCAGATGTTTTTTACTTAGCTCCGCCCTTTGTGGTTACGGTATTTTTCGTCTCGATTTTCCACCGCAGCGATGCTCCTTTAATAACGTTGAACTTTGTGACTTCTTTTTTTTAGCTGTTAAATCGAAAAAAATCGAAAAATTTAGCGCGATAGAGTATCGACGCGAAAAGGTACTGTAGGAGTTCAAAATCGAAAAAGACTATATTATCAGCAAGAAAGGGAGGCTCATTAAGTGGACCCTTTATGCCGAGATTTTTGAACTTTAAAAAACCGATTATTCGTTTTTCAGGTCTGAAAATGCCTCACAAAAAATGATTGAAAATCATTCTTAAGAACGCCTCGAAGGTCCCCCTCTAGGGGCCACTTTACCGTGCCCTATAGGGGCCAATAAAGCTTGCCCAAGTGGCCATTATAGGAGAGCATGCTAGTGGTCCCTATACGTAATTTTAACTTCCAAATCAGAAAAAAGAGTTGAGAAACCACTGTAGGGACCACTTAAGCTTCAGGGAGCTAGATTTCAGAGTACATCCTCCTAAAGGGACCACCTGATTTTCAACCCTTCAGGGAGCACTTTTTGTCCTCTATAGGAGCTATTTTCCACTAACCCCTATAAGGACCACTCTGGCGTTCTTGAGACTCATAGGGCTTATTTTTTTTTCCTAACCCTTATAGGGACCACTTCGGCGCTCCTAAGGTGCAAAGTTCTAGATATCAAGAGACCACTATAGGCTTGAGCTCTAGGGGTCAGACCCTATAGAGACCACTTACTGTAATTTTGGCATTCTATGGAGCATTTCTTGACCCCTATAGGGTTTTTTTCTCTTTAATCTCTAGAGGGTTCACTTCGGCGTTCCTAAGACTCATAGGGTATTTTTTTTTTCCTCTAACCCCTATAGGGACCACTTGAGCTTTAAGAGCTCGGGGGCCACCTGTTTTTCAACCCTTTAGGGAGCACTTTTTGTCCTTTTTAGGAGCTGTTTTCCACTAACCCCTATAGGGACCACTTCGGCGCTCCTAAGGTGCAAAGTTCTAGATATCATGAGACCACTATAGGCTTGAGCTCTAGGGGTCAGACCCTATAGAGACCACTTAATTTTGGCATTCTAGGGAGCATTTCTTGACCCCTACAGGGACTTTTTTTTTCTCTTCTAAGGGGACCTGTCAAATCGGAAAAAAAGTCTAACTGTAGAAAATATCCAAAATTTGTAAAAACTCCTATCAGAATCATAAGAAGTTCTCATTTTCCAGGTCGAACAACGCCTCGCTCCACAAGGCGATCGCGGCCCACTCGACGGACCTCCACCTGCTCTCACTGCCTTACTACGAACTGAGACAGAAGTTGATCTCCCAGGACGCCCAGTCCTTGGCCATCTCCGACACGGCCCAAATCCGAAGAATCATCACGAAAATCGAGGAGATGCAGAAGCAGCGACTGACCCTCCTGAGTCGACTCGACGAGGAGCTCAAGGCCGACAACATTGCCAAGAAATTGGTCTCCGACCGGGATTTCGATCCTGAGGTGCTTTTTTTGGTCAGGCGATTTCTGGGAAGGTGAAGGTAGGGTCCGCAAGCCATTTCTTCAAAACGATCCAAAAAATATGTTTTTTACACTGTTCAATAGAGGAGACTGTCCATTTTCATAATCCGTTTAGTTTTAGAAAAAAGCTCCACTAAGAAAAAAGTTATGGCCAAAAAACGAGCGCGCGCGGCGTTCAACTGGAGGCGAAATCTCACGGTTTACCCGCTGCCGCACGCTTTCTTTTTAAATGTTTTTGCGCGTTTCTGGACCGTTTTTAAATCGGTTTTCTGTTCTGAGAGGTTGTCAGAACTGATCTTTATGTTTTGGCATGAATCATTCGCATAACTATCATCAGAATTTTTGATAAAATATCAAAAAACTACTTAGAAAAAAGGTCACAAGGAATTTTCAGCTTATTTTTCTTTTTTCTAATCAGAAAAATTATTATCATTTGGTTTGGAAAAAAGAAAAAATGAAAAATAATGTTATTTCGAAATAAAACAGGAAAGTGTGCAATTTGACTCCGAAAAACGGCTCCTGCGACATTTAAAAGGGCGCATCGGTGTGTTTGACGCAAACACTGCTACGGACACTTGCACGAAATCTTCCGAAATTTCAAAAAAAATTGCTATTTTTTCGGGGTTTTCAAAGCCGTTATTTTTTTCGCGTCGATCGATTTTTTTCATAATTTTTTCATTGGTAGAGTTTTGAACGCTTAATAACATAATCAAAAATATAGACGCGATCCTATTCTCTCATGCGTCAACGAGGCAGGCGAAAAAAAGGAGGTTTTGGTAAAAACTCAAATATAATTTGATTCACTGTCCCAATAATTATTTTTCATTTTGAATTTTTTTGTTTGTGAGCACATTGTGAGTTTTTTTAAATCAAATAAAAAAAGTATACCTTGTCGCTGAAATTTTTTCGCATTTCAGCTTCAAAGTTTGGTGTCACTTTACAAGCTTTAATATTTTTTTCGCGTCGGTAGATTTTTTTCATTTTCACTCAAAAAATAAAGAAAGTGTTAATGTATAACATACTCAAAGTTCGGAAGCGTTTCTCACTTGGTTTTCTGAAACGCGACGATTTTTGTGAAACTTGTCAGTTTTTTTCGTGTTAAATCTTACTTTTTCGCTTATTTTTTTGAAAAAAATACATAGTTTTTTTAAAAATATTCCGTCTCGTAGAGCGTTGTCGATTACATAGATTAACAGAAACAGTTCATTTATAAAATGGGACTTTAGCTAGTAAAAACGCCTCAAAACCGTTTTTGCAACAAAAAAATCGTCATTTTGGTGGCGTGAAGGGGCGGGGCTTTGCGCCCCCTAGGTGAAGGGGAGCTAGAAATACTTGAAAAGGCCTCCGGAAGGTGTTCAGAAGGTCCTAGGAAGGCCGGATTCTGAAAAAGGTGTAGCTGAATATCAAGGGACCTGTCTGCGCTCTCCAACAGCCAGTCACTATCTCTCTTCTCTTTTCGTGTCAGGACCCTTATTTCGATGGCTCAAACAGTCGTGATTTAGTTATAAAAAATTAATCATGCTTAGGAATTTTCGAGGGGTCCCTATAGGGGTTAGCGGGAGAAACAGCCCTATAGGAAGTGAACAAGGGGTCCCTATAGGGCTCCACTAGCCAGGCACTATTTCTTTTATCTTTTCGTGTCAGGACCCTTATTTTGATGGCTCAAACAGTCGTGAATTAGTTATAAACAGTTAATCATTCTTAGGGATTTAAGAGGGGTCCCTATAGGGGTTAGGGGGAGAAACAGTCCTATAGGGATTGAACAAGGGGTCCCTATAGGGATCCACTAGCCAGGTACCATCTCTTTTATCTCTTCTTGTCGGGACCCTTATTTCGATTTGGATTGTTTTCAAATAAAAATCAAAACGTCTAAGAAATCAGTCCAGTTTCCTTTGAACACAATAATGAAGGTCTTGAGGCGAATTCGCCGTTTTCGATCCTGTAACTGCGCCTTTAAAGCAAGCATTTCATTGAACCCACTATCCTTTAAAAAGTCGTGTAATAAGGCCAAAAGAAATTCTTTTCCAGAAAACTTTTGCGACGGAACTGGGCAAGCACCAGCAGACGGTCTCCTATCTGAAAGCCAATATCGCCGCCCAAGAAACGATTTTCCACGCGTTCACCGAAGCGAACGCCGATTTCAGCGAGGATCGCAGGAAAATCCAGAAGATGATCGATGAGTTCGTTATTTTTCATTTAGCCAAAAAAGCCTTTTTTGAAAGTTTGATCCTTTTTTCGAGCTTTTAGAGGCTTCATGTTCAAATAATGAGATTTATGAGCTGCACTGTTTTTTTAAAAAGATTTTCAGTTTTTTCAAGGGATCATTTGAGGGATTTTTATACTTTTCAGTGATGAACCCCTTGTTGTTATGGTTATTTAGTGAAAAACGTGTTGATTGCTTTTTTCGAGCTTCTAGAGACTGCATGTCCAAATAATGAGATTAACAGGCTAAAATGGTCCTTTTTGGTCCATCATTTGAGGGATTTTAACGCCTCCTTAGTGTCCACTTGAAAGGACAGTCTTTTCGAATTTTCAAAAGAGTATTTCTTTCAAATTTACTCGATTTTCTTCGATCTTAAAAGCCCTTACACTGGCTAAATGCGTAACGGATGCTTTAAAATGCGCCGGACCTTGAGCTACTTCCGCGAGAGCTCATTGGAAAGAGTTGAAGAAATTTTTCTGGATTGATTTCGATTTTTGAAAAATTTTTAACGCTTTGATCCATTCCAAATGCGGTCATGTAGTTTCTGAAGGCTTTACGTTCGAATAATAGGAACTATAAGCTGCATTGGTCCTTTTCTAGGGATCGCTTGAGGGATTTCAACGTCTCTCTAGGGCCCACTTGAAAGGAAAGGTTTTCAAGAAAGGTCCAGAAAGTTTCAATAGATTTTTAAGGTTTTTCTAATGATTATGCCTTTTATCACGGAATCAATTAAAAAAAAAGATTCCTCATTTTCCAGATTCCATTCTCGTGTTATGGAACTCGTTGCGGCTTTTGACGTCTACCAAGAAGTTTGTCTCAAAGTCGCCGAGGGTCAAAAGTATCAGAAAATCTTGTACTTTTTTGAGAAATGTGTATTTTCAAGGTTCTACAATCAATTGATCCAAAGGTGCGAGAAGCTGGAAGTGGCCGTTAATGCGATGGATTCGGCTTGTGAGTTGGAAATTGAGAAGAAAAACCGATACTTCATTCATTGCTGTCTTGAAAAAGTCTGACCTGTCTGCGCCCTCTTTTCCCTTGCCGACAAGGCTTCAGAAAGATGAAAAAAGCACTTCGGAAGCAGAGACGGGGTTTTTTAAGACGTGGCTCAATTTCTCAAAAATTTAGCAAAGCTATGAAACAAATTAAGAGATTTAAAAGTCTTGGTAGTGAATTTTGTCCTGAAAAATGCTCTTTTTGTGAGTTGTCGGGGTTTTGAAATTTGCGCCCGACTTTTACGGCTTCGCCAAGGTTGAGAGACTTCAGGAGGTTGAGAGAGCGCGAGACAAAACTTGATTTAGAGAGGTTTAACGAGGAAACTCACAAAAAGGAGAAGGTTAGGAGGGTTTGTAATCATTTTTGTCACTAAATATGCTCTTTTCTGTGAGTTGTCGAGTTTCTGAAGCTTGCGCCGGACTCTAACCGGCTTCGCCAAGAGTGAGAGACTTCAGGAGGTTGAAAGAGCGCGAGAGAAAGCTTGCTTTTTAGAGTCCTAACGAAAAAACTTACGAAAAGTACAAGTTTAGACTTTCCCAGCCATTTTTGTCACGAAAAATGCTCTTTTTTGTAAATTTTCGAGTTTTTGAAGCTTGCGCCCGACTCTAACCGGCTTCGCCAAGAGCTAGAGACTTCACAAATTTGATAGAGCGTTAGAGAGCTTTCTCCATAGAGGCTTAGCGAGTATAGTTACAAAAAAAAAATGTAGAAGGCAATCTTGTTCCAAGCAGAGATTAATGAAGTATTCGTGAGAAGTCTCACGTAACCAAGTTCTTTGAAAATTGATGATACTGATCCGGTTGCAGTCCAATCGGAACGCGAAAAGAGGGAGAAAGAGAAGAGGGACCACCAGGAGAGAATCGAAGCCCTACGGAGAGAAAGAGAGAGCCGGAATGCTCTGGCCGACTTTGCCGGACCGTCTTATCCGATAGGACCTTCTCCAGCTCAACATTATCAGGGACCACCGTCTGTTCAGTCTAATTCTTCTGGTTAGTATGGAAAGGGCAAAATAATGATCAGAAAATAATTTTTGGAAACTGTTGAGTGTAGAGATTACATCTTGAAATTTCGAAACTCAAAAAAAAATCCAATATCAGTAAAATTAAGCTTAGAAAAAAGAAAGCTGATAAGATTCACCTGGAAAGTTGAGCCAAGAAAAATAGGAGCTGGATGATTTAAAAATTCAAAAAAATTGGGCACGGAAGAAGAATTTTGAAAAATTTCATTAAAATTGATTCTTCCATACTTGGAATAACCTCGGTTCGGCCGCAAACGGGGGGCTTGAAAAAAACAATAAAATAAATTTTTTTGAGATATTTCATTAAATGCACTATGAAAAAAATTTTTTTTTCTTCAAATCGAAAAAAATCATCATGATTTTCGGGTTCAGCGTGGTTGATTTAGTCTAGAAACATGTAAGGGGGACTTGGCTTTTGTTCCGAGGGGGGCGGGGGGTGGACTCGGCTCACGCCAGGCTCACTCATTCCATGTATGGCCAAGAAAAAAATGAAGGTTGGAATCTCTTGCTTCAGAAAGCTTAATGATTCTAGCCTGGGCCATTAACCCCCCCCCCCTTTTTTTTAGCCCTATTCTGGAAGGTGAGCTCAGAAAATACAGCATCAGAGTTTTAGATTCAGAAAATTGACTTAAAACGCAACTAAAAATTCTTAATTTAGTTAATTTGGATCCAAAAGCCTTATCACGTTCAGATCTCGTTTCAAAAAATTTATTCTCCAAAAATATTTTTCAAGCGAAAAATAGGGCGAAGTTAGACAAGAATCGGAAAAAGAGACTGGAATTTTTCGAAGGGTTTAACCTAGCACATGAACCTTGAAGAAAAAACATTTTCAGCTGGCCATCCCCGCCTGAAAGACTTCATGGACCAGTACCGATCCAGAAAATCGATGCCTCAATCAGTTTCGCCGGCCGATTTTTCGATCCCCCAGCCTCCGTCCCCGGCGCCAAGTAGTGTCCATGATTTTGGCCCCGGTAATCCTTTCTCGGAATAAAAATGAATAAAATGGATTTTTTCAGACCAACACGACCAAAACCTCGCCAACTTCTCCAAACTGTCCATCAACAACAATTTCCCAGCCTATCAACAGCCTCGAACTTCTCCGATGCGCCAGGGACCTCCTCCAGCTCCTCCCGGGAATTATTTTGGCCAAGCTCCGATCCAATACAACCAGCCTCAGTTCAATCCTGAACAATATCAGAACTATCAACAAATCGGACATGCTCCAGCTCCCCCGCAAGGTCAACCAGCTCCGACCAACACGACCAGCGCTTTTTCTGGTCCTCTGAGCAGCACTACCCCAGCTCCGATCAGTTCTTTCGGACAAGGACATCAAGGTTTTCAAGCTCCTCCAGCTCCAATTAATAATTTTGGAGCTATAGGTCATCCCCATCAAAATTTCCAAGCGCCGAACTTTCCTGGACATGCTCCAGCTCAGCCAAAGTCGAATTTTCGAGCGCCTAACGAATCACTGAACTTCCCTGGACATGCTCCAGCTTCACTTGGCACTTTTGGAGGCGCTCCAGCTCAACCTAACGTTACGCCGAATCATTCGGGAAATGCTCCAGCTCCAACTGGCGGTTTTGGAGGTGCTCCAGCTCCAACTGGCGCTTTCGGACGTCCTGCTCCAGCTCAACCGGACTCGAATTTCCAAGGCCCTAACGTCACCCCGAATCATCCTGGACATGCTCCAGCTCCACCTAGCGCTTTTGGAGGACCGTCGAACTTTTCGCCGAACTCCGGCTTGAATCAAGTTGCTCCAGCTCCAAATAGTATTTATGGAGCTCCACCAGGACAGCTCGATTCTCAAGCTGCTCCAGCTCAGCCAAACTTGCAATTCCAAGCGTCAAGTGTCGCTCAAAACTTTCCTGGACATGCTCCAGCTCCACATAGCGCTTTTGGAGCTCCAGGTCATCTGAATTCTCAAGCTGCTCCAGCTCATCCAAGCTCACAATTCCAAGCGTCTAGTACCGTTCAAAACTTCCCTGGCCACCCCTCTACTCCTCAAGTTTCATCAGGAGCTGCTCCAGCTCAAATTGGTCCTCTCGGAGCCACAGGACCTGCTCCAGCTCCTACTAGGGTCTTTGGAGCTCCAACTCAGCCTAACTCGCAGTTCCATGCTTCCAATGCTGCGCCGAGTTTTGCTGGACATGCTCCAACTCCAAATAGTCCTTTTGGAACATCCGGAGCTGCTCCAGCTCAGCCAAGGTCGAACTTTGGACCTTCCAACTTTGCTCCGAATCTTCCTAGGAACACTGCTCCTCCTCAGAATCAATCTGGAGCTCCTCCAGCTCAATTTGCCTCTTCCCCAGCTCAACTCAGCTCGAATTTCCAAGCGCCGAGTTATCCAGGACAAGCTGGTGCTCCTCAAGGTGCGCCAGGAGTGTTTGCAGGTCACTTTGGAGCCTCAGGAGCTGCTCCAGCTCAGACAAGCTCGAATTTCCAAGCTCCCAGTTATCCAGGACAAGCTGGTGCTCCCCAAGGTCAGCCGGGAGCATCTCACCCCGGAGGAGCTGCTCCAGCTCATCCAAGCTATCCTGTAAAACCTGCTCCAGCTCAGCCAAACTCGCAATTCCAAGCCTCCAACTTTCCGCCACAAAGTCCAGCTCTACCCAACACCTTGTCTAATAACGGAGCGAAACCTCAAGCTCCTCAACCAGCTGCTCCAGCTCAACCTGGAACTTTCGGTGGACCGCCAACACAACAAAATAACATCTGGGGCAGCAGTGGCCAGACCGTCAATCGAGTTTCTACGGCGTCACCTTGGCACGAGACGATTCGGGTTGGATATTATCCATTTTTCGCAATAGAGCAGACTTGATCGGAAAAAATAGCCGCGGACCAAAAAGGGCTTAAAAATCTGTTTCAATGCTGTTAGCTGTAGAGCAGTTTTCAATGGACCAAAATAGCCACGGATAGAAAAAGATGAGGAGATTTTGACAAATTTTCGCAATGGAGCAAACTTGAGTGGAAAAAATAGCCGCGAACAGAAAAATAGCTAGGAATCTTTTTCAATGTTTTTTAGCTTTAGGGGAGATTTTGATAGACAAAAATAGCTGAGAAACGAAAAAAGATGAAGATATTTGACAATTTTCGCAATGGAGCAAACTTGACTGGAAAAAATAGCCGCGAACAAAAAAATAGCTAGGAATCTTTTTCAATGTTTTTTAGCTTTAGGGCAGATTTTGATAGACAAAAATAGCCGCGAAACGAAAAAAGATAAAGATATTTGGCAATTTTCGCAATAGAGCAAACTTGACTGGAAAAAATAGTTTCAAATAAAATTGAAAGTTAAACGCGCTCTGTGGCAATTTTTGTTCGTATACTTTCATTTTCTTGAAAATCAATATTTAATGGGAAGCTTGATAGGAACTGGACAGATTTGGATATGAACTTGTAGGAAAAACCCAATTTTACCGTGGAGCGCGAAGCAACCAAACTGCCGCGGCTATTTCTTCAAAAGTTGTTTTTAGAGCTATTCTTCCTTATTTTGATGAATAACATGAAATTTTTGCTTCAGACTGGACCTGGTCCAGCTCCACAGCCACAACCTGCAGCTCCAGCTCAATATTCGACAAATCTGGTCAGATTTCTTTCAAAAAAAGGCCCAAAATGGATTATTTTAGCCCCAAGTACATCCTTCTCATCAAAATCATCCCCAGTCTCAATTTCCGGCTTCCGGAGTGCAGAGCAATCTTGTCAGTGGTTCATCTCCTTATAAAAATCTTCAAAAATCGGTAAAAATGAGCTATTTTAGGACTTTGAGCTCATTTTTCTCGGATTCCAGGAAGTTGGACAGCTTGGGACTCTCAGAAACTTTTTCTGGTACATTCGGGAATGTTCTGGCCAATTTTTAGAGAATTCCAAACCCCAAAGATGAATTTTACCTTGCTCAGATGTACAAGAAATAATTGGAAAAAAATTTTTTTCGAATTTTTGAGTAAAAACGGACTTTAGGACTTATTGGGATCTTTATCGAACGATTTGTTCTTGCCGCAACCCATTCAGCCAACTTCGATGCCACGAATTCCCGATGGAAGTTCGATGAGTAGGTTTTTCGACGTGATTTTGGGTAGAAAATAGGAAATTTATTGAAAATCCAGTTGAAAATTTGAAAAATCGACCTTTTTTGTACTGGAAATTGTTATTTTGGACATGCTTTTGGGTAGGAAAATGAAAATTTATGAAAAATCCAGTTGAAAAATCGAAAATTCGAATCTTTTTGTACTAGAAATTCAGTTTATCGACAGAATTCTGGCTAGAAAAAAAAAATGAAAATTTGGTCGAAATCCAGTTGAAAAAAAAAATGAAAATCCAGCCTTTTTTTATACTGAGAATTCTGATTTTCAACATTTTTTTGGGGGAAAAAGAAAAAAATTTGTAGAAAAATCCGGTTGAAAAAAACGAAAATTCAAGCCTTTTTTTCGTACTGATATTCTGATTTTTCGACATGGTTTTGGGTAGAAAAAAATGAGAATTTGTAGAAAAATTCAGTTGAAAAAAATGAAAAAAATTTCGACCTTTTTTTCTACTGGAAACTCTGATTCTCGACAGAATTTTTGGATAGAAAAAAATGAGAATTTGTTGAAAAATTCATTTGAAAAAAATATAAAAACACGGGCCTTTTTTTGTACAAGACGTAACAAATTTCAATCGCTTTTTTTCCGGAATTTTTCAATTATAGGGTTCATGTTTTCAAAGATAGTCAGAAAAAAATTTTTTTGAGTCGAATAATATTGTAAAAGCTTTTCTAAAAAAATCGCAAAAAAATTTAATTTTTTTCGCTCATTTTTTTCAGAATATCTCGTTGAGTAGGTTTTTTTCAACACGATTTTGGTTGGAAAAAAATTGAAAATTTATTGAAAAATCAGACCTTTTTTTGTACAAGCTATCTGGAAAAATTATAACAAAAAAATTTAATTTTTTTCGGAATTTTTTTCGTTGAGTAAGTTATTCTACATGATTTTAGAAAGATATAGAGAAATGAAATTTTTGGGAAAAATTTCGTTGGAAAAATATGAAACCTGAGCTTTTTTTCAGGGCGATTTTGTACAAGTTTTCTGGAAGTTTCAGCAAAAATTTTCATTCTTTGTTCCTTTTTTTAGTGTTTTCAGTTCAGCAGAGCTCATATTTTGGAGAGAAATCATCAGAAAAAGCTCAAAAAAATTCAGAAAAAAAATTTAAAAATTTTAAGCCGAAAAATAGTTTATCCCTGCCCAAATATGCACAGAAAATGTTCCAAAACCAATAAAAAATATAATTCGCTAAAATCTACAGAGCTTCAAACGAAACCGGTTGGAAGTTGTTCTGATCCGGCTTTCGGTAGGCCTCCTGCCGGAAATTCGGCTTCTTCCGAACTTTTGGCCAATAATAATCGACCTGCCGCCGCCGTCGTCCCCATGCAACACGTCAACGTCAGGATGAATCAGGAAAAGGTCCGAAAATATCCTTTTTCGGGGGTAGAAATTGAGATTTTGAAGTTTTTTAGTTTCGGTCTATTTTTAAGGTCGAAGGCTTTGTTTTAGAGGATTTTATCGAAAAATTGAGTTTTATTGATTTTCTAGCCTCAAATTTGACTATAAAGGCTCAGCGAACAAATAAAAAAATAAGGTCTAAAACTTGATTTTTTTAGGTTTAAAAAGAAGTTCAATACAGTTTTACCTTTCTAAATTTCTTTTTCTTCAACTTTTCAAAAACTTCTAAATGGATCACCTTTCTAGAAGTTGAAAAAAATGGGCTTTTTGAGCTTTCTGTAAAGTTTTTTTATCGGATATTCAAGCAAGAAAAAAATTTTTTTGAATGATTTTATAGGTTCTGAGTTTTTCAATGGACTTTGAAGGCTCAAAAATTCAGTTTTTTTGATCAGTTTTTTTGACCCAAAAATCGATTTTGAACCATCTTTCGTGAAAACAATGATTCTCAAAAAAATTGTCAGAAAGGAATATATTAGAAACTTTCTGAGAAGGCGGAGAAGCTAGGATTTTAATATTTCATTTAAAAAAATTTCATATTTTTCCGCCTAGTCGATTTCATTTGACTAAACAATAATTATTAATTAATTGGTTGGAAATATTGAAATTTTCACACTTTCAGTTCCCTGATCCCACGGCTCAAGGCTCATTCTCTTCCATCAACCCCACTTTTTCAGTAATTTATCACTTTAAAAATCAAATTGAATTTTCTTTTTTAGCCAAACCTGAAGCCTTTGCACGTTTCTGATGTAATGGACCCGTCGAAATTCGAAATCGGCCAGTCGGATAAGGCGAGGCTGGAGAAGAGGCTTCTGCATGATAGTTTTCGGTGGGTTTTGGTGATAAGTGGACCCTTGAGGGGCTACTTAAAGGGTTCTTGTAGGTTCCTTCAAGAGGGCACTGTTCGAAAAAGTGACCCCTCTAGGGGTTTAGTTAGTGATAACTGAAGGGAAGGCTTCTGCATGACAGTTTCCGGGGGGTTTTGGTGATGATCTCAGAAAAGCCCCAGTGGTCCCTAGAGGGGCAACTCAAGAAGGCACTGCTCGCAAAAACGACCACTCAAGGGATTTTAGTTAGTGACACCTGAAGAAAAGGCTTTTACGGGATAGTTTTCGGTGGGTTTTCCATGATGAGTGGACCCTTGAGGGGCGACTTGAGGGGCTTTTGTAGGACCCCTCAAGAGGGCTCTGCTCGCAAAACGGACCACTCTAGGGGCTTGAATAATTGTTAAATGAAGGAAAGGCTTCTGCATGATAATTTTCGGTGAGTTTCTATGATGAGTGGACTCTAAAGGGGCTGCTTAAAGGGATCTTGTAGGACCCCTCAAGAGGGGGGTACTGATCGCAAAAGTGGCCACTTTAGGGGTTTAGTTAGTGATAAATGAAGAAAAGGCTTTTAGGGGATAGTTTTCGGTAAGTTTTGGTGATAATTGGACCCTAGAGGGGCTACTTAAAAAGACTCTTGTAGATTTCCTCAAGGGGGTGGGGTAGTGATCGCAAAAAGTGGCCACTCTAGGGATTTTAGTTAGTCATAACTTTTAAGCGAGCAGTCTAGTGGCCCCTATACGTTTTTTTATTTTTCACATCTGAAGACTACTATAGGGACCACTTCAGCTTTAGGTTCTTCGAGGTTAGTCCCTATAAACCTCCTGAAGGGACCACTTTAGCTTTCTAAGAAGAACTATAGAGGCTTTTTTCCTAATCTTATAGTGATCACTTTGGTGTTCTATGATGAGAAGAAATGGTTCGTAAAAAATAAAAATTGATAATTTTTCGTGTTATTATCCGTCCAGAAAGCATATAGCTTAATAATAATGAATTTTTGATTGAAATTGGATTACGGTACGCGATTTTGTGTACACCGTTCCATCGCGCCGAGACAAAAATTGAATTTTTTTCAAATAACTGAGGGTTTTTGTGCGATTTGGGTGGTATAGTTGTGTCACTAGAGGAGAAACTGAACATAATGACCTCTAAAATAATTATATTGGCCAAATTTTCAAACCGCTGCGCGACCGCGACGCTCTGAGCCATTCTACATGCGACCAATATTTTTTTCAATTTTCAGAGGACAATACCAGCCCCCGCCGCTGGACCTCAACGATCCATTGAACCAGATTAACGTTTTTGGAGACAACCGCAGAAATTAATCATTCCGTGTACCGTAACCTTGAAAATACTGTATTTATTTGCTTCCCTCATTTATAATTCCTGTACATTTAGTCTTATTGCGGTGCTCCAATATTTTTCACATTTCCGGTAGTTTTTTTTTGCGTATAGGGTAAACCAATGTGATTGAACGAAAAATAAATATTTATTTTCACTTTTTTCCGCTTTTTGTGGTTGAATCGCTTCCTTGGCAAACTAATTTTATTTTTTTCATGCTTTAAATCAGCTTGGGCTGTTTCAGGGCCTCTCCCGGGAGAAAATGAACGAAGAAACGCCCGCGAAACGGCATCAGATGGGCCTCGTCGCCTGCACGAGCTATGTCGTCGGTCCGCTTTTTTACTTTCCTGTTTCAGAGATGCGACAAAATCAAATCGTGACTCGATTTTTGTTTTGTACTGTATCTGGAATTGCTCCAAATTACTTAGAAACGCCAGAGTGATCCCTAGAGGGGCCCCCTCTTGTCCCCTCCAGTGGCTGTTTTTCCCTAACCCATCTAGGAAAAACAGCCATTACAGAGTGGTTCCTAGAGGGGTTAGAGGGACAATAGCCACTTCAAAGTGGTCTCTTGAGGGGTTAGAAGGAAAAACAGCCACTAGAGGGGACAAAACGGGTCTTTCTAAAGGGAAAACTTCGAGAGCCCCTCTAGGGACCACTCTGGCCTATCATCAAAAAAAATTTTAGACTGATCTCTTCTCCATCGGAATTTAGTCCATTCACTGATGACTTAGGAAAAAAAAAGATTTTTTCAAAGGTTTTTAGTTTTTGAAGCGGTCGCATTTGGAATGGCTCGAATGACAGTTAAATCCAATGCTTTCTGACGCCTTAGCGCGTAAGTCGTTTTGAGTCGGGCGCGCGAAGTTTGAAGGCGCATAGATTATGTTATTCCAAAAGAATACTGTGGCCGCATTTGGAATGGCTCGAATGGCAATCAACTATGCAACGCCTTAAGGTAAGCGCGTAAGCCGTGTTGAGTCGGGCGCATTTTTGAGAAAACGCATTGAGGCCCGAACCATTCCACGTGCGACCACATACTTTCAATTTAGAGAAGTTTGAAAAGGAGAAAATATTGTTATTGATTTCCTCAAGCTTGAAACTCTCTGATTTCTCTCGGCTCTCTCGTTTTCACGTGCTATTTTAGTCATTTTTCCTAACCTCAGAGAGAGAGAAGAGGGCGCAGACAAGTCATACAGCCCAAGTTTTGGTTTTTGAAATATGATTGGGAAAAATTATCATTCGTGTATCATTTTCTTCTCATTGAGTCACTTTTCAATAAATCTTGAAACAGGTAAATCAAGTTGAATAACCAATTTTTTTTCACGTGAATTTTAAAGGCGCATGGATTGGGCTTTCGAAAAGAATACTGTGACCGCATTTGGAATGGCTCGAATGGCAATTAACTATGCAACGCCTTAAGGTTAGAGCGAAAGTAGTTTTGAGTCGGGCGCAATTTTGAGAAAGCGCTTTGCAACCGAACCATTCCACGTGCGACCAATTTATTTCGAAAAGGAGAAAATATTGTTATTGATTTCCTCAAGCTTGAAACTCTCTGATTTCTCTCGGCTCTCTCGTTTTCACGTGCTATTTTAGTCATTTTTCCTAACCTCAGAGAGAAAAGAGGGCGCAGACAAGTCATACAGCCCAAGTTTTGGTTTTTGAAATATGATTGGGAAAAATTATCATTCGTGTATCATTTTCTTCTCATTGAGTCACTTTTCAATAAATCTTGAAACAGGTAGATAAAATTAAACGGTCATTATTTTTCACGTGAAGTTTAAAGGCGCATGGCTTGCGCTTTCAAAAAGATTCTTTAGATAAATAAAACTTTTTCTTTTTTATTGGTTCCCGTTGCAGCCAACATTGTCGGCGCCGGAATTTTCATCACCCCTGGCCCAATTCTGACGTATACCGATTCGATTGGATTGGCTCTGATCGTCTGGGCCGGCTGTGGATTGATTTCATTGATTGGTTTCTCAAAAAGATTATTTTCAAGTGATTATTTGATCAATTTGAGGAGCGATTTGCTACATTGAGCTCGGGACTTCGATTCTGGAGCCCGGGTGCGATTTCGCCTACAATGTGAGAGTCTTGTTGAACTGTCAGAATTTTCAAATCTCAAAATTTTGACCGAACTTAAAAAATTATGAACGCATTCACCGTTTTCACTCAAAAAGGGCTCGAATCTCGTTTTTCAAATATCAAAATGGGTTTTTTTTTTCTTGTGCAGAACTTATCATGAAAGTCTTTCATGCCACAAAAATTTTTCTCAATTTATTACGCAGAGATGAGCGGAACGGAAAGTTTAAGTTGAACTTTAGATGAAACTTTGTTGAAGTGTACTTGAGGACCCACTGCAAAAAAAAAAAAAAAAATTTCTCGCAATAAATCTCGTTTTCAATTTAGGACGCTTCAAAAGCTTGAAATATCGCTTTTTTATCATTATTTCCGTATTTTGCAGACTTTAAAGCTCCATAACTCGAAAACAAGATCTATGGGGAGAAAAAAAGGTTCTCTAGCCAGTTCTAAGCAAAAATCTTTAATATGAGCAATATTGAGCAAATATGAAATATTATATTTTCAAAATTTGAATAAAATTATTTTGCACCTTGTGACAAACTTTAATCGAGATTCGTTGATTTTTTGCTGAGGTTTAGATTTTCGAAGCTTTTTACCGTAATCATTCGAGCTACCGTATCTCAAAAACGGCTCGAGTGATGATATTCAGTTTTTTTTTCCAAAAAATCCTAAAAATCGTGTTTTACAACATATTCGATCTAGAGAAAATTTTACCACAACCCTCATTTTTTTTCCCAACTCAGCCTAAACCTAAATGGCGCAGAACAAGTCTGCGCCTAATTATTGGACTGTGACCTTTTTGTATTTTTTTTAACTACAAATAATATTATTTGACGTTGAACGGGTGAAAAAAGATTATTGGACTGTGGAAAAATTTGAAAATTTTCGGAAAAAGTTACGGTACGATGAGTTCGGCCCATCTCTTTGAGCGATATCAGACCATTCAACATTTTCCCGTAAACCATTTTTACGATTTTCTTGATTACGGCCCATCAATTGGTAAAGGTTTACGTCGGCTGGGAAGCGATCGCCTTCTCCTTCATGTGGGTCGGCGTCTTGATGAGCTATCCAGCTTCGGCCGCAGTTCAGGCTCAAACTTTCGGCCAATACGTTGGTCAGACCTTCTCCTCTCGCTCCATACAAAGTTGAGAATTCAGTGGCCGGCCTGGCGCCGGTTTGGGAGCTGGAGCAGCCCTGGCAGGAGATTTTGGAGCGCGGCTTGGGATTCGGCCTGATCAGTGAGTTGGACCAGAAAATATGATGTATTTGTGTCCGAAAGTCGCATAGGGAATGGCTTAGCGCGTGGCGGCTGCGTAGCGGTTTTTAAGATGCGCCCGACTTAAAACGACTCGCGCGCGTAGGGGTCTGTAATCACGAAGTCGAAGAAGCGACTGGCTCCATTTTTTTTCAGTTGAGCCATTCCAAATGCGACCAAAGGTGCACCCGACTGTAAAACGACTTGCGCGCGTAGGTAATTGTGGTCACCAGGTCGTCAAAAGTGCAATTTAAAAAAAAAAGATGGAACGGAAAATTTTGAGCCGTTCCAAATGCGACCAAAAGTGCACCCGACTCAAAACGACTTGCGCGTGTATGCATTTATTATCGTAAGATCCGAAAAATCTCTGATTTTTAAAATGTTTATGAAGCGTTGAGCCATTCCAAGTGCGACCAGAAGCTTAAAAGAAAAGAAGAAAATTTGAAAAAGCCTTTTTTTCAGTTTTGCTGACAATTTTGAACTTGTACGCAATCGACAAGTACGCGGCACGGTTCCAGGTAAATTTCAAGTTTCAGTTTCAGAAAATGTTCAAAAAAAAAGTATTTAGTTCGTTCTTTAGTGTTTAATGAACGTCTTAAGACTGTTTCTCTACTTCCCTAGCTACGCTCTCATGCTCGTGCGCTATTTCCATGTTTCTCTGAATTAAGAGGTGATGGAAAAGAGGGTGCAGACAAGTCAGAGAGTTTTTCAAGAAGTGGCGAATGAATAATATTGATTTTATATGAATTTGCTTGGGTGAATATTGATTTTTCGTGAATTTTAAGGAATGAATATTGATTTTTCGTGGATTTTAGTGAAGGAATATCGATTTTTTGTGGATTTTTATGAAGGAATATTGAATTTTCGTGAATTTTAAGGAATGAATATTGATTTTTCGTGGATTTTAGTAAAGGAATATCGATTTTTTGTGGATTTTTATGAATGAATATTGATTTTTCGGGAATTTGTTTCGGTAAATATTGATTTTTCGTGGATTTTTATGAAGAAATATTGATTTTTCGTGGATTTTAGTGAAGGAATATCGATTTTTTGTGGATTTTTGTGAAGGAATATTGATTTTTCGTGGATTTGATTCGGTAAACATTGATTTTTCGTGAATTGATTGAGTGAATATTGATTTTTCAGATCGTTGTAACAATCGCGAAGCTTTTTCGCCTTGGCTGTTATCATCGTAACCGGATTTTTATTATTTACTTGTGAAAGGTAAATTTTATTCATCATTAAGGCCTTCTGAATAAAGATTTACGGTCCGTAAATAGATTTTTAAAGAACGAATTTGAAGTTTTACTCCCTTTACCAGCTTGTAGGATTTTTTTTCCATGAAAATTTCCGTTTTCTGCTTTTTTTTTTTTAATGATTTACCGACAGTAAACGTTGATTAAAATGGGATTTTTTCCAACAAAAAGGTTCTAGGTTACACGAAAAACTTCGAAAATGCGATGGAGGGCAGCAATTTCAGCCCAGGACCCCTGGCCCTCGCCTTTTATGGAGCTCTTTGGAGTTTTGCTGGCTGGGATATTCTGAACTACGGAACCCCGGAGATTTACAAGCCCAGGAGGTGGTTTTTCCGGCTTTTTCTCTATTTAGAAAATTTTTTTATGAAGTTTTCCAACTGGAAAATGAAGTTGAAGTCGCGTTTTTGAAAGATTTATGCCTGGGAATTCCAAAGTGGTCTCTATAGGGGCAACCTTAGGAACCCTTGAAGGGCTCCCTCTAGGGACCACTTCACCAACCCCTATAGGGGCCACTAAAGCTCGCAAAAGTGATCCCTATAGGGGACATGTTAGTCGATAATTGTTATGAACTCTAAGCGAAGAAGCATTTCCATGAGAAAAACTGAATTCTCAGCGTTTTTTTAATGAAACTGAGAGACCCCTATAGGGTCCACTTAGGCTTTAAAGACTGAGGGGTGATACCTCTGACCCCTATAGGGACCACCTTAATTTTACCCCTAGAGGGACCACTTTTCGGCCCCTGTATGGGCATTCCCCGGATATCGAGGACTCGTTTCCAACACTCCAAAGTGGTCCCTATAGGGGCAACTTTAGGGGTCCTTTGACGGTCCACTCCAACCCCTGTAGGTGCCGCTAAAGCTTGCAGAAGAGGTCCCTTTAGGGATTTCAGTTAGTGCCCCCTATAGGGCGTTTTTTGAATGAAATTAAGAGACCCCTATAGGGCCCACTTGAGTTTTAAAGGCTGAGGGGTGAGACCTCTAACCCCTATAGGGACTACTCTGAAATTTCTATGTGCGTTACGCTTGTGGCACTTTAAGTAGGGGGCGCAAAGCCCCGCCCCTTCACGCCACCAAAATGACGATTTTTTTGTTGCAAAAACGGTTTTGAGGCGTTTATACTAGCTAAAGTCTCACTTTAAAAACCAACTGTTTCTGAAAACCTATGTAATCAACAACGCTCTACAAGACTGAATATTTTTAGAACTATGTATTTTTCAAAAATAAGCGAAAAAGCAAGATATAACACGAAAAAAACTGACAAGTTTCACAAAATCGTCGCGTTTCAGAAAACCAAGTGAGGAACGCTTCTAAATTTTTAGTATGTTATACATTAACACTTTCTTTATTTTTTTGAGTGGAAATGAAAAAAATCTACCGACGCGAAAAAAATATTAAAGCTTGTAAAGTGACACCAAACTTTAAAGCTGAAATGCGGAAAAAAATTTCAGCGACATGGTATACTTTTTTTATTTGATTTAAAAAACTAACAGTGTGTCCAAAGAAATAAAAAAATTCAAAATGAAAATAATTATTGGGACAGCGAATCAAATTATATTTGAGTTTTACCAAAAACCTCCTTTTTTTCGCCTGCCTCGTTGACGCATGAGAGAATAGGATCGCGTCTACATTTTTTTGATTATGTTATTAAGCGTTCAAAAACTCTACCAATGAAAAAAATTATGAAAAAAATCGATCGACGCGAAAAAAATAACGGCTTTGAAAAACCCCGAAAAAAATAGCAATTTTTTTGAAATTTCGGAAGATTTCGTGCAAGTGTCCGTAGCAGTGTTTGCGTCAAACACACCGATGCGCCCTTTTAAATGTCGCAGGAGCCGTTTTTTTCGGAGTCAAATTGCACACTTTTCCTGTTTTATTTCGAAATAACATTATTTTTCATTTTTTCTTTTTTCCAAACCAAATGATAATAATTCTTCTGATTAGAAAAAAAGAAAAAAATAAGCTGAAAAATTCCTTGTGACCTTTTTTTCTAAGTAGTTTTTTTGATATTTTATCAAAAAAATTCTGATGATAGTTATGCGAATGATTCATGCCAAAAACATAAAGATCAGTTCTGACAACCTCTCAGAACAGAAAAACCGATTTAAAAAAACGGTTCAGAAATGCGCAAAAACATTTAAAAAGAAAGCGTGCGGCAGCGGGTAAACCGTGAGATTTCGCCTCCAGTTGAACGCCGCGCGCGCTCGTTTTTTGGCCATAACTTTTTTCTTAGTGGAGCTTTTTTCAAAAACTAAACGGATTATGAAAATGGACAGTCTCCTCTATCGAACATTGTGAAAAACATATTTTTTGAATCGTTCTGAAGAAATGGCTTGCGGACCCTAACTTTAAGGAACCTGCTGGTCAGCGCGCCCGACCAGAAACTACTTTCGCGAGGCAGCATTTTTGCTTTTAGGGAAAGTCGCAAAAGGTCGAGCGCAGCTGTGGAATGAGTATCAGCTCTTTTTTACCCGCCAAAAGCCCATGAATTTACGAAAAATTGAGAACATTCCGTTTTTTTTTTATCACAACTTTCCTGTGTGTAGTTTGATCTTCCTGGATCCTTTTAGAGTTGGGAGGATTGTTATTTGTAACACTCTGGTTAAACTTCAGTTCACAGGAAGAAAAGCAGATTTTTAGGGTTTCATAAAGATTTCATACAAGTTGTGAGCAGTCTCGTACCTTTTCTGACCATTAAAAATCTTTTTTATTGAATGGATACTGTAGGACGATGCCGATAGCTCTCCTCGGAGGAATCGTCACGGTCACGAGCATTTACCTGGCGATGAACGTCTCCTACTTTGCTGTTCTGACGCCGGATCAGATTAAGAACAGCTCGGCGGTCGCCGCGGTGTGTTCTGTTTCCAAATGGATTTTAACCCGATTCCACTATAATTTTTGAAAATCGATAAAAAAGTTCTCTTCATCATTTTGATAATAGTAGGATAGCAAACAAAAAAATACTGTTTTTAAAAAATTTTGATCTTGCTTCAGTGTTTGCCAAAAAATGCTTGAAAATCTTAATTTTCTTCGAAGATTTTGTAATTTTTAATGGTTTTTATCAGTTTCTTTACTATTAGATCTTATTTTCCCTAAAGGGGCCACTTTTGCAAGTATTGGGAGCCTTTATAGGGGTGAGGTTGACACTAGACGGACCACTCTGGCGTTCCTAAGCTCCTAAAAAATGGATTTATTTATGTCTGAATCATTCGAACCGACTCCCAAGGTCCGAAATTATCAAATATGCTCTTTTTTAAGGATTTTGCCCAAGTGACCCTTGGAAATTTCTCCTATGCCATCCCATTCATGATCGCCATCCTGCTGATTGGCACACTCAACAGCAATATTTTCTGCGGTTCTAGGTTAGTTTGATCTAAACGCATAGGGTCTTGAAAGAAGCAAGTTGACACGGATGCGCCTTTAAAAATTCACATTAGCGACAAAGTGCGATATCGCGCTGAGAATAGTGCGATATCGCGCCTAGAGGAATGCAAGATCGGCGCGGCTGAAATGCAGCACTCTTGCGATGCGGTCAGCGAAATCGCTTTTATTAGCGACATCTTATCGATAGAAAAGCGATATCCCTGGCGGTACATTGACGATATCGCAAAAATCTCGCGTTTCACGTTTTTGTTGGCGCGACATCGCATTTATCTCGCTTTTCTCAGGCTCTTGAAAGAAAAATATTTTTTGAAAGTGCGAGGTGACTCCGAAACGATATCGCGCCGAGAAAAGTGCGATATCACGCCGAGAAACGTTTTGATATCGCGTCGAGAAATGTCCGTTTTGCGCCGAGAATAGTGCGATGTTGCGTTGAGAAATGTGCGATTCCAATGTGCGATTTCGCGCCGAGAAAGATGCGATATCGCGCCAAGAAACGTGCGATAACGTGTCAAGAAAAGTGCGATATCGCGCTGAAAAAAGTCCGATATTGCGCCGAGTATCCTGCCATATCGCGACGAGAAAAGTGCGATATCCCGCCGAAAAACGTCCGATATTGCGCCGAGAATGGTGCGATATCGCACCGAGAAGATTGCGATATCGCGCCGAAAAAAATGCGTTATCGCTCCCAGAAAAGTGCGATATCGCGCCGAGAAACGTGCGATATTGTGTCGAGAAAAGTGCAAGAGCGGCGCGGCTGAAAAACCAGCACTTGATGCCGTCAGCGATATCGCTTCATCTCGGCAATTAGACTATAATTTAAGGTTCACTCACGCCGCAGCTCGTGAAGGTCATCTTCCACCGTTTTTGAGCTGCATTAATGAGGAATCTAATAGTCCCAGAGCCGCCTTGCTTTTCCAGGTACCTTTTTCGGGTCGCCCCAGGGCGTGTTTCGGTAGCCTAGTCTCATTAGAAGCTCTGATTACACTCCATCAATCCTGGATGCACTATAAATGACTCGAAGCGTTGAAGGTAGTACAACTTCCCTTTTCTCACGATTTCCGATGCCAAAGCGCGCAAGTCGTTTCGAGTCGGACGCATTGACTCAACGAAAGCCCTGAGCTTAGCGTGTATTCTTCAATTTACAGCTGATCTGCACGATCGCCGTCACTTTTATCAACACAAACGACCTGATCAACTACGTGGCTTTTGTTATGTTCGGCCAGAGATTTGTGACCATGGCGGCGCTTCTTTGGATCCGCTACAGGAAGATCCTTGTGGCTTCAGGTGGATATTGTAATATAAGTTTGAAAAATCTGAGAAAGTAAAAAAAAATTCACCCAGTATGATTGTCCGTACTCAGTAATGCGGACACAACTTTTTGAGCCGTTTCCTCTTACTGTAGCCGGGTTACGGTAGGTCGGTGGGCACCTGCGTATCTAAGTACTGATGATTTTTTACTGGGCAAGTGATATATCAATCGATAGGTAATCCAATTTCAAGAACTTTTTCAGTACATACCATCCTTGGTTACTGTAGGTATTTTTGAGATACGGTACTTTTTGTGTTCGCAATTTTGGTTTTTTGGTCACCCTACTCACAATAGTCATTTGCCGTTAGAGTTACCTCTCTGAAAGATGTGTGAGGTCATTAGCTACAAATACATATCACATTTAAAACTTTCGTCTTACCCATCATGTCGCAAAATCGCGCGCAAAAAGTACCGTAACTCGAAATTTTCTACATTAACCCAAGATGGTGTGTACTGTAAACGTTCCTAAAATTGGATTACCTATCGATTGATATATCACTTGTCTAGTAAAAACTCTTCAATACTTAGATACGCAGGTGCCCACCGGCCTACCGTAACCCGGCTACAGTAAGAGGAAATGGCTCAAAAAGTTGGGTCCGCATTTCTGATGACGGAATATTATACTGGATAAAGTTTCATCAGAATCTAAACAAAAAATAATCGATAATACACCTGTAAAATGATTTTTAAAGCTAAAAAATGATTTAAAGTACGTTTTTTCGATTCAGGAGCGATCCGAGTCCCCATCATATTTTCCCTGATTTTTTTCGTCATCACTGCGGCTTTGGTCGTTGTCCCCTTCATTGAGGAGACTCAGGTAAGAAAAAAATCAGATTAATCAATCGATAATCATATTTTCCATCAGCAAACTATCGTTGGAGTGATCCTGGTGGCCATCGGCCTCGTTTTGTACTTCATTTTCAAACTTCCTTCCAAAATGCCCGATTTTATCGTCAAAATGAATGGTTTGTTGGATTTTTAGATGTTTTATTGAGAAGGAAATGGTTTTTAATTTAGTTAGGCTAAGTCGGAAGGACCCTTTTCTTTATACTACCTTTTTCCGTCCTTTCATCGGCCTTTTTCCAACCTTTTTGGACCCTTTTGAGAAACAACAAATTTTTTTAAATTAAGAATAATCTTTACCAGGAACTGTGTATGAACCAAAATTTGCTACAGTAATAAAATTGGAAATAATCAATAGCCGAGTTTTTTGCACCCTTTTGAGGCTTTTTAGCCCACCAAGAATGAAAGGCTCAATAAAGGCCGCAAAACGGAACCCTTTCAGCCGCCATTTTGCACCCGTTTTCCGCATTTCCGACTTTGGCAGTCAAGGAAAAAAATCTTGATTTCAAAAAAAATTCGCGAAAATAAGATTTTCAGAAGTTCCTATAGAAAAGGACTGTTGTGAATGGATTTTTATCATTTTTCACAAATCATAAAAATATATGGTCGCACTTGGAATGGCTTAAAATGACGTGGTTCCGTTTTATTTCGATCAGAACCTCGTTTGAAGCTTAATTTGAGTGATTTCCAATGGATCCGTGCGCAAGTCGTTTTCGGTCGGAACACTCATTAAAGCAACTTTTAGCCATTCCTTTTGCGACCATCTCACAGTTCTTTCGGCACCACTTGAAACCGTCTTGTTTCTCTGCCTCTCTCGTATTTGCATGATATTTCCATCTTTCTATGACCTAGAAGGTCAGAGAAGAGAGAGAGAGCGCAGAGAAGTCAGACTGAAAAAAAGTTTCCGGGAATTGCAGAGTGGTCCCTATAGGGGCAACCTTAGAGACCTTCCAGGGACTACTTTACCAATCCCTATAGGGGCCACTAAAGCTTGAAAAAGTTTATAGGAATCACTTAAACTAACACGTAAGGGCTAAGGGGTCAGACTCTAAACCCCTATAGGGACCACTTTAATTTTACCTCTATAGGGATCACTTAAGCTGAGGGCTAAGGGATCAGACATTGAAACCCTATAGGGACCGTTTTAATTTTACCCCTATAGAGACCACTTGAGCTTTAAGCGCTAAGAGGTCGGACTCTAAACCACTATAGGGACCACTTCAATTTTACCCTCATAGGGACCACTTGAGCTTCAAGGGCCAAGGAGTCAGACCCTAAACCACCTATAGAGACCACTTTTTCGCCCTCTATAGGCCTTCCCCCTTAATCCCTATAGGAACCACTCTAGAAATCCTGAGATTTGAAAAAAAAAAATTTCCTGCTCATCAGACGGTCTCACCCGAGTCACGTGCCGCGTCTTGTTCTCGGCGACCGATCTGAAACACGAAAACGCGAACAATTCGCGGAAAGGGACGGCCGAAGTCGCGATCGACGACGAGCTTCAGTCGCTTGACGTCGGCGACGCGACCCATGACGACGCCGTTCAAGTTGATAGGCTCTGAGAGAGGTTATTCATGTTTTTGAAGCCTAAATTTGGATAGGGTGATGAAAAATTATGGTTTTGGACTTTTTTCTTGAACTAGATCATCATTTAAACTTCTAAAAATGATTTTTTACCAATTTTTCTTGATTCTGGGACATTTTTCTAGTTGAAAATTTGTGTTCAAATTTGAGAAAATTGGTCCGATTTGAGAGGCTTAAAAAGGAGTTTTAAATTTTTTTATTTGATCGAAAAAATCGAACTTTGGGAGCCTAAGGCGAAAAATACTCGATTTTGTACTTATTTATTTTTTGATTTTCTGACCCTTTTCTGGTTGAAAAATGTGTGTGAGTTGTTCAATTTTGAGATAACTGGTCCAATTTGAGAGTCTTTAAAAAGGAGATTTGATTTTTATTTGATCGAAAAAAATCTAATTTTTTTGGTAGCCCAAGGCCAAAAAAATACTCGATTTTATACTTTTTTTATGATCTTTTTATTTTTTTAAGCTTTGAATTTTGCAATTTTTTTACTAATTTTCGAGGATTTTGGGCTCAATTCAAGGTTCTGGTTGGTAAATATGGAAAAAAATTGGTCCAATTTGAATAAAAATTTTTTTAAATATTTTTTTTCTGAAACTTGGTTACGAATGCAATCGCTTCAAAATGCTTTGATAGCCACGATTTGAAAAGTTTTTGGTCGCATTTGGAGTGGTTCGACGCGTTGCGGTCGCGCTGCGGTTAGATTTATAAGTTTCGAGGCTTCACTTTGGGTTTTCGATGCCTGCACGCGAAAGTCGTTTCTGGTCGGGTGCACCTTGAAATTTACGTGTTGAGCCATTCTTCGCCACCGTAGCACGGCATTCCTGGGTGAGGGAAGGAGGCGTCAAAGTTTCTGAATTTACAAAAATAAAGTAAGTGCGCGCTCCGGATAAAGTGACGTCACCAATTACACTGAGTATTCAACGTTAATAACTTGTTTGTTCGATCGCCTTTGGCTGCGTACTTGAGATTTGAATTTTCGCGCCAAAATTTTTTTCGCCGTCTCCCCACGTTTGGGAACGCCGTGCGTAGCATTTCAAGAAGATAAAATTCAGTACAAAATGCTGAAATTTCGATTTTTGAATGAATTTCGAAAAGATCTCAATGAAAAATTCAGTTTTTTTTCAATTGCATGCAACCTTTTCATTACAGAATTTTCGAAATCGAACTTTTTCAGGACCGACGAAGATTTTTGAACTGTGAAGACACTTTTTTGTCCCTTTATCCTGCTTTTTTTGTTCTAAAGCTTGTTTTTTTTTCTGAAAATTCTCATTTTTCGATTTTAATCACCTTGAAACAAAATTTACTGCTCCAATTTTTAAAATTTCAAAAACGAGTCGATTAACTCGAATTTAAACCCCTTTTTTGCTTGTTTTTATCGATTTTTCCAAAAATTACCTCGAAAACACAACGAGAAACAAACGAAATATGCTTATCACTTTTTCCCTGATCTTTATGCTTTGATTTGTCTGTGAATTTGCTTTGAAATTCCTTTTTTTGTGCCTTTTCTCATATCGTCCATGACTGAGCTTGTTCAGAAATATCGTGTTGATTTTTTTTTTGTTGTTGTTTTTTATGATGATATATATGTTATCTACAGTGTGAAGTGCATGGAAAAACCGGAAAACTTTAAATTTTCGCGTCAGGATTTTTTATGGTGCACCTGCGATGCGCCTTTAAATTACATTCGTTTGAAGATTAATTTATTTATTTAAAATGGTTTTTCGAAATTTTTGAAAGGTCTATTGATGAAATGACTTGAGGATCTTATCATGAAGGATTTTATAATGAAATTGGCTTGAATTTAAAGGAGCATAGGCTAATAATTTAATTGTAAATTGTAGCGAAACTTGGCTTTTTTTGAGTTTTTTCAGGACTTTTTTCGATTTCAATAGATGTTAATTTTGTATTTTGCCTTTTTTAAATGACCCTCATTTCAAAATTTAAAGGAGCATAGGCAAAATTTGAAGGAGCATAGACTCAGAATCAATGGAAGACTCGGGGCAAAAATCGACGTTTTTCGAATTTTTTAAAATTTTTTTAAAGGCGCAGAGGGTCTTTCAAAAAACTGACATCAGGCGAATTTTACAGTACAAAGGCTACTCCGATTTTTTTTAACTCTAAAAGGGTCTTTTTTCAAAATTTGTGAAATTCTTTTTTGGCTCTTTCATTTGCCGACACCTTTATCACTATTTTAAAGGCGCAGAGGGTCTTTTTTTTTGGAATTAGGCGGATTTTACGGTACAAAATCTGTTTCAATCTTTTTCGGGACCTTTTCAGAACAATTAGGCGTCCATTTTGTAATAAATCAGCCGATTTTTCAGCGAACGTCGCCATTCATATGTTCGCAGATCTGTGTGCGATAAAAAAAAGCGAAAAAAAAAGATCAACCGGGGAAAAAACTAGTCCGTCGCTGAGGGGGGACGACAAAAACACGAGCGTTTTTCGTGGCCTTGTCAGTTTTTTTTTTTCTTTGGCTAGTGTAAGCTTGGCAATACTTCCTGTTAACAGCGCGGCTGAAAAGGCCCCCATTCAGTTAGACGACGAAAACGTATGCCCTTTGAACAATTCGACAAGACAATAGTTGATTATTCCATTCATTGACATTTCTGGGCTGTTTTGGAGGCCAGGGTTCAAACTATAAACAAAATGATAACTTTCAAGCTTACTGGGAAACTTTTTAGTGGCCACTATAGAGGCTCGCCAAGGACACTAAAGTGGCCACTATTTTCCGTTTTAGTGGCCACTATAGAGGTTCTCCATTTAGTGGCCACTTCAGTAGTTTTCCATCCAATAACTCTGATAATTCAAAAAAAAACAGATTGGACCAGTTATGTTGATCCATTGACCCCTAAAGTGGCCACTAAGTAGTCCAGCAGTAGCTCTTAGACCTCTATAGTGGCCACTAAGTTTTAACCCCTTAAGTAGCCCCTAATTTGACTACTATAGTGACCACTAAAACGTCAAAACCCTATAGTGGCCCCTAATAATTTTCCCAGTACAGTAATAAATGAAAAGAATGAAGATCAGATTTTTCATATTTGACACCCAAGTACAATGACGTCATTGGAAAACGCTCTGTAGATGGCTAGCTCTCTGATTGGTTTAGGGGCGGAGCTTGAGCAGCTCTAGACAGACTATTCCGAGTTGAAGCTTCAAAATCTTCAAATAATGATTTTTTTTTTCATGAGTGGTGTAGGTTGAAGCTAAGGAAAAGGTTATAACTTTGAAAAAAAAGTACTTTTCTTGTTTTGAAATCAAAATATGGTCAAGCCAAGCTTTAGAGAAAGTCCAAGGCATCAAAAAAGTCTATAGCTTTGAAAAACTCTACAAAAATAAATATTTTTATTTTTCTAATTTCGATCAAGAGAGTTCCAAAAAAAGTTTGTCTCTGAGAAAAAAAATGCAAGAAAAATTTTTTGATTACTAAAAACCCCAGAGTGATCCCTATAGGGGCCCTTGAAGGTTCCTCTTTAGGGACCACTTAGCCTCCTTTTAGAGGCCAGTAAAGGTTGCCAAATTGGCCCTAAAGGGAAGGTGAAGCGGTCCCTATAAAGTCCCCTTCAGGGGCTACTAAAGCTTGCGAAATTGACCCCTATAGTGGTGGAACTTTTTAAATTTGTCTTTTTAATTTTCAATCGGAGCAAAATTTCAAAAAACCCTTAAGGGGTCATTTTCCTTTGTTACTGAAAGGAATACTGAATGAAAAAAATACTGAAGTGGCCACTAAATAGAGAACCTCTGTAGTGGCCACTTAAGCGGAAAATAATGGCCACTGTAGAGGTGGGTTTAGTGGCCACTTTAGTGTCCTCTCCAAGTAGTCTGAGCTTTAGGATCTTAGTGCACTAAAAGGGGCACTTTTTGCGGCTGTTTTTCTTAACGATCCCTATAGGGACCACTCTGGCGTTCCCTAGTACATAAGGAATTCATTGCGTCGTTTAAATCGAACGTCGTAAGCCAAACGCAAGAACGACCTTTTTCCCGATACCTGCGGTTGTAGTGCAGGTGAGGAGACAGTTTAAACAAAGGTGAGCGTTCCGAAAGAACCGACAAAAAACGTGTTCGATCTTTTACAGTTTTCTTCCATGCAGGTGGCAACCCCCCAACGATGAAGCTGATGAGAAGGCGGAGCTCCCAACCTCGAAGTCTATATAAATGGCAAGGTTTCGGAGTTGAACCGAAGCCTTGGACGCGATGCAGAAGACGTTCATCACCGGGATCTCGGCCCTCTCCGGCGTCATCATCCTCGGATGCCTCGCCTACGTCGGCGTCCTCTACAACGACATCAACAACCTCTACAACGACGCCATGGACGACATGGCCGAGTTCAAGGTTTTCTTTTTGGTTCATCTCCTTACAAGGAGGTTTTTCACTCTGTGTTTAGGAAAACATGTCCAAAAAACCTTTGAAAATGTTGAATTTTTATATTTGTGCCCAAATTTTCTTTCTTGGTTGAAAAATGAGTTCCGAAACCTTGAAAAGGGTCAAAATTAGCTTTTATTTAGATGAAATCGCCCTTTTTCGGCCAATTTTTTTCTGAAATTTCGGCTGTTCCGGTAACTTTTTCTTGGTTTAAAGATTGATTAATTTCCTGATAGGTTCATTTCAAGATATTTTTTTGAAACCTGCGTCTTTAAAAAAAGCATACATTTAGCTTCTATTCAGACCAAATTGCCCTTTTTTTGGCCAATTTTTTTGAATTTTCGCTTTGTTTCGGTAATCCTCCTTGGTTTAAAGATTGATTAATTTTTCTGATAGGTTTATTTCAAAATAATTTTGAAACCTGGGTCTTTAGAAAAAGGATAAATTTAGCTTTCATTCAGACAAAAATTGCCCACTTTTTGGCCATTTTTTTCTGAATTTTCGGCTGTTCCGGTAATTTTTTTCTTGATTTAAATATTGAATAATTTTCTGTTCATTCGAGTTCAAGGTATTCATTAAAACTTGAATTTTTAAAAATTTAACAAAATCACGGCGTTCCACGCAGTGAAAGCACATGTAAAAAGATTGCCGCCGACCGATGGAGCGCACTTTGTGCAGGCCCCCGCGAAATTCAAATTTTTTTCGGTTTTTATGTCATTTTTCGGTGGTTTTTCAAATTATTCTCTGTCTATTCATGTTTGGGTTTTGCGAGATGTCCATATTGTGAAATAGTAGCATATTACACGTCTATTGAAAGCGGTTCCATGGAATTTCGTTCAAAACTGAGGGAGGAGTTAGTTTTTGAAAATTCGTCAATTTTTTTGTTCACAGTTTTCGCTGATTTTGCTCGTTTCTTTTTATATAACTCTTTGGTTTTAATTACTGAAATTTCTGCTTTCTATCCATTATTTGTTTTTCTGAAGCTAGGTTTCCAAAATATATAAAATGTTTCTTTTTTCATTTGCTCCTCGAATTTTTCTCATTTCAATATTTTTCGTATTTACAACTTCTTATACAATGGGAGCTGATTCACCTTCATAATATTTTTTGTTTTTATTTTGTAATCAGTAATTTAGAGTTTTCCCCTTCCGAAATCGTTCCTAAATTTTTTTTTAACGTAAGTGAATGTTTTTTTCACATCATATTCTTCAAACTGACAAGATTTCGAACATTTCAGAAGTTATTATCCAAAAATTGCAAATTCTAAAATTGAAAAAAACAATTTTGAGTATGCGATGGTGCGTCTCGGTGTGCTTACACCCTAAGCATCATAATTTACGAAAAGTCTTGACCTTGCGTAATAAAAAAACGCCGTGAAATCTGAGTAATTTGACTCAAAAAAACGTGCAGTGGAAGCTTGACTTGAAGCCATTTTTTATTGATTATAGCTTCTCAATTCCGGCATGTTTCGGTTATCTTTCTTGATTTGAAGATTAAATAATTTTATATTTGGTTGAGTTTAAGGTAAAGGTATCCATTGGAACTTGATTTCCTCAAAAAAAAAAAAAATGGACAACTTCAGCCTTTATTTAAACTGAAGGGTCGAGGCTTGAATTTTGGCCACTTTCTCTGATTTTGACTTAATTTCGGTTTAATTTTCTGGACTTTAAGCTTGGCTTTTTTCAATTCCAAAGATTTTTATTTGATATTGGAAAGCACAATTGAGAGAAAAATTGTAGTTCTTACAAGGGAGGTAGTTTTACTTTGTGCTTGGGAATTTTCTGAAAATTGGCCAGAATACTTTTTGATGTATCCTGAAAAAGTCTTGACCTGCAAAACTTAATGGTTTTTTGAGATACAAGGGCCTAATTAACCTGTTTTAATCGATTTCGAAGTTTTTTTTGACTTTGAGGTTTCTTTTCTGAAAATTTGGGCAGCTGGAGACACTCTGGTACTTCGAGAAGCGTTCTGGCCAATTTTGTGGAAAATCCCAACCGCAAAGTGATTTTGTTTTTGAAAATATTCATTTTTGATTTTTAGTTGTGAGGCTGCTGCTCGTTTCTTTTCTAAAATACGGATATAATTCTTTTTTTGTTTTGTTAAATTGACACCGAAAGCCTTCAGACGATCGCCAACGACGCCTGGAACACGATAATGTTGGACGCCAGCGCCAGCGGCTCCTCAACCATTGAGAGAACCACCCTCGGCACCTTCTACGGCAGGAACAAACGACAGGCCGGCAGCTGCAACTGCGGACCTCAGCCCAATAACTGCCCTGCCGGACCCCCAGGTACTCTTATTTCACTAGGAATCTCAAAATCGACAGTTTGAACCTGAATAATCTGATTATTTTTGGACTGGATCCAATCCCGGGGCGGACCCTTCAGAGAATGCGGCCAATTTCAGTACATTTTCAAATTTTTCGCGCTTAAAAAGCTGGGGTGCGATCCAGCCCACCTTTGAACCTAATAAGGCTGAAAAAAGGGTTTTTCTAAATCAAGAACTCGGGAAATTGCCAAAAAAAAAACCGACATGGCAGTTCTTACCGCGTTAGTTATCTCAAAATCGACAATTTTTCGCAAAAATTACCTGAAAATACTATAGAAAAAAAGCCTAAAAAGAACTAAAAAAAGGAGCTTTTCAGAAAAAAATGCCTTTAAAGGACCGTCCTAGGGCCTTTTTTTGACTATTTATCGGAAAAAAAGTGGTTTTTAAAAAAAGTAGAAAAAGTGTTCAAAAAGAATAAATCCTCGAAAAAAATTTAGAAAAATTATAGCATCTTTTTAAAAACCTCCTAGCACTGAAAAAAATTTTTTAAACCCTCAGATTACCAAGATTTCATCTTGTTTTTGAAGTTTTGAAGATTTTTTTGTAGAATTTTCCACGATTTCAACAAGTAAAATAGTCGAAATCCCAATTTTCATCGGTTTTTTTGAAAAATGGGAGATTTTTCGTGAGATTTTTTTCATGGATTCCAGCATGAGAAACAGAAAAAATCTAATTTATGTAGGCTGTCTGAAGAACTAGATATCTGCTTCAAATTAAGGGTTTCTTCTCTGAAAAATTGATTAAAAAAACAAAAAATACGCATTGATAATAAAGAAAACACAAATAATCAATATCCCAATCGAAACCTGTGTAAAATCATCATTTTTCACCAGAAAAGCATTTTTGCGATCAAAGTTTGCAAATTATACATGAATAGAAAGCTTTTGTGACGAAAAGAACTTTGGTGACAACAGAAAAAATCGAAAATTGATAGAAACGAAGAAAAAAGCGAAAATCCGGAAAATGGCGAAGCCTGTTGTCCATAGAGCAACTTTACTGCAAAGCGCCCTTTTGACGGAAACTCAAAGTTTCCTCTCTCCGACTTTTAATTATTTTTTCTCCAAAACTAGGAACTTCTGTACGTTTCCAAGTTCACCGTTCGATTCGCAATGAAAAGCTCTACAAAGTACGGCTTTGAACTGAAACACCGTTTTTTTTACTGCCCCTATGCCGTCAATATAACCAAGAGATTTCCAGGACCGCCAGGAAACGCCGGAGAACCAGGAAAAGACGGAGATTCCGGAGCTCCAGGAAAGCACGGAGAAGACGGAACATCTACCGGGTACCAGAAAGGCGAACTCGAGTGCATCAAGTGCCCAGCTGGACCCGCTGGACCCCCCGGACCCGATGGACCTGCTGGCCAATCCGGTAATTCACTTATTTTTTCAGCAAGATTGAACACAGAAAATTCTTGAAATTTCGTAAAAATCAAAAAATCATGATGCAAAGATAGAATCTAATTGAGAGCTTACAAGATCAAACTTGACTTTTTGGGCTTCAAAGAAGCTAAAATTCATTTATACGACTTGAGTACGTGTTTAGAATGTCCCTACGCGTTGCGGTCGCGCTGCGGCTTGAATTTTAAGTCGAATCGTATATTTAGTTATCGCTGCGCAGTCGTTACGCGTCGAGCCATACTCTTGAGACGAAAATTTTTTTTTCTGAGGAGTTTTTATCAAAAAATAGAAAATATCTTACGCTCTATTCAGTCAAGAATGAACTGAGGAACTCCAGTGGTCCCTATAGGGTCACTTGGACTTTACCAACCCCTCTAGGGGTCACTAAAGCTTGCAAGTCGATATTTTTATGAACATTAGACACCCTTGGAAAGTCCCCTCTAGGGACCACTTTATCAACCCCTATAGGGGTCACTGAGGCTTGCAAAAGTGGTCCCTATAGGGATTTCAGTTAGGGGCCCCTATAGGGGACATGCTAGTCGATAACTGTTTTGAACTCTATGTATTAAACTATATAAATAAACGTTTTTTTGAATAAAATTGTAAGAACCCTATAGGGACTACTTAAGCTTTAGGGACTAAAGGGTCGGATCCTTAACCCCTTTAGGGACCACCTTGATTTCACCCCTATAGGGATCACTTTTCCGCCCCTAACACGTGTAAGAAGCTGTTTTTCCCCTTAACCCTATAGAGGCCACTCTAAAATTCTTCTTATAGTCCCTTTTTTTCAATTTACCACAATTTCTTATTGAAAATGTGCTCTAGCGAACTGTGGTCCTGATTTTCAGGTCAATCTACTTTTTTTTTACAATTCTGAAGCTTGACCATGTGAGAAACCACGTCAGAACGGAAAAAGATGTCTTGAAATTCCAGGACCATCTGGACAGCCTGGACAGCCAGGAAACGCCGGAAGAGACGGAGAATCCGGAGCCCCAGGACCTCAAGGAGACGCCGGAACTCCAGGCCAACCAGGATCCGACGGACAGGACGGACAGCCCGGCAAAAATGGAGTGAGTTTCCAAAAACCGTGGAGGGAAAAGAGAGTGCAGACAGGTTAGGGTGTCTAAATCGTGAGGGGCCATTTTAGTGGAAAGTTTAGATTTTTTTTTTGAACTTTCTATGAAGTATGGTCGATTCACGACCAGCTTAAGACGATTAGGGGGCGTGGCCTGTCTGCTCTCTCCACCATCCAGGCACTATTTCTTTTTTTAATCGTTTCAGGACCCTTTTATTGACGGCTCAAGTCAGGCTTGACTCAGTTATAGAAGAATGAGCATCCTGAGGGATTTTAGAGTGGTCCCTATAGGGGTCAGGGGGAGAAACAGCCCTACAAGGAAGGAAAAAGGGGTCCCTGTAGGGGTAAAAACAAGGTGGACCCTCTAGGGGTTTAGGGTCTGACCACTTAGCCCTTAAAGCTTAAGTAGTCCCTATAGGCGTCGTTAAAGTGGTCCCCAGAGCGACGCTCCAAGGTTCGCTAAGGTGACCCCTATAGTGACCACTCTAGGGTTCCTAATCAGCCGCTAAAAGCGTAAATGAATTTTCAAACTTCGCGCTTCCTTTTCCTCATCCAACTGACTTCAGAAACGCGGACACGGAGCCCCAGGGCCGGCCGGACCTCAAGGACCAGCTGGAGCCCCAGGACAAGACGGAGCCAACGGCGAAGATGGTGCTCCCGGACAGGCCGGAGCTGCCGGACCAGCCGGAGCGCCAGGACAAGACGGAGAAGCCGGAACCGACGGCCAACCCGGTGGTGCCGGAGAAGCCGGCGTCCCTGGAACCGACGCCGCCTACTGCCCTTGCCCGCCGAGAACCGCTCCGGTTCAAGTCGAGCCCGCCACCCAATCGACTGGATACCGACGTCGATTCGCCAACTAATTGCCGCGATTCCATCATTATCTGTGTATATTTTCAGAATAAGAGATTCGAGAATCAATTCAGAGGAGTTTGCATGCAAAATGGACTTTGGTTGTCACTTTTTTGAAAATTTGAGCCCATTTCGGTGACTCTCCTGATCATTGTCGGACGTCTACTTGAACTTAAAATTCAAAAACATAAATTCCATCCGGAAATTCGCACTACGAACAGAGTTATATCATTTTTAAGACCAAAAATTAACTAGGAAGAAAGATTTTTTTCATTTTTCAGGTTTTCCGAAATTTAAAAAAAACGCCGATGGACTCTTTTTAAACTAAAAAACTCAATTATGAATTTCTACCTAACCGAAAGAATTAAAGAACGGGTCCTAGACGTATACGACAAGAGCGAATTTTCCATTTCTGCATTTTGTATGGTCGAACAAAAAAAAACTCATACTATGTGCAAAATAAGAAATAAAACTGAAAAAAACGAGAAAAAATTAACCCTTAATGATCAAAATCATTCTAAAAAATAAAATGAAAGATGTAACTTAAAAACAGCTTTACAATCAAAAAACGGGTTGAAATAAGCTTATTTTGAGAACATTGGTAAATCTACAGGAACTGCGCGGAAAATAAAATGCATGGTCCGCAATGAGGTGGTGTTCACAGTTGAACGGCATACAGTACTCTCGTGGCAGGAAAAATTCCGGTTTTCAAATTCTTTGAAAAGACAAATATACCAATAAAAATTTATATTTCTGTCAAGAAAAAGCATGGAACTACCAAGTGGCCAATTAAATTTATACCGGGATTTTTGTCGAAATCCATGATTTTTCATCATTTTTCAAAATCTGTTTGAATTTCATAACACAATTCAATGTGGAAATCTTTACTGGGCGATGGGAGAAATTTCGTGGTCTCCATAGAAATGGCGATCGTATGGCGATTGAGCTTTTGCGTGGGTTTCTTCGTAGCTCTGAAGTTTGAAAAGTTGGATAAAAGTTAAAGAATTTTTCATGTTCAACCTTCTTATTTTCCACGGAACGGCTAGATTTTTTCAAAGCCGATCTTTTATTTTCCAATCCATAGTACTCATTGACCGAGGGAACGTGTCGGGGGCTGGTGGCCGTGGAAACGCCTTCTAAAAATTCATTATTTTCATTTTAAAATGAACTTTGGGTTTTTTGAAAATTTTTTGATCAGGAAAACTCACTATTCACGACATTCCACCAGCGGGTGAACCGGAGGGAATGGTAGAAGGCGGAAAATACGAGAAACGTTTCGATCAGGACGGTAATCCACGACTAGAACATTAAAAATGAGGAAGAGTTTGAAGTTCCTTTCAGGGAGGTTCTTAGACTTTGAGATTTCACTGCCAAAGTCGGAAGTGCGGAAAACGGGTGCAAAAAGGGAGTGACTGCAAAATGGCCGCTAAAAGGGTCCCTTTTTACGGCCTTTATTGAGCCTTTCATTTTTGGTGGGTTAAAAAGGGTCATAAAAGGGCGAAAAAAGGGAGAGGCCGCGAAAAGGGTGAAGAAAGAGTGGGGGTTCAAAAAGGTTCTGAAAGTCTCTGTTATTGATGATTTCCGATGTTATTACTGTAGCTTATTTCGGTTCATACGCAGTCACTTGTAAAGATTATTCTCAATTTAAAAAAATTGTATTTCTCAAAAGGGTCCAAAAAGGGTGGATGAAGGCCGATGAAAGGACGCAAAAAGGCAGTAAAAAGGAAACCGTTTAGGAACAATTTCCGGAAACAGACGGATCCGTAACGGACGCTCAAAGGGCCCGTGAAGGGTCCTTCCCACTTTGCCTATGTTGGAATTTTTTTGAAAATTGGTCAGTACACTTCACTGTGTCGGAAGTGCGGAAAACGTGTGCAAAATGGCGGCTAAAAGGATTCCGTTTTGCGGCCTTTGTTGAGCTTTTTTCCTTGGCCGGCTGAAAAGGCTCGAAAAATGGTGCGAAAAGGGTGCAAAAAGGGTGCAAAAAGGGTGCAAAAAGGGTTCAAAAAGGGTCCAAAAAGGGTCCAAAAAGGGTGCAAAAAGGTTCAAAAAGGTTCAAAAAGGGTCCAAAAAGGGTCCAAAAAGGGTGCAAAAAGGTTCAAAAAGGGTCCAAAAAGGGTTTAAAAAGGGTTCAAAAAGGGTAACAAAGGGTGCAAAAAGGGTGCTGAAATTCTCGGCCATTGATGATTTCCGATTTTATTACTGTAGCACATTTTGGTTCATACACAGTCCCTGGTAAAATTTATTCTCAATTTAAAAAATGTTGTGTTTCTCAAACGGGTTCAAAAAGGGTGGAGAAAGGCCGATGAAAGGTTGGAAAAAGGCTGCTTTAAAGCTCTAGCTAAAGATTCCTCATAGTCTCTACCCGCAAAAACTTGAAAATTTGGAGATATGAAACTGTAAAATTGCCAAGTTTGTTGATCGCCAACTTTCAAAAATTGAAGGTTCAAAAATAAAAGCTTTTTCAGGTACATAGGCAAAGCCGGAAAGACCCTTTACAGGCCCTTTGAGCGCCCGTTTTGGACCAACAATTGTTCTTAAACGTTTGGCAACGGTTTCCTTATTAGTGCCTTTTTCCACCCTTTCATCAGCCTTTATTGACCCTTTTTGGACCCTTTTAGAAACAAAAAGTTTTTTAAATTGAGAATAATCTTTAGCAGTGACTGTGTATGAACCAAAATGTGCTACAGTAATAAAATCGGAAATCATCAATAGCCGAGCCTCTCAGCAACCTTTTTGCACCCTTTTTGCGCCCTTTTTGGACCCTTTTTGGACCCTTTTTGCACCCTTTTTGCACCCTTTTTTTTTTAACCCTTTTTAGGACTTTTTCAGCTCACCAAGAAAGAAAGGCATAATAAAGGCCGCAAAATGGAACCCTCTCAACGGCCATTTTGCAGTCACTTTTTTTTGAACTCGTTTTCCGCACTTCCGAAATTTTGTAGGAAACAAGCTCTTGAAAGCTTTTTTGATGATTTTTTTTCGTTGGAAGGAATTTTTTCAGGAAGTCAAAATACGTCAAAAAACTCTTAAGGAAGCTTCAAAAGTACAATAGAATCACAAAATCAAAAAAAAAACCCACGTGGAAGAAGGACATTCTTCTCCTGCTGGCCGAGGGAGCCGGTAAATCAAGGAATGATATAAAATTCCACGTTTTCATATAATATATGTACGTCTTTTAAAAAAATATTAACGTGGTTAAAATAAGAAGAAACAAGCCATTTCTTTTCATTAAGTTCACAGTGAGAATGTCAGCACCGTCTAAAAAGAGGCCCCATACCTGGAAAGTTCGTTTTTTCGTTTTTAAATCCTTGTGAATTTCCTGAAACTTGAGGGATACCATTTCAGAAGATTCTGGATCAAAAAATAAAAGAAAATCTTAGGAATTTTGAAATTTAGTCGAGTTAGACGCCTTAGAACCGCCAAAAATCGTGTTTTTCTTCTTCAAAGGATCATTTTGACACATTATAACCCGAGAAAAAACAAAAAATGCCTGAAAATACATTTTCCATGAGAACCAGGGTACCTTAAAAAACGATTCAGCCAAAAAATTCAAAAAAATCTCAAAAACCCGATTTTTAACTGAAAATTTGTCAAGAAAAATGATAATTTCGGTTGATTTTGAGGGGTATAACTCGAGAAAAAACGAAAAATGTTTGAAAATACATTTTCTATTTAAAATCAAGGTGCTTTAAGAAACGATTCAGCAAAAAAAAACCAGAAGAACCGAATCCTAACTGAATTTTGGTTGATTTTGAGGGATCGCTTGGTTTTTCGAATCGAGGATATTGTCAATTCCGATCAGGATACGATGCCCGAGCATTCCGGGCGAGGTTTGAACTGTTTTTTGTTATTTAAATGTTCTTGGTCGCATTTGGAATGGTTCTAAGCGTCGCGTTCGCGTTGCGGCTTGAGGAAAAAGAAACTGGAAAAAAATAATTTTTTTTCTCCAAAGTCCATTCACCCCTGGCTTTGTTAGTAGGAAAGTGTATCACTGTCTAAATCTCTTCCATTCCCGCGCTATTTCCTATAAAAGCTCATTTTTTTTGATTTTCAAAAGCTTTTCACGGCTTGTTTGGGTCTTGACACGATTAGCGAAATAGTGTGAATAAATAAGAGGTTCAGACATCTCTATGGTATTTATCTCAACTAGTCGTAATCGATCGAGAAAATAGTCCTGGCAAGATTTTTACAGTAACCCATACTTTACGGAATAAGAAATAGACACGTCATTCGTCGAGACTGGAAGCTGTCTGACATGTCTGCGCTCTCTTTTCTCTCACCCTTCAACTCGCCCCTGGGTAACGAGAACCAGACGTGCTTCGGATGTTTCTGAGAAGTTCTAGGGACCCCTTAAGAGTTCTGTCGCTACTAAAGTGGTCCCTAGAGCTGTCCCGACACGTCCGCTTCGCGTTACGAAGAGCCGAGAAAGAGCGTGTAAACACGAGAGAGCGCAGAGAAATCAGAACTTTCGTCTCAAGATGCGTAAGCCGTTTAGAGTCGGGCACGTCCTAAAAAAAGCCGCTCCGCACTTTGAGCCATTCCAAATGCGGTCAGAACCATCAAAGTCGCTCTTTTAGGGACAGAAGAACTGTGCGGATTACCCTCGTCGGTACATCGCGTTGTCGTTCTCGTCAGACATGCCGAAATGGTTCCTAAACTATCCTTCCTTCAAAAAAAAAAAAATTAAACTTGCAGCAAATGCCGCCATCCGACAAGCCGAGCGTCAGCAAGAGGGTTTTCTCTCTTTAAACCGTCTGACTAGCCTGCGCTCTCTTTTCTCTCGCTAAGAGAGCGCAGACGAGTCAGATTGCTTCGATAAAATGTCCGAATTCAGAAAGGAAAAACCGAGAAGAAACTCCCGTCGGCAAGGTCACCAGTGCCACAGCTGAGTTCGCCAACTGCGGTTAATTTTGATTTGTGCAAAAATGGGTGCAAAAAGGCTGCTGAAAGGGTTCCGTTTGGCGGCCTTTATTGAGCCTTTCTTTCTTGGTGGGCTGAAATTGAAGCTCAAACTCCCTTTTTATGAGCTGGAGCAGGTCAGGCTCAAGTTTGATCTTGCTCAGAAAAAAGCCATATTTCTGGAGCTTGACCCGAATAGTTCCCTCCACTGAGCTCGATTTCGAGAAAGTACTGTTTTAAATCTTTCTTTAGAGCTGGACCAGCTCAAGTTCCTCTCTTGAGCTATTTTGTTCTGTTGGATGAGATTCAAGTTTTTTTTATGAGCTGGACCAGCTCTAACATTTTTCTGATCTTTTTTTGGTTCAGTGAAGCTCAAACCCTCTTTTTATGAGCTGGAGAAGGTCAGGCTCAATTTTGAGCTTCTTCCTTTTTGCAGCTAGTCCAGATCAAGCTCTCAGGAGTTTTTCTTTCAAAAAGATTTTTCGAAATTTCTATTGGATTTTTTCAAACTTCTAGGAACGCGCCGGAGCTCTCGTGACCAGACAACTGATCGCTCTGCCTGCAAAGTTCAAGCATATCGTCTGCGCGCCTCAGCTCGAAGCCATCCAGATAGCCATCGCCGTCAATAAAAGCCTCATAGGCAAGTTTGGATCATTTCTTGGACGGGAGTACTCGCGGATGAAACCGTCGCTCGCCAGTTTAACTCCAGCAGATCACACGAAACGTTTAAAAAACATCCTGTGATTATAGCTGATTCACGGGTGGCTTGAGCCATCGAAAAACGGGTCCTGACACGAATATGCACGAAACAGCGCAGTGTCGCGGATGCTACCGCCTTTCAACCGTTTGGATAGTGTCAATCACCCAAAACTTTTTTTGCCGCATGATAGACCCTGTTTAGACCAGTATATCTGCGAAAACGCAAAATTACGCGCCGAGTCCCCGTTCGGGTCCCGCGGGTCGTCCGAACTGTTTAAAAGACTAAAACCCAACGTAGAATGCCCGTTTTGTAAAATTATGACCTATCCGTGCTATTGGCTAGGGGTTCCAAGACTCGAAAAAATGTCTAGAACGGCTCAAAATTGCTCTGCGTTTTTGCGGTTTGAGAAAAATCTGCCCAAAATTTCCATTTTTCAGAAAAGTCAGAAAAGTCGCAAGTGGTCGTAGAGCAACACTTGGCTGAGCCTTCCTCGGGTTCTGTAAGTTTTTTTTTTGGCACAAAAAAATTATCTTTTGTTTTCCCTTTTCGACCTGCTACACACTCCACATGTCACACTTGTAGTCCTCTGATTTCTCTGCGCTCTCTTTTCTCTCGGTCCTTAGCGGCGAGAGAAAAGAGGACGCAGACAGGTCAGACTCCTCAAAGTAATATGAATGAAGTATGAAAAAAAACTTCAAAATCAAGTTTTTAAAAGAAAGACTTTTCGCCTGCTACACACCCCACATGTCACACTTGTAGTCCTCTGATTTTTCTGCGCTCTCTTTTCTCTCGGTCCTTAGCGGCGAGAGAAAAGAGGGCGCAGAAAAGTCAGACTCCTTAAAGTCATATGAATGAACTAGCCTCGAAATCATTTTCAGCACCGTTTTCCAAACTTCAAGCAATTGTCGAAGATGGAAGTCATCAGCGGACAAAAATTGTTGCATCCGGGGCCGGAAAAAGTCGAGGAGGCCGTCAAACGCATCGAGACTATTTTTGAAAAGTTTTAGCCCATTCCTTTATTTTTTTCGATGGAAAAGCTCAGGATCACGGCCCGTTACTCTGGGAATTTGGTCATCTTTTGCGGGCCGAATTGTTTGGAAATCCTAACGGAGGTTATAACGAAGAAGAAAACTCTACGCATGCAATCCAAGGCTTTCCAGGCGTTCGTGTTTTACAAAAAAGTAAGGAGGACTTTTGGAGTCTGACCTGTCTGCGCCCTCTTCTCTCTCAGTAGCACAGCGAGGGAGAAGAGAGCGCAGAGAGATCAGACAGTGGCTTTCTCTGCGCCTTCCTCATCCCTAGAAGTCTCTCTCATGTTTATGTGCTATTTCCATGTTTCTCTGACCTCGCCGGTAAGAGTGAAGAGTGCGCAGAGAGATCAGAAAGTTGGCTTCTCTGCGCCCTCCTCATCCCTAGAAGTCTCTCTCATGTTCACGTGCTATTTCCATGTTCTTCTGACCTCGCCGGTGAGAGAAAAGAGGGCGCAGAGAGATCAGACAGATTTTCAAAAAAATCGTATAAGCCCCTGTAATGGAAAATAGACCATCATTGGAAAAAGAAAAACTTTAAAATGACCACTTTGGAGCCTCCTAGTGATAACTTAAGGGATCTTGAGATTCTTGCCCTTTTTCGGTCTCACTTGGCACCAAAAAAGTCAATAAAAAAGGGGCGTGGCCAGCCAATTAGAGACTCAGTTCGTTAGGGCGCACTTTAGACTGAAAATGATGCTTTAAAAATATTTCTTGAACTAAGTTAGAGATTACAGGAAAAGGAGAGTGCGTGGGAGAGAGCAGAGAAGCCGTGACGTCATTTCATTCATTTTTTGTTTAAAAATAAATATGTGCCTTTTTTGGAGAAAAAAAAAATTAAAGACACCTTTTCCTTCAAAAATTGAAGAAAAAATCGCAAAGATTACTGTAGAATCTTTTTTTGTTTCAATACCATTTTTATGGGAAATATAATGCTCCTTTAAGTTTTTTGCTTAAATAAAGACGGGTTTTGAAATTTTTGATAATGATCGATAAATTACGTGAAAATCCTCATTTCTATCATGTTTTGGTCCATTTTAATCTTGCTAGTTTCTAAAAATGGTGAGCGGAAAAAAAAAATTTTTTTCGAATTTTTTTTGACATAGTTGCCTGGACGCCTGGAGAAGATTTTTCTATGCGATGGAAATTGTCAAAAAAACGATTTTTTTCGATTCTCTGAAACCTGTAGATGATCCTTCGTTGGATTGTCTGAATAATACGAGAGCTAGGGAAATCTTCGGTTTTTTTCCTTTTTGATTCAAAAAGTTTTTTTAAATCTTTTAATAGGATCTTCAAAAATATTATCACGAATTTGGGAACAATCAACGGTTCTGTTTGAGGTAAGCATATTAAAAAAAAGATTTTCAGAATAAACATTGAAAACATTTTTTTTTTTCAAATCCACTTTTCCCTGAGATTTCCGAAGGCTTTCTTATGCTTAGGAAACTGTTGTAAATATGAAGCCGCTAAAGTGGTCACTAGAAATGCTTGAGAACGTCCGGGGCGCGTTAGGTTATCGTTACCGCGATCCGGGGTTCAAAAATATTAAAATTATCAATGGAGCGCAAAAGCAGCTGAAATTGGGCCGATCGTTCAGTTATTCCAATTTTTTTTTTACTTTCTCTAGGGGCCACTAACTGATAACCCTATAAGAACCACTTTTTCCAAGGATCTTTGGAGTTATCAATGGAGCGCAAAAACGGCTGAAAGTTATTCCAATTCTTTTTTCTTCTTAGGAACTTTAGAGTGATACCTATAGGGGTTAGGTGGATAAACAGCTCCTAAAGTGTCGAAAAAGTGGTCCCTACAGGGGTAAAATCAAAGTGGTTATTACAGGGGCCGAAAAAAGGTCTTAGGGGTAAAGCCAAGCTGATCCCTGCAAGGGCCAAAAAAGTGGTCCCTACAGGGATTCAGGGTCCGACCCCTAGCCCCTAAAGCTTAAGTGGTCACTATAGGGGTCTCTCAGTTTGATTCAAAAATGCTTATTTATGAAATTTTTCGCATGGAACTACTTCTTCCCATAGAGTTCATGGAAATGACCCCTATAGGAGCCTCTACAGGGTGAGCAATAAATATTGAAACCGTTTTTTGTTTGATCGCTGCTTTTTGCACAAAGGACTGGTCATTGAATTTTTTTGTTTATTTCGTTCATTCATGCTCACTTATCATGTTTTTGAAGTTACAGCTCATACTTTTTAGTTTTCAGGTAATGGTGGCCCCATCTCCGTACCGTACCGCAATCATTGATTGTGTCAAAAGCGGAATGACGGATTCAGAGATCGTTAAAAAGCTGAAAGTGTCTCGTTTTCTCGTTTTTCGAACTGCACAACGCTATCGGCGTCTCGGTACTTCAGATGACATGCAAAGAAGGGGACGTCGAGTCACCGTCACGACTCCAGAAGCAGTCAAAGCCGTTCGAGGGAAAATCAGACGCACTCCGGAAAGAAGCATGAGAAAGATGTCAAAAGAATACGAAATGAGTCGAGAATCGATGAGAACTATTGTCAAGGACAAGCTGAAGATGATTCCCTACCGTATGCAGAAAGGAGCCTTCCTCAATCAAAAAAACAAGACATTGCGGATGAAAAAGGCTCGAAAGCTGCTCGCTGGCACGGAAGATGGCTCGCATCTGACGACGCTATTTACCGACGAGAAAATCTTCACTGTGGAGCCGAACAAGAACGGCCAAAATCATCGGATCATTGCTAATGACTTTCAGAGTGCCTGTGAAAAAGGAAAAATTCTGAATAAAACTTCGCATCCGGCTTCCGTGATGGATTTGCCGGAATTACCGCTGACGGCAAAACTCCGCTGATTTTTGTGGATCCTGGAGTGAAAGTGAACCAAGTATACTACAGGGCGTAGATTTTAAAGTTGGGGGTGTTGCCCTGGCCCAATTCTCACTACGGAAACCGATCATGGACCTTCCAGCAAGACGGCGCCCCCGCTCATCGCGCCAAAGGGAATCAAGAAAGGTGTCGCGCCAATTTTCCGAGTTCATCTCGGCTGCTGATTGGCCTGCTTCCTCGCCCGACCTCAACCCGATGGACTATGCCGTGTGGATATATCTGATCAAGAAGGTCTCTTCTAAGGACTACCCAAGTATCAAAGCTCTGAAGACCGCGCTCATCAAGAAATGGGACGAAATCGACGACGACTACCCTCGTGCCGTGATCGATGCGTACCCGAAGAGACTGAAGGCCGTTATCAAAGCTAAAGGAGGACGTTTTGAAAACTATTCTTGAATTTTGTTTCTATATTGTATGAATAAAATTTGCTCCAAATTTGGTGGTGTTTGGTTGACTTTTGAGAAAGTTATAACGTTTCAAACGCGTTTCAATATTTATTTGTCACCCTGTAACTAGAACCCCTATAGAGACCACTTTTTCAAGTATTAGGGATCCCTATAGGGAAACCCTCCAAGGGCCCTGTGGCGTGTTTCCGCTCTCCACCAACCATGCACTGTCTCTTATATTATCGTGTCAGAACCCTATTTTCGATGGCTATTTTCAAAAAAATCTTCTTTTGCTTCTTAGGATGGACGGAGATAAAAAGAGTGGAAAAGTCTCAGAATGACATTTTAAATGAAACCGTAATAATCGCTAAAATCTTCAGAAACGTAGAGGGGATCGAGAGGCTCGCCAGCTTGTCAAAGCCTTTCAAAGATTCCAGAATAATATGCCGAAATCAAAAAGATCCGATGGCCTGGTACCAGGGGAAGCAATCTGTAGCTTTCGAGTGATTTTTATGATTTTTCGAAAAAAAAAAATGAATTTACAGCGGTAGTAACTGCCTTTTTTGGACCGAAAAGTCGTGGAATGGAAAAAATTCAACGGGTTTCCCTACAAAATCGAGTCTTGTTGGGTTAGAAGCTCATGAAAACTACTGCCGGAATCCAGATAATGATTTCAATGGACCTTGGTGTTTCACTGCTGGGAATAAAACGGTGGGTCTTGATATAGTCGATGTGCCACGAGTGAAATTTCATGGAACGACACTCCGCTCGGTGGCCTTGTGGCCGTGAAAAATCAATGCCTTTGATCTCGGTCACGCTTTCCCATTTTATAATTTGCCGTTTTCAAATGCATTTTCTTCGATAATTCTTTAGTTTTATGAACTTTTTTACCAGTGCAATGGAAGAAGAAAGTTTTTCGGAATGCCAATAATTCAACCACGGGATAAATAACAGTGAAAAACCTTATAATAACTGAAACCGATCTCTCTATTCCACAGTGCGTACACGTCTTCATTTTATAAGCCACTCACTTTCTGAAAAAATCCATTAACCACTGCAACAAACAGAAAAAAACGATGAAAACATTATAACATGGCTTTAACAAAAACACACTTTTTTTATCCCTCTTTTCGAGGAAGATTACGAAATTTTCTGTGTTCTTTCGTTTACATTTGTACAGCGCAATCCTTTTTCAACGATAACAATACATTTTAAAGAAATAAAAATAATTAAAAAAACGATCAAAAATTAGAATTAAAACCAAAAAAATTAGCGTGGCCGGGGTTGGCAAATTCGCACGATGCGCGCTACCGCACAAGTCGAAACACCGAAGTGTCGTTCCATGAAAGTTCAACTTGTGGCACATCAACTATAATAATGACTAATATTTCTTTAAATTCCATTATTTTTTAAAAGATCATTACTATATTTCTTTAAAAATCTGGGGAAATTTTTAGTGGCCACTAGAGGCTCGCCAAGGACACTAAAGTGGCCACTAGACCCACCTCTATTATGGCCACTATTTAACGTTTTAGTGGCCACTATAAAGGTTCTCCATTTAGTGGCCACTTCAGTAGTTTTTCATCCAGTAACTCTGATAATTTTAAAACAAACAGATTGGACCAGTTATGATAATCCATTGACCCCTAAAGTGGCCACTTAAATGTTTAGTGATCTAGTAGTAGCACTTAGACCTCTATAGTGGCCACTGATTTTTAACCCCTTAAGTTGCCACTAATTTGACTACCATAGCGGCCACTAAAACGTCAAAACCCTATAGGGGCCTTAAAAAAAGCTCCTGTGTTGGTTTCTTTCGAAAAATAAAGTTATAAAAATAAATTTACGAAAAAAGCGATGAATTGGGTAAAAATTTTGATTGAATTGCCGCACTGGGAATGGCTCAAGCGTTTTTTTATAATTTATTTATTGTCCCGAATTTTTTTCTGCTGACTTTCGGAGCTTTTTTTATTGATTTTTTTGAGTATTTTTTTGATAAAAAAACATGAATTTTTTTCAAATTGAAAAAGAGAAAAACATCAATTTTAGGTCGTCAAAAAGCCGTGTTTCCTACCTTGCGTCGAAACTTCATCAAAAGATTTTTGCCTCTCCAAAAAAGGCTTTCCATACAATGATCGGAACTCTGTTGGTAAGTTATTATTTGAAAAAAAAATTCAATCTTGCCAAAAAAAGGCATTTTTGCTACTTTACAAAATTTTGAGAATGGCTTGACGATTTTTCTGCAGATCTAAGCGACATAAACTCGGCTCCGGGGGTGATAGATGTGATCAAAGGTGCTCAACCGACAACACTTCCGAGGCGTTTCGTTTTTGAAAAAAGTCTTCACAGAGGGGACCACAAAACGTAAGAGATTTCACAAAAACTCCAAGTTTTATTGCTAAAGTCCTAATCTATCGCGCAAGTCGTTTTGAGCCGGGCGCATAAATCGGCTGGATCCCATTCCAAAATTTAGAGCGCGGGAAAAAAACATTTGAGGCCGCAATTCGTTGGGAGATCCAGCCGACGTATGATCGGGCATTTTTTAAAAAAAGCCATTCCAAATGCGACCAAGAGCTTTCAATTTTGAAATAAGGTTCATTCGCCGCGACTTGACACTGTCTGCGTCTCTCTGTTCCCTCGCCGGCGAGGTCAGAGAAACAGGAAAATAGCACGTCAACATGAGAGGGCCGCCGAGAGAAGAGGAGGGCGCAGAGAAAGAGGAAGAAGGGTTTTTGCGTGTCTACGCCTCTCTGTTCCCTCACCGCTCAGGAAAATAGCACATAAACATGAGAGAGTCGCCGAGAAACGAGGGGGCAGAGAAGTCCCGAGTCGCGGAAAATGGACTATAGAGACTCATATAGTCCGTTTTTTCGCGACTTGTCTGCGTCCTCCTTATCTCTCGACGACTCTCTCCTGTTCATGTGCTATCTTCCTGTTTCTCTGACCTCGCCGGCGAGAGAGCAGAGAGACGCAGACACGAAAAAAAACACTTTCCTTTTTCTCTGCGCCCTCCTTATCTCTCGCCGACCCTCTCATAATTACGTGCTATTTTCCTGTTTCTGCCGGTGAGAAAACAGAGACGCAGACACGTAAAAACACTCTTTCCTCTTTCTCTGCACCCTCTTCATCTCTCGACGACCCTCTCATTTTGACGCGCTATTTCCATGTTTCTCTGACCTCGCTGGTGAGGGAACAGAGAGACGCAGGCAGTGTCAAGTCGCGGCGAAGGGACTATATAGCCTTTTCAAAGCAAAATGAAACTTTTTTGTCCTCAAAAATTGAAAAAAATGATTGAAGATGCAACCAATGGGGAGAACAAGCCGAATATTTCGGGCCCTGGATTTCTGTGATGGATAATGTTGCCAAAAAGTCGATTCGGAAAAGCGGGCGATCGTGAGTTTCTACTTGATTTTTTGTGCCAGTCAAAAATCCCAGATCCTTCCTGACCATTTGTCGGGATCACAAACTGGGAGAAGGAAATCATCTTTATTTTGACGACGAAAGCGCCGACTCCTGTTCTTTCTGGCGACAATGCTATACGGCTTGTCAAGACGATCATCTCGTGTTTTTTAATATTTTAAATCCTCGCTTGGGTTATTAAAGGAGCATGGTATAGTTTCAAAAAAAGATCTCGAGGCGAAGAACCGTTTGATTGTTTTTTGAACCTTTACGGCAAGATTTTCACATAGGCAAAGTCGGAAGGGTCGAAAAAGGCTCCATAAAAATGTTTCATTTTGCTGTCTTTTTGCACCATTTCATCGGCTGTTATGCACCATTTTTGCTGCCTTTCCCTTTTTCGACCATTCCTTGAGCCTTTAAAATCTCAGAAAAAATGGAAGGCTCGATAAAAGGACCCTTTTTGCAGCCTTTTTGCAGCCTTTCTGCGGCCTTTTTGAAGCCTTTTTGCTGCCTTTTTGCAGCCTTTCTGCGGCCTTTTTGCGGCCTTTTTGCAGCCTTTTCGCTGCCTTTTTGCAGCCTTTTTTTGCAGCCTTTCTGCGGCCTTTTTGCAGCCTTTCTGCGGCCTTTTTGCGGCCTTTCTGCAGCCTTTTTGCTGCCTTTTCGCTGCCTTTCTTCGACTTTTTTGCGACTTTTTGCGGACCTTTTGCGACTCTTTTGAAGCCTTTTTCAAACCTACATTTTTAGCGGCCATTATTCACCATTCCGACTTTGCCAGTTAGGTCTCTAGAAACCCAAGCGAAGATTTCTCGTACAAAAATAAAAATTTATGCAAAAAAAGAAAATAATATTAAGATGCTGGCCAAATCTCACCAATTTTTCGTTATTTTGGGGGCAAAAATCAGAATTTTTGATTCGAAGGAGTGTCTTCCGTGGTCTGAGGTAAAGAGAGGATTTTTCTTCTTATCAAAATAATTTTCGAAGCCAAAAGGAATCACTAGAAAAAAAAAATGAGAGGAGAAAATTGAGCCAGGAAATTTCAGAAAAGCACTGGCGCTCTACGGATAAAAATGCACTAGAAGTTTGAATTTTGAAATTTTGGGAAATTGAGCCGGAAAAATTCGGAGAAGAACCCGCGCTCTACGGATAAAAATGCATTAGAACTAAATTTTGAAATTTTGGAAAATTGAGCCGAAAAATTCGGGGAAGAACCCGCGCTCTACGGATAAAAATGCGCTAGGATTTTAAATTTGAAAATTTTGGACGGTTTTTCAAAAAAAAAACTGTTTTGTGTGTTTAACTAATTGAAGATTAGAAACAAGGGTTATGAAAAAAAGGAAAAAATTCATTTCAAACCTTTAAATTCAATTTTTGATGCTTTGTCCGTGGAGCACATTTGTGCATCTTAATAATGCCAAAAATCTGGAAAAATTTATTCTGTGTGTGCTCTTTATGAATTGCAATGCTCAGTTTGATGCAAGAAAAAAATCATTCTGGTTAGAAATATTAGATTTTTTTATCAAGCTGATTTTTTTGTTATCACTCGAAGAAATTGGTGCTCTTTTTTTTTCGAAACTTTGTCATCGGTTTTTTTTAAAACGAAAAAAAAAACCTAATCTCAAAATCAGATTTCAGGCTATGGCTCACATCTTTTCCCTATCTGCGATCATCGATTGGGGATCTGCTTTTCTGACCCAAAATGAACAACTCAGAAGAGCTCAAATGCAATTGCGCCCTGATGATAAAATTGCTCGGGCCGTATTTTATTTCGTTCATTTATTCGCACAGAAAGACGATTCTAACAATTTTACGAATCATTTCGTCGATTCCCGGTTGTTTTTGAATACTGGGTAATTTTTTCTTCGACTTTTTTGCTGTCTGACTCGTCCGCGCCCTCCTATCTCTCATCGATAAGACATAAGAGGGCGCAGAGAAGTCAAACATTTGGCGATTTCTTGAAAATGGGTCAGAATTGAGATTTTCTGCTCAATTTTTAAGCGAGATTGGCTCAAAAACTCTAAAAAATTGACAAAAAAAGAGGCCTCTTTTCCGACTCGAAACGGAATTGCTCCGGACGTTTCTGGGCATTTCTAGTGACCACTTTAGTAGCGTCAGAACTCTTAAGTGACCCCTAAAATCGCCCAGAAACGTCCGGAGCACGTCCGTTTCGCGTTACCAATGTCCGAGGACCTCTCCGATTTCAAATTATTGAAAGATGATTTTCTAATGATTTTAAGTCACATTACAGAAGTAGTGGAAATTCAAGGTCAAAAAGTTGAGCGAAATGAGATTTTATCTTCTTTTTGCTGTGTCAAAAATGCATGCTGGAAAAAGTCGCGAAATTGGTGGTTTGGAAAAACTAGGCCACGCCGGAATTCGGTTTGGAAAAACTAGGCCACGGCACAATTTTTTTCTCCATTTTTTTTCTTATCTGAATTTGTTTTTTTTTCAGTTTTGAAAAGGTTTCCGCTGTTTTTTCAACTCCATCGTTCTCGTGAGCAAAATACGATGGTTACTACAAAATTACGGCGTGGCCTAGTTTTCCAAACCGACGACCGACTTTTCCAACATGTCCAAAAAACAACTTTCAATCACCAAAAAATGGCATGCTGGAAAAGTTGGTCGGTTTGGAAAACTAGGCCACGCCGAGAATTTGCAATTTTCATCAAAACTTGGAATCAGTTTATTACTTTCTAATGCAGCGACGTGGCCTAGTTTTCCAAACCGACCGACTTTCCAGCATGCCGAAATATTGCCTTTCTGCTCTATCAAAAACAACTTTCAATCATCAAAAATGGCATGCTGGAAAAATCGGTCGGTTTGGAAAACTAGGCCACGACGAAAGTTTGCAATTTTCAAAAATTGGAATCAGTTTTTCACTTTTTAGTGTAGTAACCATCCTATGTTGCTCGCGAGAACAGTAGATTTGAATGAAAAAAGCGAAAAGTATGGAATTTGAAGTGTTCCATGGAGCACCATTGTGGCGTGGCCTAGTTTTCCAAACCGGCCGAATTTTCCAAATTTTCCTCAAAAAATGATTTTTTTTTTTCAGAAATCGATGCACTGATCTAAAACCGTTATTAAACTTGAATTCAAGCATCGAAGAGCGCTTTAAAGCGTTTGAGGTTCATTTTTTGATATTTTCGTCGGAAATTAAATGATTTCAAGTTCACAAATTATTCGATGGAATCTGAAGAAAATTGGAAAAGAATGCTTCACGAAATGGTCCGAGGACCGGGATGTTTCACCTTTGATAAGGTGATTTTACTGAGAGACGAAAGATTGATCCCTATAGGGGTTTAAGTTCTGAACCCGGCGCCCCTCAAGCTTAAGTGGTCCCTATAGGGATTTATGGTCTGATCCTGACGCCACTGAAGCTTAAGTGGCCCCTATAGGTCCTTAGGGTCTTATCCAAACGCCCCTCAAGCTTAAGTGGTCCCTATAGGGTTTTAGGGTCTCATCCCAACGCCCCTAAAGCTTAAGTGGCCCCTATAGGGGTGAGGGTCTGAACCCGACGCCCCTCAAGCACAAGGGGTTCCTATAGGGGTTTAAGGTCTGATCCTGACGCCCCTGAAGCTTGAGTGATCCCTATAGGGGTTTAGGATTCGACCCGACGCGCCTTAAGCCTAAGTGGTCCCTTTAGGGGTTTAGGGACTGATCATGGCGCCCCTGAAGCTTAAGTGGTCTCTTTAGAGTTTTTTATTATTTTTTTCAGAGTTGAAAATTAAAAATACGTTCAATGACCCAAGACTAATTCACCCTCTGTTGATGCTTGTTCATTCAAAAAACGCAAACTAACGCTGGGTGAAGTGGTCCCTAAAGGGTAAAGCTTCAAGGGCCCCTCAAAGGGACCACTCTGGAGTTACAAAGCCGTCCTTTCTTTGCAAAAGAGGATATATAGATTTTTAGAGCCAAAAAATCCAATACAAGCCCTGCTTCCAAGGCTGCAACGCCTCTTTTCCGGACCCAATTGAACCTTTCATGAAATTGTGCGATTCTAATGGGAAAACTGGCGTTTGTTCTGAGGTACTGATTTTTCTTTTATTGATTTCGGCCAAAAATATCATTTTTTCTTCATTTTTTTTTGTCTTTTTTTGTGTCAAAGTCTTTTCGACGCGTTTAGGAGCTGCTCCTTTAACTAATGGCGCGATTTTTTTGATATATTCGCGTTATAATCTTAATTTCACTACTTTTTTTATGGCAAATCGGTTCATGAGAACGAAAAAAAGAGCTCAAAAACCCAAAAAAAGCGTTAGGATTGGGCAAAAAAATGGCTTTTTTTAAAATGAAAAAAACTTCTTTTTTTATAAGTTACATGTTTTGTCATACTTTTTCATTAATTTTGCTTCCAATAAGACCGAAAAAAATAAATAAAAACAGCAAAAAAATAAAGAAAAAAATTTGAAGGCGCATAGCTTCGACGAAAAAAAGGTTTCAATCGAAATCACAATTTTCTCCTAGAAACTAGCTATGAACTAACTATACCAATTTTTGTTCAACAAAGAAATTTGAGTGATAAAATCGAAAAATCACTTTTAAAAGTCCGAAAAAGGGCTCAAATTTAAAGGCGCATGACCTTCCGGCCAAAAATTCTTTTAAAGCGAAATCGAGCTTATTCCGAACTTTTTACCCTCAGGAGTCGCTCTACTATACCAATTTTTTTATCTAACAAAGAAATTTGACTGATAAATATGAAAAAAACTAATTTTAAAATTTCGAAAAAAAGCTAAAAATTTAAAGGCGCATGGGCTTTGCCTAAAAACAAATCTCGACGCGAAATCGGGTTATTTGCGCTTTTGAGACCAGCCAAGGTCTTACTAATCTGAAAACTTTAAGAAATTTTTTTTTAGATAAAAGAAACGGGAGATTTCCACCGGGGAAGAGAAGAAGCTGGGAAATCCAACATTTTGGATTTTGGCCGAGAAATTTCTTTATTTCTGGTTTTATTGGCGCTTTTCGTGATAAATTTGGCAATACGTGAGTTGGTGTTTTATTTTGAGATTTTGAAAAGACGTTTTTCAGTTTTGGCCCTGAAAGCTATGCTTTGAAGGACGTTACAAACGCAATTATTGAGAAAAATTAATCATTAAAAAGGGGTTTGAATAAATAGTATCATCAAAATCGTTTTATATTTTTTAACTTCTATAAAACCTTAAAATGTGTAAAGTTGGAAGTTTATTCATAAAACTAGCTCAAAATTTTATAAATTATGAAAATAAAAGGATCTTTTGAAGTGAGAGATCACTGTAACCTGAAGAGACGCCAGAGAAGTCAGATCCCTCTCTTTCTCTGGCGTCTCTTCAGACCGCCGTTGATCTCTCTTTTTGCCAGAAATCAATATAACTATCTAGTCTTCGGAATGGACAGTTTTCCGTAAAGTGATTCACAAAATATTTTAACAGATAAATTCGAAAATTTGAAAGGTTCACAAAACGAAATTTTTACAAACTACCTGGGTTTAAGGACCAAACAGCCAAAAACGGAAAAATAAAACTTTTTATGGGAGAAATTAGGAATTTTAGTGGACTAGATAAGATAAAAGGTTGATCTCACCACCATTTTTTTCCATTCTGAAGCTTCTTCGAGAACAAGTAAAACATGGGGAATTAATCAGCGAAATTTTTTTACAAATTTTTTTGGATTTTTTTAAGAGTTTTTACTACACTTTCGGAAAAAAATTATTGGTGATGCCATTTTTTTAATATTTCAAAAATTTAGAACTGTACTGGCCACTTAAGAGGTTTCTCAAGTAGCGCTTGGAGAGGACACTAAAGTGGCCACTGAAAAATCTCTACAGAAAAACACCAGACTCATGGCGTTTTTGTTAGTGGAAGAAAATGCGAAACCAAAAATAAGTTGGCCGGAGCGAGAATATCCGCTGTTCCCACGTGACGTCATGAGAACGGCAGAGGTTCCGGCTCTAATATCAGGGCACATTAAAGGCGCAGGCGGCCGTATTGCCAGAGATTTTTGGGACGAATCGAAATTTCTCTACCTAGACGCGATTTTCTGCGCGAAAGCGGCGCGGTGCATGCACACGACACACGACACTTTACGGAGAAAAAGTGGCGAAAAAACGCCGTGAATTGTACCCTCTTAAGTGGCTACTAACTCGACCGCTATTGTGTTCACCAAGGAGTCAAAATCCTAAAGTGGCCACTAAACATTTCCCAGGTATTTTTTTTTCACTGCATTTCTACAAAAGAAAAAATGGTCAGTTTTATAAATATATTCTCGAACTGAAAAATCTACAATTTATACAGACATGACTTTTTTTTCGCTCTCAAAGTGTTTCACGTAAGTTGCTCGTTGAGATATTTTCGGAAGGCGTTTTCCACTACAAGGTCCATATTTTGTCGGGCAAATGGCTTGGAGTCGTCTCCGTATCCCGGTGGAGGACTGAAAAATCCAATTTTCAGTACATTTTTTGAAAAAAAAGGTCTTACGCTAAAACCTGTGAGATTTTCGACGCCAGGGCTTGATTCAGGGAAGGAGGCTGGAAATTCGGAAAAATTATTTTTCTAAGTTTATTAGAAGCCTTCTCGGGCAACGTCGGGATGATGGATAATGGTTGCTAAAAGGGAGAGGCTCAAAAAAAAACTGCAGAAAGGCAGCAGAAAGGCAGCAAAAAGGCCCCAGAAAGGCAACAGAAAGGCCGCAAAAAGGCTGCAAAAAGGCCGCAAAAGGGCAGCAAAAAGGCCGCAGGCAGGGTCCCTTCATCGAGCCTCCCATTTTTTCCGGATTTTGAAGGCTCCAGAAATGGTGGAAAAAGGGAGAAGCAGCAAAAACGGTGCATAAAAGCCTATAAAATGGCGCAAAAAGGCCGCGAAAAGGCAGCAAAAAGGACGCAAAAAGGCTGCAAAAAGGGCGCAAAAAGGCAGCAAAATGGCCGAAAAAAGGCAGCAAAAAGGCATCAAAAAGAGTCCCTTTATCAAGCCTTTCCTTTTTTCTGTGATTTTAATGGCTCAAGAAGTGGTGGAAAAAGGAAGAGGCAGCAAAAATGGTGCATAAAAGCCTATTAAATGGCGCAAAAGTGCAGCAAAAAGAAAACCTTTGTCATCCTAAAAAGGAACATTTCTATGAAACCTTTTCCGACTTTGCCTATGTTATTTTGTTTATGTTATAGGTCAATAAAAAAATCTTCTAATTGACCTCAAAATGGCCTAAAATTGAACTGAACCAAAACAAAAAAACAACTAAAAATCCAAAAAATGTATTTTTCAAGTAGTCTACAACCTTCTAAATGATACATTTTCCATTCCGGAGTATCTTAAAAGTCTTTTTTCATAGGAAAAGATGGAAATGGCTTCATTGAAATGTTCCTTTTTTGCTGCCTTTTTGCGCCACTTTCTCGGCCATTATGCATCATTTTTGCAGCCTCTCCCTTTTTCCACCATTTCTTGAGTCTTTAAAATCCTAGAAAGAATGGAAGGCTCGATAAAGGGACCCTTTTTGCAGCCTTTTTGCAGCCTTTTTGCTGCCTTTTTGCAGCCTTTCTGCGGCCTTTTTGCGGCCTTTCTGCAGCCTTTTTGCTGCCTTTTCGCTGCCTTTCTGCAGCCTTTTTGCTGCCTTTTCGCTGCCTTTCTGCGGCCTTTTTGTGGCCTTTCTGCAGCCTTTTTGCTGCCTTTTTGCAGCCTTTCTGCGGCCTTTTCGCTGCCTTTTTGCAGCCTTTTTTGCAGCCTTTTTTGAGCCTCTCCCTTTTCGCGGCCTTTACCACCATTCCGACTTTGCCCGAGTTTCAAATTTCCACCAAGAAAAATTGAACTCACAACTTGAATCCCAGTACTCCTCAAATTAGAAAGAGCCTCCAAAAGATGAAGACCATTTTTCTCGGCTCCCCCATTGGAAATTAGCTGTCCCAGACCGAATTTCTAAAAATCTTTTTTTCCTCTTTCTTTGTCAAGGGATTACTTTAGCGATTTCGCTGAATTTTCCTTCCAGAGATTGCTTTCCATTTGTGGAGTTTTCGAGATTCGGAGGCGAATAAGTTGCGACTGGCCGGATGGGCAACGCCGTGACTCCCGCCGAGGAAATCTGCCGAATTTATATAGGGGTTTAGAATCTGAAGCCCCTTAAGCTCAAGTGGTCCCTTATGGGGTTAAGGTTCTGATCCTGACGTCTTTTAAGCTCAAGTGGTCCCTTAAGGGGTTAAGGTTCTGACCTTGACGCACCTTAAGCTTAAGTGGTCCCTATAGGGGTTCAGGGTTTGAACCCGACACCCCTTGAGCTCAAGTGGTCCCTCAAGGGGTTAAGGTTCTGATTCTGACGCCCCTTAAGCTTAAGTGGCCCCTTTAGGGATTTAAGGTCTAAACCCGACACCCCTTGAGCTTAAATGGTCCCCATAGGGATTTAGGGTCTGAACCCTGACGCCCCTTAAGCTCAAGTGGTCCCTTAAGGGGTTAAGGTTCTGATCCTGACGTCTTTTTAAGCTCAAGTGGTCCCTTAAGGGGTTAAGGTTCTGACCTTGACGCACCTTAAGCTTAAGTGGCCCCTATAGGGGTTTAGGGTTTGAACCCGACACCCCCTTGAGCTCAAGTGGTTCCTATAGGGCTTTAAAGTCTAACCCTGACGCCCCTTAGGCTTAAGTGGCCCCTATAGGGGTTAAGAGCCAGTTTTGAAACGATTTTAGAAATTTTTGATGCAATTTTCGTCATTTTTACTTCTTTTTCGAGCTCACTTTTAAATTTTGGATGCTTTATATCACTGGAAAAGCTTTCAACATTCGAAAAATTAAGTTGAAAAACTGAAAAAAAAATTTAAAAAACTTCGTAGTAGATGTTCAAAGCTCTGACATAAAAATCTAAACTTTATAAAAATCGAAAATGGAAGTCTAAATTTTGCAAACTTGCTCTGAAATATGATAAAAATGGTAATTTTATGAGAATCTTCAAAATTCAGGTTTACAAGCTGGAATAAACAGACAACTAAAAAAAAAGGACTAACAAGGAAAATCTACCTAAGATCTGTTCTGTTAGAAGAATATATTGGAAATAAAAAAAGAAACGGAAAAAAAGCAATAAAAATATCTTTTTTCTTGGAAAAAACGTAGTTTTTCTAGGGAAAATTCAAAAAAATTTTCGATTTTCAGAGAACTCTTTTTTACATGCATATGTGAACATGAGAATCTGAAAAAAAGCTCAATTTTCCCAACCTGTGACGGAGAAATAGGCAAAGAAGCGAAAATTGGCTTGGGATCTCTTGCCAAGGCCAACGTCGGCAGAGGCCTTCGGGGTATCGGTGATGAGAGTTTAGTTGGTTCAGGCGTGAATAGCGGAGCCGCGAATTGCTTGAAAAGTATAATTTCTCATCATTTTGAACAAGTTCTTCTCACTGAAGAAGAAGAGGCTTGATCGAGTTTCTGATAGGCCGTCAGTCGGATAAAATCCTCCCTTTGCGGTCGGATGGGTAGCGTGTTTGATCCTGAAAGATTACGAATTTTTTTCAAAAAAATATACATGTTTTCTGAAGAATTTATTCAAATCCAAGATTATTTCACTTGTGCCGAGATTCTAAGTCCAGTTACAGCTGATTCACGGCTGGCTTGAACCATGGAAAAAGGATCTTGAAACGATAAAAAAAAAAACAGAGAATGCATGGCTGTTAGAGAGCACAGACAAGTCCAAAACTAGCCGTGAATCGGCTAAATTCCAATATTTTCAACCAAATTCTCGAAAGAATCGAAATATTTGAATAGCGTGACAATAAAAAGGTTTGAAAGAATATATTTCATGAAATTGTTGAAATTTCCTACATTATTACATGAACATTCAACAAAACTTCCTTATAGAATAGTGAAAAAACAAGTTCACGAGCATATAAATGGAAAAAAAATAAGCCCTGAACGAAATTTTCAATCTTTGAGACCTCAAAAGAGCATTTCAAGGTCAGCAATCGAAATTTTATTCTAATATAATAGCAAATAATAACGAAAATTCTTAGAGAAAAGCTGAAAATATGAAGAAAAGAAGAAATAATTCAGTCGATGCAAAAAATGGCGACGCTCCTCTTTACGGTGTACGCTGGAGCGAACTTTACCAAAAACACTTCTTCGTTTTGTTTTTTTTTGCGATTCCGTTCTTAAATTTATGTTCAAACCATGACTTTACGTCATTATGTTGCGAAATGAGTACGATTGGTTAATTTACACAAATATTCAGGATTTTCACCTCGTTTTTCATGTCGTTTTCGTGTTTACATTCATTTTTTCAATAGTTTTATGGTAAAATAACAAAAGTTACCACAGGTGATAGCATTGCCGCTTTCATCGACGATATCAGTGTTGCTGATTGCGATGAAACCGCCGGAAGGCGAAAAAGAACGGATCATAATAGTTGAAGGAAGCGGGGAAAATCTGAAAACCCTAATCGAAAAAATTTTTATTTTCACAGTTTTCTGGAATTTTTTGAAGATTTTCCTTTTGTCAAAAACTTTTTTTATTTTCATCTTTCAAACCGGAAAAAGTCTTATGAAACCTATAAAAAAACACTGAAAAAAACAATTTTTAAACTTGAGACCTTTTTTTTAAATCGGTCAATGAGCCTTTAAAAACTCGAGCAAGGCTCCCTTTTTCTAGAGACCCTTTTTAAGTTTTTTTTTTTCGAAATGGCAAAAACCTGAGCGGGAACCGAACCCGGTTCCATCCCTGCTCGGTGAGATCTCCTTTGGTCCAAATTACGGATTCTTCTGAGCCGGAACGGAGAAAAACCGTCGTTGATGACGCTTCACTGTTGAAAAAAATTCATATTTTTCTGGTCGCATGGGGAATGGTTCAACGCGTCGCGGTCGCGCTGCGGTTCAAGCTTGGATTTGGAACTTTGTCTCTCAAGTTTCCTGTAGAGTTTTTGAACGTTTTTCACGTTTCCCGGCAATTAAATTAATTAATCAACCTCAAAAACCTACTAAAAAAGTTTCACATTTTTTTCTGGCCAGATTAAAATTATTTCCACGGGTTTATAATTTACGATTTGGCTCCGAAAAAGCCCGGTTTGTTTTCACCACGCTTCAAAAGCCACATCCCGTCGATTAAAGTCAAAAAAAATAAATAAATACAACGATTCTTCAAGTACCACCTCTACGCGGTGATGGGGAGGCAACGCCATTTATGGCGGCTAACGGTACACCGGTCACGCAGTTCGGCTTGCTTCTGCTAACAGAATGGGCGGTCTTTTTTAGCCCTGGCAAGGCAAAAAGGATAATCAGACCAAAATTATGCTATAACACGTTCAACACCACGGGTGGAACTTTTTTGCAAGAATACCAGTCAACCAGGACAACACTGGATGACCGATTGCATAAGACCTCCTGGAAAACGTGTGGTCCACGCTTCGATCAATAAAAGGCAATAAAAGGTCGAAAGCGAAGATGGACCATCTAAGTAAGTAAGTAAGTATAAATACAACGATATGCGCGAAAGCCGTTTCGGGTCGGGCGCAACTTCATTCCAACCGCTCCGCGTCGAGCCATTCTCCATGCGACCAACTTGACCCTACCTTGAAAAAAGGTCCATTTGAAAGTGAGCATTCATTGGCAGAATCGCCGGTTCTGAAATGAGAATCGATTCGCCAGCCACTTCAGAAACGATTTTCGACGTCAGAACCCGGAAGTTTGAGTGGTCCCTGGAGTGAAATCGATGTTTTTCGAAGAAATCCAGGAACGCCAGAGTGGTCATTATAGGGCACAACAAAGTTTTCCCTAGAGGGCCGAATTTTAGGTGGTCCCTAAAGTGGTTTTTGGGCTGACAACCAAGTCCTTGAAGATTTAGTGATCCCTATAGTGGCCTCTTGATTCTTCTGTTATGACTTGGAAGTTAAAAAGACGTATAGGGACCGCATGCCCCTAGAATGGCCACTTTTGTACGTTTTAGAGCCCCCTAGAGGGAGAGGCAAGTGGTCACTTGAGGGCAGTCTACAAAAACATTAAAATTTTCCCCTTTAGTGACCACTCTGGCGTTCCTTATACTGACCTCTCTGCGCTCTCCTTTTTTTCCAAACTCTCTCGTTTTGATGAGGGAAAAGAGGGCGCAGAGAGGTCAGAGTTCCTACTCACCAAGAGCAGGAATTCCCGTGGAATGAACATTTGATTATTGAACAAACGCCACGGTCTTTCTCTAAAAAGTCTGGATTTTTATTTTTCCGTTTTTCTGTGAAAATTTTTAGTGGTCCCTATGGAGGCTCGCCAAGGACCATTTGGATAGGACACTAAAGTGGCCACTATTTTCCATTTTAGGGGCCAACTCAGTAGTTTTTCATCCAGTATTCCTTCCATTAACTCTGATAATTTCAATACAAACAGATTGGACCAGTTATGTTGATCCATTGACCCCTAAAGTGGCCACTAAGTGGTCCAGTAATAGCACTTAGAGTTCTATAGTGGCCACTAAATTTTAACCCCTTAAGTGGCTACTAATTTGACTTCTATAGTGGTCACTAAAACGTCAAAACCCTATAGTGGCCATTTAAAATTTTTGGCGAAAATCTCTAAATTCTCACCTGACTTTGGAGCTCTGCGCGTTTCTCGTTGCTCAATATCGTTCCGGACAAAATGAACCGAATCTTTTTCTAAATTTATTTATTTTATTGACTTTTTTTGTTCATCGAAAAAGTAAATGGAACTCTGAAAACCCTGATTTTTACATTTTTCATTTTTCTGATTCAATCTGAAATTTATTTACAGTAGGGCGCACTTGCTGGAATTAGGAAGGCTATTTTTCCACTTGAATAATTTTCTGGGGTTCAAACTACAAAACTTTTGCTTGAATGATGGAATTTCAAGTAAGCGAGAGAGTGTTGAAACTGCAGAGACGCAGACTTTTTACTCTCAAGCGTCTCCTCATTTCCCATGCTCTCTCGACTTGAAAAACTTTTGTGACATTGCGTCGCGTTTGAAGAACTTCTTCTTAACATGCTTAGTGCGCCCGACCAAAAACTACTTGCGCCCGGAAGCATCCTCTAACATAGAACTAAAGTCGCTCAAGGTCGAGCGCAGTTAAAAAAAGCCAAAAAAATTAGAAAAAAATTATTCCAATGCATCCTAAATCCATTACGAAGAATGTCAATTCGTAGAAAATTGAATAAATCTTTTTTTCAAAAAGTCCATCAAACCCACCCGGCCCACTGATTTTTCAAATCCCCCCTTCCTGCCGCCAAAACTCCGTCGGAATGTTGCAAAGTGACGTCATCGATCGCCACGACGTCGTGGCCGTTTTTGACGTCATCAGAAAGGAAGATTATCTAAATTTTTTTCCCATTAAAATGAATTTTTTTGCTTGGAAAAACCTGGACAGGAGAATTCGAAGAAGGGACAACGATATTTCTAGTCGTCCAAATGCTGATTGGATTTCCCTCCAGAGAATCCAGAACCGTGACATTTCCTTCTTTCCGGAGTAAAACCTTGAATTTTGGCTTATTTTTGAAGAAAAAAAAATCAATAGTTCATTCACCATTAGCTTGAGACTTGTTTAATGAAAATAGCGAAAAAGCGTGCAAAAAGAAGAGACTCAGAGATCTAAATTAGCGATGAACAAAGGGACACCAAATGGTCTCTATAGGGATTGGGCAAAAACAGGCCCTATGAGGGACAAAATAGGGCCTCCTTTAGAGGCTTCCTACGTCCCGAAAGCTCAAGTGGTCCCTCTAGGGGTCGGGCAAAAAAAGGGCCTCATAGGGGACATAATAGGGCTTTCTTCAGGGGTTTCCTTAGTCTCGAAAGCTCAAGTGGCCCCTATAGAAATTTGGCGAAAAACGGGCCCTATAGGGGACAAAACAGGGCCTCCTTTAGGGGTTTCCTAATTCCTGAAAGCTCAAGTGGTCCCTATAGGGTTTGGAAATCAAAATGACGATTTTAATAAAACTCAAGAGGCCCCTAGAGGGCTAGGACTTCATAACAATAATCGACTAGGATGCCCCTATAGGGGCCACTAACTAAAACTCTCAAGGGCCCTTTTTGCACCGTATAGTGACCCCTAGGAAAGGTAAAGTGGCCCTAGAGGGGAACCTTCAAAAGCCCCTAAAGGGACCACTCTGGCGTTCCTAGGAAAGGGCTATGCAAATCCAAGAGGAAAATTTTCAAAAAAAAAATGGAAACTCCAGCGGGTAATGAAATGAAAACTACATAGAAATGCTCAAAAAACGGTTTTTTTTCAACTGAACCTTCAATTTCGCGTCTCCCAGTTTGATATATCGAAAAGAGAGAACACGCATCGCCGGATTCGGATCCAGCCAATTCGTCTCAGTGGCACCTTTTTGAGGGCCTCCAAATCGTCCCTGAGCCACCAGGAATGGTCCGACTGAAAATTGGGAATTCACAGAATTTTCATAACTTAATCATTCCATATTCATAGTGTGGATAAAAAAGTAGAAAAAAAATTGAGCAATAGTCCATTTTTCGCGACTTGAAGGGACTTCTCTGCACCCTCCTCGTCTCTCGGCGACCCTCTCATGTTGACGTGCTATTTTCATATTTCTCTGACCTCGCTGGTGAGAGAACAGAGAGACGCAGACACGCAAAACACTCCTTCATTTTTCTGTGCACCCTCCTCGTCTCTAAACGACCCTCTCAAATCGACGTGCAATTTTCGAGTTTCTGCCGGTGAGAGACAGAGAGACGCAGACACGCAAAAACACTCCTTCCTCTTTCTCTGCACCCTCCTCGTCTCTCGGCGACTCTCTCATGTTTATGTGCTATTTTCCCGCTTCTCTGACCTCGCCGGCGAGAGAAAGGAGAGTGCAGACAGGCTCTAGGAGTATGGATTTTCTGGAGGAAAAGAAAAAAGGCCTTCATTTTAATTTTCACAATTTCTTTCCATGTAAAGCAGCTATTGGGATAGGCTATAACTATAAAATTTACAAGATTCCAATTTCCTCGAGGTGCCGAAAATTCCAGGGACAAAGACAGCGGCGGCGACGTTCCAAGGCTCGCCGAACTTCCAGCCGCACTCGCCGACGTCGAAGCTGCAGTCGACCGAATCGGATGACGTCACTCTTTGAGTGAGCAACGCCAGGAGCCACACCAAGTGGCACCTTATCATTGCTCCGGGAAATCGGGACTAGGTTTCGATTTTCCGATGGCGTCGGTCTGAAGAAGCGAAAAACTGAAACACTTCAATTGTTTTGACAAAAATCAGAAAATAAATAGAATTTTCCAGAAACTACTCAAGAGATCACTAACAAAAATTGCATTTAGGGGATTTTTATCAAAGTTCGAGATAAGTTCACCTTCTAAACTGTCGCTAAATTCCAAAATAAATCGATAAAACGGCTCCAAATTCTAAGGGGACTCTAAAGGGCCGCTTGATTTCGAGTGTTCACTTGAGGGAATATGAATTGAAACGTTTCAAGTGATCCCTGAAGTGACAAGGAATCCTGAGAGGGCACTAAAGTGGCTGCGTCATAAGTTACGCTTCAGACCTCTGAAACTTGTATGTGAGCCATCCCAAAAGTGATCTGAAAATTTTTCAAGGGGTCCCTGAAGGGAATTCGAAATTTATGTGGTTTTTAAAAGATTCGAATGAGGTGGGGTAAATTAAAAAATTTTAAAACTGAAAAAGACAAGTCAGTAAATGGGATGAAGTCTGAGGGGACAGTATATGCCTGAAACTCTCCAAGTGATCCCTAAAGTGACATCAGGAGATTAGAAGTGGACCTTGAAAATTCGAATGAAGGGCTTTCATTCTATTACTGGCTTTTCTCGGTTATTTTCAAAGCTTCAAACCGTCCAAGTGATCCCTGAAGGGACATGATAAACCTAAAAAAAACTTCCTGCCGAAAATCAAACGAATTGAGAAGCTATCGAAAATCTTTATAAAGCCAAGGGATTCCTAAAGTGTCATGGAAGTCTTTGAAAAAATTGCCAAACTTAAAAAAAAATTGAATGGAATGAGGAAAATTAAAAAGCTACCGAAATGAGCTTGAAATTATCTTTTCAGATAAAAATTAAATAGGGGTTAAGTCTGGGTAAATAGGACCTTTCTGAAACTCTCCAAGTTATCCCTCAAGTGACCTGAGAAACTTTGAATCGTCCTCAAAAAATTCCAATGCAGCTTAAGCTTCTCATAAAGCGAGGCAAATTTTGAAAAAACCGAAAATCTTTAAAAACGGTAAAAGTCAGGGAATAGGATGAAGTCTGGGTGGATAAGATCTGCCTGAATTTCTCCAAGTGATCCCTAAAGTGACGTCAGAAGCTTTGAATCGTCTTCAAACGTTCCAATGCCGCTTAGGCTTCTCATGAAGTGAGGAAAATTTTGGAAAAATCGAAATTTTTTTGAAAAACCGAAAAAGTCAGTGAATAGGATGAAGCCTGAGTGAACAGGACCTGCCTGAAACTTTTCAAGTGGTCACTAAAGGGACTTGAGAGTAAACTTTAAGAAATTCGATTGAAGCTTAAGCTTCTCATGAAGGGGGGCAAATTAAAAATCTGCCAACTTGAAATTTTCCTTCAAAAAAAAAACCGAAAAGACAAGTCAGTAAATGGGATGAAAGTTGAGTGGACAGGACCCGTCTGACCCGTTCCGACCGGTTTCCGCCCGTAATTATACTCCGGCGCTCAGTTTCCGCCGCTGTAAACTTTTCGGAAAATGGCGGCTTCTTCCAAGACACTAATTGCGCTCCACCGAGAAGCTTTCTCCGGATCGGGGAAGTTGATTCTCCCCCGTCTGGCGCGACTTTGCGGCGAGGATTTCGCAGGCTTGCGCCGTGAATTGCGCGAGTATGTGCACATGTTAGCCGCAAGCTTGCGCGTAGAGGCGCAAGGGTTGCGCGAATTATCCATGGAGCACGCATTCGTGATATCCTTTTTCCTTTCTCCTCCTCGTCCTTCCTCTTATTTTTCCTCTTTTGAGTTACAACGCTCAAAAGGTCGCCTGTATTTTATTTAACTCAAGCTTTTTCTATTTATCCATAGCATTGAATTTTTCAGCTTGATTTAAACAAAAATACAAGCAACCTGTGAGTGTCGCAGCTCAAAGAGGCTGAACAAACACAGAAAAACTTGGAAAACTATATTTATTTCTAAAATGAACTAATTTTACACTTTACAACAATTGAAGTCTTTAAGATGCATTGGATTTCATGGTATCAATCAATAATGAAAGGAAAAAAGATAACGTGAGAATGGTAAAAATTTAAGCTATGTTTAATAATTACAATGACTCGAATTATTTCCAGTAATAAAACAACTGGGGTTTTTTGCAAAATAGTAAGATTCAGAAGACCCGGAAGTTCAGAAACAGTGAAAAAGTGAAACATGGAACAATTTCAAAAACGCAGAAATATCAAAAAAATACATCATGACATACAATAAAAATTTCCACTTGCAAGAGTTCTGATACTTCAATCTAATGAAAAGTAGTATTATAAAAGTATTTTTCAAATCTTTTCTGTGCAGTTTAGTGAGCCTATTTCTCTGCAAATTTTGAAACCCAGTAGGTAAACTTTTTTTTTGTTTTCAAGCATCCCTATCCAGGTCTATCTAAAAATGTTGCAACTCAACTTGCAAACAAGTGCCTGCGTAGTTACCTGGTAAGGGCTAGGTAAAATATAATTACAAGTAGCTTGAATAATTGATCGCGCATAACGATTTCCAGTATAGTCTCGACTTTTCAGAAAACTACATGAAATTATGATGTTCATATTCTTGCAAGTGGGTTTTCAACAATATAAAGATGTGTACAGTTGCGCTAGCAGAATCTCGATAGTGTTGAACACAATTTCTTCCTTCATTCATCCATTAGCCTCGGAAAAAGTCTTCTAATAAGGGCCTGCGAATCGATGGCTTGGGACGTTACGCAGCGAACGTTCCATCGCTCTCATCTAAAAACTTTTTCAAAGATAAAAAAATAATCAAAAATTACTTTTATTCGCATATTTCGAACCAGGGTGGAGGAACCTCTTTCTTTTGACCATCATCGTGTCGAAAAATTCGGCGTATCATAGCTGAAGTTTTATAGTTGCTTTTTTTCACTTTATACGATTTTTTTGTTAAAAATAAAAACATATTTTTTTGTTAAACAATCACATGATTATCAGGGTCCCTTTAATTTTTATATGAACAGATATTATATCTGGTACACTGCGTCCAATAAGGATAGGACCACCCTCGATCATGGACTTTTCGGCGAATCCAGAAAAATATATCAAAAAAATCTGTTAAAGCCATCCGATTGAGCGTAAAGAATTACCTATGGAACCCAAGTTTCATCATAATAGCCATTTTATTAATATTAATCCATCACAAAAATCGTCTTTTTGACTCTGATAAACTTTTTCGAAATCTCTTCAAGTTTTCTGTATATATCCTTATTATAGACGTAGTGTACAGCTTTGGATTGTACCAAGAACATAAGAGAAATAATGAAATGTTATTCGAAAAACTACAAACCTCAACATTGCAAACTTCCATATATCATGTTCACCACTCCATGAGAATCTTATTGTTGAACTCTCTCTTCATTAGATCTGAAAAAAATTCAGTATTACAGCTAATACAAAGAATATCGAACTCACTTTTTTTGTAATTTCTGGAGTTAATTTTTTTAAGAAAAAAATAATCAAAAACGTCTTCGCTAGGAAGAAAAAAACAAAAATAATTACCTTTCTCAAAGTATAATCGGATAAACCAATACATCGAATCTCTCGAAAAAGATACGTTTCGACGCGTCGCATACAAATATGAAGTCAACTAAAAACGATGATGATAAAATTTCATTTATAAAAAACCAGAAAAATATATATAGAAAAAGAAAACATAATTTAGGAAAATAGAAAACATAGACGAAACAGTTTCGGAATTACTGTAAATGAGTTTGTGAGCTCTAAAGCAGCCCTCCCATAGCGCAAGCTTGCGCCCTGTATTGCGCGAGGTTCGCGCAAATTTTAGCGCTGGGTTTTTCTTGGCGCAAGCCTGCGGAACTTAAATCTCTCGCCGCAAAGTCGCGCCAGACGGGGGAGATTTTGCGTACCTCAAAGTTTGTCTCTCTAGTGTCTACTTTGGGCTTGAAACACTTAAATGATCCCTTGAAAGGTGTTAGTGCCTTTATAGTGCTTTTGTAACGATTTTATGATATTTTTAGTGACCACTTGTGACTTGATTTTAGGGAAACCTTAAGAGGTTTTAACACCACTTTAGAGTCCCCTTAAAGTTTGAAGGTCCTTCAGAAAGTTATATAACCCCCAGTGGTCACTTCAGTGTTTCCTGGCAACTTCCATCTCCAAGTGATCACTTAAGAGATCTCATTCCTACTTAGTGGTCCCTTAAGAGCTTTTGATCAGAGTCAATTTAACTTCAAAGTTCTCACAATTTCGTCCAAATATTTTGAAGTGATTACTTAAGGGATTCTAACTTCAACTGGCTGCTTCTTGACTCTAAAATCTAAGTGACAACTTTAAGGTCGACTCATGAATTTAAAACTTACCATTTTCATGAAAAAAATGAAGTGGTCACTTGAGTTTTTTAAAACTGATTCAGTAAATCTCAGCGTTCCTCCACAAAACTTTACTTGAGATCTGGAAAATCTAAGGGATCACTTAAGGGACTTTTTTTCGATTTCTTTTTGTGAAACTATTTCATTTCTTTCATTTTAGCAAGTGATTTATGGCAATGTCAAGTTTCCTTGATTTGAAAAACAATGAAAAAGAAAAAAGTTGCGGTGTAAGAGTTGCGAGGATTGCCGAATCCAGGAAGGTTTGGGGCCCGGTTTGAACGAAAAAAACTCCTTCAAACCAAGGTATTTGGGATATTTCATAAGATTTCGAGCAATCAACAGAACAAAGGAACACACACGAACCAAAAAAAGTACATAAGGTTTAATCAACCAAGCGAAAAAAAAAGAAAAAAAGTCATAATAAAAAGCAAGAGAGATTATTGAAAAGCTATCGGTGGAAGGAAAAATGGACGATCAAAGGAAATGAGAAAGAAATTTCAAAAAGACCTAAAGAAAAAAATAGCCTCGTAATATAGTGTATGTGCGCTCCACGGATAAAAACCTTGAAATTAAATTTTTTGAGGTTCTTTTCGGGTTTAATCGAGGAAAAAAAAAAAAAACCTGAAAATTGCATTTTTTTCGCTAATTTTTCTCCGTGGAGCGCACTTGTGTTGTACTGACGCGGCTATTTTTTGGCTCGAATTTTTTTCATTTTTTTCGTTTTTTCAGCTGTTTTTTTGGTTCGAAACCCAAAAATGGCTCAAAAGTCCACTCCCTCTGACCAGAAGCTTGAAAAAAAGCAAAAAAAAACTACAGACGTCACCCGAATCAAATACAAAAAATGTAAGAGCAACGGTAAAATTCCAGAACTAACGAATGAAATGAAGGATATTGGCGGATAATTGAATACAATTGGAGTACACTTTTACGAGTAAATGGAAGTAAAAGACCGGCGTAATTGTGTGAGGCGGGAATATTGACCTAACAGCAGCCTCCGGAAGAAGTCGGACCGTTGTTGGCTTGGACGGTCACGCCGCGCGGCTCTTCCGGCTGGTTCGGCATCTGAAAAAAGGAAAAATGAACAAAAGGAACTTCAAAGTGGTCCCTAGAGGGGTTAGGGAAAGAAACAGTCCCTTTAATGGACCAAGTAGTGTTCTCTACTGAGAATCTTTGGAGTGGTCCCTCTAGGGAGTTTGATAGGGACCCCCCAAGCTCTGCCTAAGAGAAAAATTGAGCTTCAGCGTTTCAGTGGACCCTAAAAAAGGCACTACAGGGGCAACTAGAAACTTGACCCCTTCAGGGATCTTATAATTGTCCACTCTAGGGGTCTTAAAATAACAAAATCCTATGAGTACATATCCGAAATTTCTCAATAGGAGGCTAAAACTTAAGTAGAACTTCTTATATACTAATAAACAGCTAACATACTCCCCTAGAGTGGTCACTACTTGAGATCCCTAAAGTAGCCACTTTTGCGAGCTTTACCACCTAGGTAAGTTGAGGTGGCCCCTATAGGGAGTTTGATAGGAACTACTACGCTCCGCCCTTGGGGGCTTCATCGTTCTAGTGAACCTTTAAGAAGGCACTACAGGGGCAACTAGAAACTTGACCCCTAGGGACCACTCTAGTAGTCCTTAAAATAACAAAATCCTACGGCTACATATCCGAGATTTCACAGCAGGAGGCTAAAATTCAAGTAGTCCCTATAGAAGTTTAGAGTTCAGCTCCTAGTCCCTGAAGCTCAAGTGGTCCCTCTAGGGAATCACGGCTTGACTCCTAAGCTCTCAAAGCTGAAGTGGTCCCTATAGGGGTTCAGGATATGACTCCTAAGCTCCTGAAACTCAAGTGGTCCCTATAGGGGTCGAGTAATCCTCTCTCGATATTTTTCAGTCAAAAACGCTAATTTATTAAGATTTTGGCATGGAAATGTTTCTTCTTATGGATCCATAAATGACTGAAATTCTTCCCTAGAGTGGTCACTACCTATATCCCTCAAGTAGCCACTTTTGCAAGCACCACCTAGTAGAGGTAAGGTGGGGGGAAACGTTCGGCTGCCGCTCTAGGGACCACTCTAGCCGTTTCCAAGGGCACTAGTCCGCAATGTGTCGTAGCGTGTGTGCAGACGAAACTTTTTTTCACAGTACCTTCTCCAAAATCGCCTCGGCGAGGTCGTAGAAGGCCGTGTCGATGTGTACGTTCATTTTTGCCGACGTTTCGAGGAACCTAAAAAATATATTGATTAAAAAAATATAGAAAAAAGGATTTTTAAAAAAAGTTTTTCTCAGCGTAGGATTTGGAATTTCCTATAAATTTGCTCGAACAATTTTTTATGGGCCGAGAATCACACATAGTAAACTTTTCGTTTTAAAGATATGATTTTTTTTTTTGAATTTTTCATCCTTAAACGCCTTAATTTTGGAATGAATAAGGCTAACAGCCATCGGAAGCGTGGTGCAGTGGCTAGATCGGTAGCCTGCGGGGTGTATGACCAAGGTTCGAGTCCTTTTGTCGCTAACTTCTTTTGCCATTACCTTTTTGAAATTTGAATATTTACCTGTATAACTCAAGTCTGTGCACATCATTTATCAAGCCATTCTTTTAAAATTCATAAAAATCACCTAATATTTTTCATATCTTTCAAAGATCACCTGTATTTTACCTTGAGGCCAAAACCCTTGGAAAGCGATTATTTTTTACAAAGAATTGTTTTTTATAATTATTAAATTGATTCATAGGCCTTTGGGTACACAGTAAAAGTTTTTCCGCACATCTATGAGTTCGATTTAAAACAAACTACTTACTTACTTACTTAGATACTTAGATGGTCCATCTTCGCTTTCGACCTTTTATTGCTTTATTGATCGAAGCGTGGACCACACGTTTTCCAGGAGGTCTTATGCAATCGGTCATCCAGTGTTGTCGTCCTGGTTGACTGGTATTCTTGCGAAAAAGTTCCATCCGTGGTGTTGAACGTGTTATAGCATAATTGTGGTCTTATTATCCTTTTTGCCTTGCCAGGGCTAAAAAAGACCGCCCATTCTGTTAGCAGAAGCAAGCCGAATTGCGTGACCGGTGTACCGTTAGCCGCCATAAATGGCGTTGCCTCCCCATCACCGCGTAGAGGTGGTACTTGAAGGGGGGTTAAACAAACATACTTGATATTATGATCAGCAGCGATTTTCTCGCCCCGTTCCCGGCTGACGACCCTTCTCTCGGTCATGTCGCACTTGTTGCCCAACAACATCTTCACGACGTCTTCAGACGCGTGCTGGAAATCACCCTTTTCTATTTTTTCAAAACGGTAGCTTAGTAGACAAAAAAGTTCAAAGGACCTCGAAAAGGCCATTTTTTGTCAGCTTTTTTTTTGAGGGCCTATGAAAATACCTTTTCTACTTTTTCTTAGTAGCCTGGTACACGAAAAAGTTCAAAGGACCTTAGAGATACCTACTTTTGATAGGTTTTCGGGAAAAGGCTTTGAAAATCACCTTTCCAACGTTTTCCTTAACAATCTAATACACTAAAAAACTTAAAAGGACCTCGATAAAGTCAACTTTTGATCAATTTTCCGAAAAAAGCTATAAGAATAATCTTTTCTAAGTTTTTTTATGGATAACCTAGTTCAAAAAAAAACTTCAAAGGACCTCGAAAAAGCCTATTTTTGCTCATCTTTCCAAAAAAGCTTATGAAAAAGACCTTTCGTGAGTTTTTCTTAACGATCTAGTACGCAAAAAGTCCAAAGTACCTCGAAAGAACCATTTTTTGATCAGTTTTCCGAAAAAGACTATAAAGCCCTTTTTAGGGTTTTATAAAACCCTTTTTAAGGTTTTTTTAACGGTAACCTAATACCCCAAAAAAGTCACAAAGAGTTAATTTTCGGCCAGTTTTCTAAAAAAAAAAAGGCTATGTAAATCACTTTTTCCACGTTTTCCTTAGGAAACCTAGTACACTAAAAAACTTCAGAAAGCCAATTTTTGAGCAGTATACATTTTTTTATTTTTTTCCCATTTTCTTGTGCATTTTATTCCAAATTCATTGCACTTAAAGACATTTTTAAGACAATCAAAATACATTTAAATTTCTAAAAAAATTTTTCTCAGTTATGAGGAAAAGCTCCGTATTCGGAAATAAAAACCATTTATCGGCTTCTCAGTCATTTTTTTCATTTGAAACTTAATTTTTATGCATTTTTTTGCGAATAATTTGCAGCCTTAAGGAACAACTCCGTCTAAAAAATTTGAAAAAACCCCCTGAAACTTCAAAATTATCGAGGGGCTGACCTCGTCGATATTCCGCAGCCATTTCGCAATGTTGTCGAAACTTTTGGCGTTCGTTATGTCGTAGACTAACATGATTCCCATGGCGCCCCGGTAGTATGAAGTGGTGATCGTGTGGAAACGTTCCTGGCCGGCCGTGTCCCTGGAAAATACTTATATTCCAGGCAAAAAATCTTCTTTTTATGTTAGTAAACGGGACGGGAAAGGTTCCTCAAAAATTTTTTTCCGCAACAAGAAAAACATCTTTTTTTTCAATAAAAACTCACACAGATAATTCTTAAGAAATAACAAAGTGAATAATGATTTTTAGCGCTTTTTTTCTGTCTTCAATTAGTATTTCTTTCCATTTAAATTTGTTTTTTTCCATCTTAATCTTTTTAAAAACCACTAGAAAAAGCGAGTGATCTCTATAATCTTCGCAGGAAAACTATGATGAAAAACGGGTTTTCCTTCGTCAAAATCAGATCATTTCAAAAATTGAAGTGGTTACTTAAGGGACTGATGGAACTTATTAAATGTCACTTTGAAATTTTTTATATTCAGTCAAAAACATTTTCTTTTCCACTAACCAAATCTGAAGCTTGACCTTCTTGCCCTTCAACTCGATCGTCTTGATTTTGAAGTCGATTCCTTTAAAAGAAATGATAAAAAGAAAAAAAAAGGAATCAACAAACCAATGGTGGAGATGAACGTCGTGTTGAAGGCGTCATCGGAAAATCGGTACAAAATGCAGGTTTTTCCGACTCCGGAATCGCCGATGAGCAGCAGCTTGAAGAGCATATCGTACGGTTTGCGGGGCCATTTTTTTCTCCTGGAAAATTGAGAAATGAGGTACGAAAAAAGTTCAAAAATTCAAAAACAATCGAAAAACAATTTTTTTCTAAGATTTGGAAGCCATTTTTTTCTACTGAAAAATCGAATTTATCCAAAAGAAAATCATTAAAAATTATAAAATGCAATGATAATATAGAAAAACCAAAGCGTTGAGTAAATGAAAAATAAATAAAAACCAAGCTATTTTTTGAAGATTTGGTAGAAAATACGATAAAAAAATTTAAAAAAATTATAAATTAAGCTAAAAAAATAAACACGCCATTTTTTTCTACTGGAAAAGTTAACCGGATATGAAAAAAATATAATATAAACGCCAAAAAGGTTCAAAAAGTTGGATCAATAAAAAGCTCATTTTTTTAAGGTTTGCTGGCCATTTTTCTACTGGAAAAATTGGATTTGTTCATCAATAAAATTATACAAAGATTGGAGAAAAAGGTTTAAAGCATTGAATTAATGGACAAAAAATGATGAATTTTTTTCGAATTTGAACAGTAAATCATAGTGTTTTTAAGTCACTGGAAAAAAATAATTAAAAAGTCAAAAAAATATAAATTTAGATACAAATCATGCAATTTTTCTACTGCAAAACTGAACTGAATTTCAAAAATATGAAATCATTTACGATAAAAAGTTCAAAAATTCGAAAAAATCGAAGGAAATTTGAAGAGCATATTTTACGGTTTTCGGGTCATTTTTTTCCACTGAAAAGTTTTTTAAATGAAAAAAATTATAAATTTATATACGAATCATGCAAAGTTTCCACTGGGAAACTTAACCGGGTTGAACAATTCTAAAAAAAGTTCAAAAATTCGAGCGATTTGAAGACGGTTTTTCCGGCCATTTTTCTACTGGAAAAAGATTAACCGAATTCGAAAAATTTATTAAAAAGAAATACGAAAAAAAGTTTCTAAACGTTGAAATAATCGAAAAAAAAGTTCAAAAATACATTTCTAGCCTATTTTTTTAACCGGTACAATGCATTTTTCACGCTCTGCGCCTTTAATAACGCCAAAATAAACTATGAAGTAAAAATCTTTAAAACCAAAATAGAGTACCGAAAAGCCTAGTGAATTCATAAAAACCCTTAAAATAAATTTTTTTCAGCATTCCGTGCGGAAAATTTATAGCTTTTCCGATTTCTCAATACGTAAAGAGGACGAAAACTGAGACAAAAAATAGATTTAAGCGTTTGGAAAGGGCTCTTATCTCAAAAGAAAGATTGACTGATAACCTTCCTTTCAACTAAATCGATCGAATGATAAGGTACAAAAATACACTTGATACTTTTGAGCCGACGTTGAGAAAATCAGTTGAAAGGGTCTTGAAACGAAGAAGGAGATAGTGTGGAAAAACGAGAGGTTTATAGATTTTTACAGTAAAGTGATATTTTTAACTATCCATTCTCCTACAGGATTCGAAATTTCTCAAAAAAATCCCACTTATTTTTAGAAAAAAAAAGAAAATTAGAGCAAAAAAATCGAAAAAGAAGATTTTTTTGAACGAGCCGCTTGAGGGCTGAAATTCAAGTGGTCCCTATAGGAGTTTGAGGCCTGGTTCGGAATCCGTAAAGCTCTAGTGGTCCCTATAGTGGTCCCTACAGTGGTCTTTTTTTCTGATTAGATATTCAAAAAAGCATATAGGGACTATTAGCTTGCTCCCCTAGAGTGGCCACTTTTTCAAGCTCTAGTACAAGAGGTGGTCAAGTGGTCCCTTGAGGGAAATCGGTGGTGGCCCCTCTAGTGACCATTTCAAAGTTGTAGCAATTTTTCCGAGAAAACATAACATTTCAACAAAAAATGGTCTTGAAGCGATTTTTTAAAATATCGACTTATTAAAATTCCCAGTAACCTTTGACTATTTGCAAGCAAAAATATGTAAAACCTTCTTTTTGAACTTCAAAAATAACTGAAGAAATGGCTTTGGCAAGATAATATTTCAAAAAATTACCTACAAACTCTTAAAACTAGTGGTGAATGGACTAATGCCCGAAAATCTGTCATTTTAAGCCAAAAGAACTGTGAGAAAAGAATGACCTGGTTTCCCACAAGAACAGCCAAAATAAACAACAGGAAGAGTATTTCGCAACGGGACACTTAGAAGAACTGTATGACGGGGGCCACAATTCGATTTCGTGTAAATTTTTGGTTTGTGGTGAGTCAACTTTCAGAAAAACATATTATTCAACTTTTAAGCTTTTCATGACTCTTATTTTTCTGATGAAGTTTTGAAAAAGACGCAGATTAATGTACGAAACTCGGTTTCTTACTGAACAATTTAAAGGAGCATAGGCAAAATTCGTAAAGGTCTCGAAACGAAAAAAATTTATTCAACTTTTAAGCTTTTCATGACTCTTTATTTCTTATTTTTCTCATGAAAAACGCAGATAACTGTAAAAAACGCTACTTCTTACTGAACAATTTAAAGGAGTATAGGCAAAATTCTTAGAGGTCCCGACACGAAATGCTATAACTTTATTTATGATAGATTTCTGAACCTTTAAAATAACCAGAATATTTTCTATGAGCAATTGAATATTGCCAAATTTCAAAAAAATTCCTCAAATTGTACTGATTTTTCTAAAAATTTCACTGTGGGCTGCGATCCGAAAAAAATTCGCAAAAAAATCAGAGAAAAAATTCATAAAGATGTTGATTTTTTTGAAAAAAATCACGATCTGAAGCACATTTTCTAGTGAAAAAAATCTATATAGTTCGATCGATTTTTCAATCGAATCAAGCTTCAACTCAAAAAAATTAAGTTAAATAATCAAAGTAGAGAAGAAAAAAAGAAAAATTTTGCAACGTAAAAAAATAGAAATTCTCAAATTGTTTAAGAAATTGAGTTTTTTTGTTCCAAATTTTATCACAAAAAAATATGGAAAAAAATTAAATTTTTAAGATCTCATTTTAAGAGAAATCTTTTTCCATAAATGAATTATAGAAGTTCCTTTAATTTTTTTGAAGCATTTTTAACTAAAGAAATGAATTTTTTTGCTGAAAAAGAAAAAAAGAAAAATCAGAAGAAAAATTGAACAAAAACGGTGAAACCATCACCATTTCACCCTCCAAAATCAATCTCAGAAAGGAAAAACAGGAGAAAATAAGGCATCAAAAATTTGCTAATTGCCGAAAGTGTACGAAAAGTCGAGAGAAGAAAAAAGAAAAGAAAAGGGAAGGAGGAAAAAAAACGCGGCAAGATGTGTCATGCGAACGCACTAACCACCAAGCAGACGATGGAAAAATCGATGATGACCAACGGGGGGCCGGCCCGCCCGCCCCGCTCCTTTTCCTGCCCCCAGCCGAGCCGGCTCACTTTCTGCTCGCATTTTAAAGATGTGCTCGCTTAGGACTTGGGAGTTTTTTGAGATGAACTTTGAGGACTTTTTTTCCAGAACAGTCGAAGTTGGGTCATGCACTGCTAAGGCTCAGTTTCTGGTCGTATTTTAAAGAAATATTCGCTCAAATCTTGGAAAAACGATAAAATGGACTATGAGGATTTTTCCGAACTATCCAAAGTCCAGTCAGGAACAAATAAGGCTCAGTTTCTGGTCGCATTTTAAAGGATTTTTCTCGTAAAACAAGGAAATTTTTTTTTCCAGAACAGCCAAAGTATAGTCAAGCCCAAAAAAGTTCAGTTTCTGGTCGTATTTTAAAGGACTTCTTACTTAAACCTTCAAAAAACTATCAAATGAACTATCAGAATTTTTCCAAACCATCCCAAGTCCAGTCAGGCACAGCTAAGGCTCAGTTTCTGGTCGAATTTTAAAGGATTTTTCTCTTAAAACCAGGGAATTTTTTCCGAACGATCCAAAGTCCAGTCAGGTACAGCTAAAGCTCAGTTTCTGGGCGAATTTTGAATGAGAGTCCACTTAAATTTTGGAAAAATGATAAAAATAAGCTGTGAGGGTTTGTCCGAACTACTCAAAGTCCAGTCAGGCACAGGTAAGGCTCAGTTTCTGGTCGAATTTTAAAGGATTTTTCTCTTAAAACCAGGGAATTTTTTCTAAACCATCCAAAGTCCAGTCAAGTATAACTAAGACCCAGATTCTGCTCGAATTTTAAAGAAATCTTCGCTTAAATCTCGGAAAAATGATATAAACAAGCTATGAGAATTTTTCCAAACCATCCAAAGTCCAGTCAGGTACAGCTAAGGCTCAGTTTCTGGTCGTATTTTAAAGGATTTTTCTCTTAAAACCAGGGAATTTTTTCTAAACCATCCAAAGTCCAGTCAAGTATAACTAAGACCCAGATTCTGCTCGAATTTTAAAGGATTTCTTACTTAAGCCTTCAAAAAACTATCAAATGAACTATCAGAATTTTTCCAAACCATCCAAAGTCCAGTCAGGTACAGCTAAGGCCCAGTTTCTGGCCGAATTTTAAAGGATTTTTCTCGTGAAACTAGAAAATTTTTTTTCCAGAACAGCCAAAGTATAGTCAAGCCCAAAAAAGTTCAGTTTCTGGTCGTATTTTAAAGGATTTCTTACTTAAGCCTTCAAAAAACTATCAAATGAACTATCAGAATTTTTCCAAACCATCCAAAGTCCAGTCAGGTACAGCTAAGGCTCAGTTTCTGGTCGAATTTTAAAGGATTTTTCTCGTGAAACTAGAAAATTTTTTTTCCAGAACAGCCAAAGTATAGTCAAGCCCAAAAAAGTTCAGTTTCTGGTCGTATTTTAAAGAAATCTTCGCTTAAATCTCGGAAAAAAACTATCAAATGAACTATCAGAATTTTTCCAAACCATCCAAAGTCCAGTCAGGTACAGCTAAGGCCCAGTTTCTGGCCGAATTTTAAAGGATTTTCCTCTAAAAACCAAGGAATTTTTTTCCAAAACAGCAAAAGTTCAGTCAAGCCTAACTAAGGCTCAGTTTCTGGTCGTATTTTAAAGAAGCGTCCACTTGAACCTTGGAAAAACTATCAAATGAACTATCAGAATTTTTCCAAACCATCCAAAGTCCAGTCAGGTACAGCTAAGGCTCAGTTTCTGGTCGCATTTTAAAGGATTTTTCTCGTAAAACTAGGGAATTTTTTTCCAAGCCATCCAAAGTCCAGTCAGGAACAGATAAGGCTCAGTTTCTGGTCGTATTTTAAAGAAATCTCCGCTTAAACCTCGGAAAAATGATAAAATAAGCTATGAGGATTTTTCCAAACTATGCAAAGTCCACTCAGGTACATCTAAGGCAGAGTTTCTGGTCGCATTTTAAAGGATTTTTCTCTTAAAACCAGGGAATTTTTTCCGAACTATCCAAAGTCCAGTGGGGCATAGCTAAGGCCCCAAAGTCCAGTCAGGCACCACTACTGTTCGAATTTTAAAGAAAACTAGCCAAAATCTTGAAAATAAACCTTTTTTAAGAAATTTTCGAGCAACTCGAAGAAAAATAATCAATTTTTTCTATTCAAATTTGAGTCCTGCGGTTTTTTTGCACATCAACATCAGAATAAAAGTAAAATGGGACCAAGTCAGAGTTTCCAAGAAAGAAGGAAGGACAAAATTGAGAAATCGGGAAGAAAAATCCATCCCCTACGTTGTTTCATAACGACAGAAAACTTTTGAAACCTTGATTTCGAAATATAAGCTTACACTAGACAGTTCTATCAGATTTCAGCTTCGTCTTGAAATAACTATGAAATAAAACAGGAAACTTTAAATCGTGATCTTATAGTTCAGCATCCCCACAATGAGAATAGATCCAAAATTCGCAAGAAATATCTTATCAAAAAAAAATTTAACTCAAGAAAAAGCCAATTCAAGTTTTAAATTCGAAAAGAGGAGAAGAATCCATCTTGAGAGAGGCCAGAGAAAGAGAGACCCTCTCACTTCTCTGACGTCTCTCCAAGGCGCCGATGCTCTCTCGCTTCCGCTTTTTCGGACCAATTACTGCTAGAGAATGGATTTGGACGGTAATAACCTAATTACCTGACCTAATTGGAGCTTTCACCTGGGATTTTCGAAGCAATTAACCCATCCATTAGATTTATGAATGAAAAATTCGAAAAAGTATCAAAATCAGGGAATATTATAACGTAAAGTTCTGATTTTTCTGAAAACTTGAGTCTTTTAAAACTTTTATTTCTGGACTTGTAAACGTGTGACTTCCGGGTTTAGGACAGAAAAAGGCTTAGTTTTTAGATTTTGCAAATTTGAAAAATTATAACTTTTGAGTGTTAAGAACCCTAATTTAGGGGAGCTATTCGAGAAACTTATAGGAAATTCTAGACTTCACGATAAATCCTCCTTTCAAGGAAATTAAGAGAACAGTTGCCACGAAAATATTACAACATATGCAAAAAGAACAGTCAAAAAATATTCTTCTACAGAAAAGTTATAGTTTCAGGCTTCATCTCAAGGTAAAAAAATAATTATTAAAAAAAACCAGCCAAACAATTAAATGAAGCAGAAATTAAAGAAATGGAAAAAGCGCGTGGGCGTATGGAACCATGGATGCGTGAAATCGTCGGCTTCTAATTACCTAATTGGGATTTTTTTCAATTTGAATCTGATTTATTCAAAAAAATCTGACTAGGGAACGTTTTTACGCCCCCGGTTGAACTTTTGATGGGGGGCTGAAGTGTACTTTTAGGACCTTCGGAGTGCAGAACAAGACAAATATTTCTCAAAAATAGATCTCTTTTTCGAGTTATTAAGCTTTAAAGTCCGCAGAATACGCAAAAAGTGACAAAAAAACGCTATTTCAAAAACATTCCCTAGTGAGACTTTAATTCAAAAATTCTAGAAAAAAATTGAAAAACCGATTTCTTGAAATAACGGGACACATTTCGTTGTTTTTTTGTGTTATAAAAATATTACTGAGGGTATTTGAAGGCGGAAAAAAAGAGGTTCAAATTGAAATTTTTAAAGAGCTTTTTTTGATATGAAATTTCGTGAATTTTCTATCCTTTTTTTATAATTTTTTTGTAGCTTTTTCGTTGAATTAACAAATAAAAATTTAAAAGATTACAGTTTTTCTTGAAGTAGGGTCCTAATATTCTCATTTTTTTAAGTAACAAAAAAATACTAGATAAGACTGAAGATTCACAAAATAAACTTTCATATAAGAAGAATTTTTCTCAAGTTCCGGAGAGCTCTTGAAATCCATAGAATTCTAATATTTTCATTCGAAAAAAATTCAAAAGGTTCAAATTTTCATGAAAAATTCTGAAAAGGTTGAAAAAACTGGTGGATATGTCCTATGAGTTCCTGAAATCACTATAATTCTAATATTTTCCTTTCTCTTTTTTCTTTTTTTGTGAAAAGAAGAAAATTGAGAGATTTTTTCAAAAGGATTGAAGATTCACGAGAAAAACTTCATGTAAAATGGTTTTTCAAGTTTTCGGAGTGCTCTTTAAATCAGTAGAATCCTAATTTTTTTGAATTTTTTTATTTTTTTAACTTAACGAAAGGCTACAAAAAATCTTCAAGAAAAAAATAGAAAATTCACGAAATTCCATACCAAAAAGCTCCTTTAAAGATTTAAATTGAATCTTTTTTTCCGCCTTCAAATACCCCCAGTAACAGTTCATAACAAAAACAGGAAAAAAAGTTTAAGTTCTAAAAAAAAATTCCCACGTTTAAAAGCCAGCCAGAACACGAAAAAGTGTGTAAAGGACTCGAATGTCTCAACAAAAAATGGCTGTAAAACAAAAAGTTTCGACAATATAAAAGAGAAAATCGTCGAGTTCTACGATTCCTGCATACAAAATCTGCGGAAAATGCAGGTTTCCTTGGTATTTTTGCTGATGGTTTCCTTGGTATTGGCTTGTGAATTGGATCCGACGATTAATCTCGGTGAGATTTTAAACTTTTTGAAAAATCAAATTACTCGGAAAAGTTTTAGTGGCCACTATAGGGCTTTAACGCTTTAGTGTCCACTATAGTAGTCAAATTAGTATCCACTTAAGGGGTTAAAATTTAGTGGGCACTATAGAGGTCTAAGAGCTACTCTCGACTACTTAGTGGCCACTTTAGGGATCAATGGGATCAACATAACTGGTCCAATCTGTTTGTTTTAAAGTTATCAGAGTTACTGGAAGGAATACTGTATGAAAAACTGCTGAAGTGGCCACTAAAACGGAAAATAGTGGCCACTATAGAGGTGGGTGTAGTGGCCACTTTAGTGTCCTTGGCGAGCCTCTATAGTGGCCCTGAAAATTTTCCCAGATGATCGAAATGGAATACCTTGGTAGTGGGAAAATTTTTAGTGGCCACTTTAGGGTTTTGAAGTTTAAGTGGTTACTATAGTGGTCAGCGTAGTGGCCCCTTAAGATTTAGATGCCACTACTCCCAGGAAACGGTGCGGAGCGCGAGCGAAAAAGTGGGCGTGGCTGAGGTAAAAAGCGCAATTTTGCCCTTGCGAAAAGCGAGCAAGAGGCTTGCGTTGCGCGAAAAAGGGGAAACATTTGAGTGCAAGGTTACGGTGCGTTCTACGTACGTGACCACGCAAAAGTAATACGGCCAAGCGTTTTATTTGACGTCTGTTCTCATTTCACTTTTTTCAATTCAATTTTTCTTTTGTTTTTTATTACGGTTCAAAGTACGTTAAACGTTGTTTCCTTGTTTGCGAGTAAGGGCGCAAAATACTCGCTTCTATAGAGTTTGTTTTAGTGACCACTTTAGTGTCCTCTCTAAACAGACCTTGAGGAGCTACTTAAGTGGCCACTAGAGTTTTCCCCAGCAAGTAGCGGTCGCGAAATGATTTTTGTCGAAGAAGAAGTTCAAAAATTAGCCAATAACTGGAACTTTTAACCTCTTTTTCATTAATTTTTGCTTTGCGAAGTTCATTTTGGCTTTTATTGTACCTTTTTATTAGAGAAAAATGATCCTTGTATAGCTTTTATAAGGAGCAATGTCTCAAAAATCAACTAATGGGAAGATTTTCTAATGAATGTGTCGTTCATATGTGTTCAAGAAAAGACATGATTTTTCTAAAATCTCGATTTAAGCTCTACCAATGGATTTCCACTGCGACACCGGCGGCCCACTGATAATCCAGAACGATAAGTACAAGATAACATTGACGGAGACTGGCGCCTTGACATCCGGAACGTGTCCTTGCAACGAGAATTCCGCGACTTTGTGTCCGAATGGTTGGCAAGGGTTCCTACGTGATGACAACTCCATGTGGTGCTCACAGGTTTGAGAAATGAATTTTGTCTTGTCTAAACTCTCCTCTCTCTCATCCCTTCCTATTTTCTCTTTTCTATCAAGAAAAAGAACGTCCGAGAGGTCCCTAGAGGGGTTAAGTCTTCATAGAAATAATCGAATAGAATGATTCCTAAAGGGGCTACTAACTGAGAGCCCTGGGGGGCGCTTAGACTCAAGAAAGCCAGAGTGGTCCCTATAGGGGTTAGAAGGCTTTAGTGATCACTATAGGGATGGTAAAGTGATCCGCAGAGGGCTCCTAATGTTGCCTCTCTAGGGACCACTCGGACGTCTCGCCTTCAGACTTAAGAACGTCAAAGAGGTCCCTAGAGGGTTAGGAATTCATAGAAATATCGACTAGCATGTTCCCTATAGGGGCTACTAACTAAGAACCGTGGGGGGGGGTTTCAAACTTAGAACCTCCAGAGAGGTCCCTAGAGGGGTTAGAAGTTTGTTGCGTGTCCCCTATAGGCGCCACTAACTGAAACCCCTAAAGGGCCCACGTTCGCAACCTTTAGTGGCTCCTATGGAAGCAGTTAAAGTGCTCCCTAGAGGGAAACCTTCCAAAGCAAAATGAAAAAAAGGGCAAAAAATGGTTCACCAAAATAAGGTCACTTTAGTGAAATTGGGCTCATTGGCGGGACAAATTTGCTCCCAAACTGTATATTTTCCAATTTCTGAGAAAATTTTTCTTGTTTTTCCCATACGCCTTCTAGGCTGAAAAAGAGGGGATCCTCCAAAATTTTTTTTTGGGACTTTAAAAACTTCTACAAGCTCCAGCTACTTTAAAAGCATGGAATTATAAATAAAAGAAGAGAAATTACAGATCCGACAAGGAGCTCTAAGTTGGGCTGAGGCGGAGGCAGACTGTGTTCGGGATGGGGCTCATTTGGCCGGATTCGAGAGTTCGGGCGAATATGCGGCTCTTCTAGGTCATTATCGACATAGTTTATTCATAAAAGCCTATCAGAATCATAGAAAAATTATATTTAACCTATATCAGCCTTTTTAAATTCACAAGGTAAGTATTTTAAGAGCAAAGTTTGAGTTAAAAGTCTCCAGAAATCGCTACAAACTACTATAAATTTAAAAAATCGTTATTCGAAGCTTTCTAAGCTTCATAACTCTAAAAAAAAGCTCCATTGTAATAATTTTTTTTCTCGTCCACAATCTGGCAGACCTAAAGTACACTACAGCCAAGTTTTAGGCAAAGTTAAATCACTTTGGAAGACTCTAGTGGCCACTTAAGAGGCGTCTCTTGGAGAAGACACTAAAGTGGCCACTATTTTGCGTTCTAGTGATCACAATAGTAGTTTTTGTGATTTATTGGGACTTCTAAAAAGTCACTAAACTTTACCCGCGGCCTTTCGACTACTATAGTGGCCACTAAAACGTAGACTTCTAAAAACAGGCCAATAATTTTTCGTCACTAAAGCGGCCACTAAAACGTCAAAACCCTAAAGTGGCCACTATAAACTTTCTCAGAAAAACAGTTCCCTTGAGAGAAAGCCTCATGAATGGACTATAATGACCAGCTTCAGAACTATCTTTCAACGTATCGCAGACGAGTGGGATTTGGCTTGGCGGGAAAAGAAAAGCAGCTTGTCAAACTCCGCAATATTCGTGCAGCATTGCCGCAGACAACGGAGCGGATGACACTTGCGGGATTCACAACGTAAGGCTTCAAATTTGAGGGCGAAAAATCAATAAATCTAATAGGCAAAGTCTTGAGGGTCTTATGAAGAGTTCTGACACAAAAAAGTCTCAAACGGCTCTCAGGAACCATTTTTCATAGTAGATTTTTCTAAAAAAACTCTTTAAAAGGGGGGTAAAATTTGTGGAAAAAAAGAAAAAAAAAGTGAAAATCATTTAAAAAACACCTTGTGCGTCAAGTTGAGTGTTTGCGTACCAAACACTATAATCGACGACAGTTTTCAAGATTTGGGCGCTTGTTCCGTCAGAAATAGGACCGAAAGGTCAATATTACCGATTTTTTTTTTTCTAATACTTTTGTGACAGGAGGACAGACTTGAGCGACTCAGGAGTAGTTCTGTGGCACAAAATCTATTTTAAACACTCTCAAAAAAATTTTTTTATCGTAATTTATTAGAAAAATCCTCACAGGAGGTCAAAATTCATAGGAAATGGGCAAAAATCCAAAAAAAAATTTTTAAAACCAATTTAAAAAAAAACACTTTGTGCGTCAAGTTGGCTGCTTGCGTACTAAACACTATAATCGACGGAAATTTTTTTGATTTATGCAGGATTTTGACGCGTTCTGTCAGAAATTAGACCGAGAAGTCAATAATAAAGATAGACTTGAGGGTCTCACAAGAAGTTCTGTGCCAAAAAAAAAACGATTTTAAAGACTCTCGAAAATGATTTTTAAGCTAAATTATGGGAAAAATTCTATCAGGAGGCAGAACGCGTAGAAAAAAGTCCAAAATCAAAAAAAAAATTTGAAAATCAATTTTAAAAAAACACTTTCTGCGTCAAGTTGGCTGTTTGCGTACCAAACACTATAATCGACGACAATTTTTTTAATTTTTGCAGGATTTGTCACTACTATTTTAACGACAAAAAAATCTATGAATATTTGCAGGTTTACGGATGGGAGAACAGCGTGGCGCGAGGCTCGGAAATGGGTTGGAAATGGGCCTTGAACTATCCGGCCTACACGAATTGCGATGATATTTGTCTCGTTTTGCGGCAACAGTACACCAATACGGAGTTACAAACTCTCTACGACGCTTTGATAGCCAATGGGAATTTAGAGTTGAGCGAAATTTTCCTAGTATGAAAGACGTCATGTTGCACCCGACCCAAAACGGTTTCCGCCAAATGGCCTCAAAAATCATTAGAACAGGCCGATTGATATAAAATCGGCTAACTAGGGCACTTTTTCACTTTTCTGTGTACTGATTCTAGAGCAAGGAAAATTTTCTCGCAAAAAATCTTTTTTTTTGATTTATGAAGCTCCAAAGCTCGAAAAACATGCAAATTACGACAAAAAAGCGGCTTTCCAAGTTTAAAACTACAAAACCAGGTCTTTTGCAAGAAATTTGCTCTTGTTCTGGCTCCAGAAGGTCCGAAAAAACTACGGAAAAATCGAAAATTCTATTTTTTACAGTCCTTCCGTGATTGTCAAGTTCTCGATCAACAACAGGATAATCAATCTACCGTGTGTTTTTTTTTATTTTCCTATGATTTAGTTGAGAAAAACTGACAGGGCCTTTGAAAAGGCAGAAGCTTGATCGATACAAGCAAAAAATATATATAACTGTTAGAAAGTCTATGAAAGTGTGAAAATTTAGTAAAAGCCTTTTAGAATCGATTTACACTCTGAAAACCGCGTAAAAAGATACTTTTCAAAAGTTCCGTGCTTTGGGAAGAACCATGCGCCTTTAAAGGAGCATTGGAGCTTTTCAAAAAAAAGTTTGCTCTTTTAAGCTCTTCACAAGGCTATTATAAGCTCGATATAACAGGTAGAAAGTCTATAAAAGTGAAGAAAAAATGAGTAAAACCACCTAAAATCAAGATAGGTCTCGAAAACCCTACAAAAAATTACTTTTCAAAAATTCAAAGCTTTGGGAAAAGCCATGCGCCTTTAAAGGAGCATGTGAACTTTCAAAAAAGAGTGTTGATCCTTTGAAATATTCACAAAGCTGAAAAAAGTCTACAGAAGTGAAGAAAAATGAGTGGAAGCCTTTTAGAATCAATTTACGCCTCGAAAACCGTACAAAAAGTTACTTTTTGAAAATTCAAAGTTTTGCGCCTTTAAAGGAGCATAGGAACTTTTCAAAAAAGAATTTTGCTTCTTTTATCTATTTAGAAAGCTACTATAAACTGAATATAACAGTTAGAAAGTCCATAAAAGTGATTAGAGTGAGAAAAAAGCCATTAAAAAACAAGGAAGAACCATGCGCCTTTAAAGGAGCATTGGAGCTTTTCGAAAAAAAGTTTGCTCTTTTAAACTATTCAGGATGCTGTTATAAGCTCAATAAACTGAAAAGAGCCTCTTAAAGTGATAAACAAAGACGTAAAGGCCTTCTAAAATCAAGGAACGTCTAAAATCATGAAAAAAAAAATTCAAAGCTCAGGATTCCACATTTTTTGCGCTTATTTTTCAAAAAAAAAACCTTCTTGATCCAAAAAAAAACTTTCAGATGCTCCCAACAAAACTCCGTTGGCCACTACGTCTGTGGAAAGAAGACCTGATCACAGAAACTTCACAAAAATCGGCTATTTTTAAAAGATTTGAAAATTTACGGTATAAAAATTTTCTCTGTTGAAGTGTTGCATGGAAAAAAATGAACGAAAAAGCTGAGTTTTGAGACTTTTTTTAAATTCTTAGTTCCCTTCAGGGTTCACTTCGAAACGAGAAAAATTCTAAAGTGGGCTCTAAAAACCTAAATTTCTGGATTCTTACAGATTTCAAGTATTCCATATGAAAATAAACTTCTTACAAAGTGTGATAAATAAAAAAAATTTTTAAACATATTTCTCAAGGTCAATTTCGCTCCAAAGGTAGCAAATTCATGCGTGAAACAGAACAAAAATCAAAAAATCACGAAAAATATTGAAAAAATCTTTTATTTATCAAAAATTCCACAAGAACGTACCAGTTTGGAATTAACGGACAAAGTAGAAAAAAATACATGACAACTTGACAAAGTAAGGAATTATGTACATGTACAAACTACACAGAGAAAAAAGTGACAAAAATTTGGCGATTTTTTCTTGAATTTGAACTAATTTTGTTGAAAAAAATTATGACTTAATGAAAATTGAAAGGCAAATTAGTAAGTTCATGAACGCAAAAATAAAAAAATAATAAATTTAAAGTCATGGGATGGGTTTTTTAAGGAAAGCAACAACGTAAGGAACAGCCTGATAACACAAAAAATGTCAATTTTTCATCCGTCACGAATTTTAAAATGTCTGACGTGCCTGCGCTCTCTTCTCTCTCACCGAAAAGGTCATAGAAACGTGAAAAAAGCATTCAAACTCGAGAGAGCGCAGAGAAATTAGTTATTCGTGACAAATGAGGTACAAAAAATATATAAAAATAAAAATAGGGTGAAAAACTAATTTCAACTAAAAATTTCAGTCGATTTCGCCACGGTAGCTCTCGATACCTCGTTGAAATCTTGTCAATTGATTCTGAAAATATTAAAATAGACTCGAAACTTTCGGTCGCACGAAGAATGGCTCGGTTGGCGCGACCGCAACGCTTTGAGCCATTCCAAATGCGGCTAGAAAGTTTCAAGCTGCGGAAACTTTACGAATTTCTTTAAAGAATAAAAACTTGATTTTGAAAAAATTTTGGCCTCGGAACGTTTTTGGGACGCTTATGTGTTACTCAGTGAACACTTCAGACACATTCAAATCCCTTAAGTGACCCCTAATTGGGTCAGAATTGTCTTGGAACCAAAAAAGTGATTATCCGATTTGAATAAAACCTACACTATCTATTGGTTCCAAGGAAGCCAAGGCCGATGGTTTCCAGCGATCACGGTATTTCTCTCCTTATCTCTAAACCCTCCTAAAACCTATACTATCCAGGACAGTATTTCAACATAAACTACGGTATACAGTACCCATTTTCCCTTCTCGCATCTCTAAACCCTCCTAAAACCTACACTTTCTACCGGTTGCAAAGAAGCCAAGGCCCATGAACCGGATCATTTAGCATGGATTACGGTATACAGTACCAAATTCCATATTATTTCTCTAAACCCTATTGAAACCTACAGTGTCCTATGAGTCAAAGGAAAACGAGGACGAAGTCAGACTTTTTGCACGGATTACGGTATACAGTACATATTTTCATCTTCAATCTCCAAACCCTCCTAAAAACCTACACTATCCACCGGCTCGAAGGAAGGCGAGGCCGACGAACCAGTTCATTTAGCATAAGTTACGGTATACAGTAAGCATTTCTCTCTCCTTATCTCTAAACCTTCCTAGAACCTACACTAACCACTGCGTCCAAGGAAAGCGAGGTCGATGAACCAGATCATTTATAACAGGTTACGGTATACAGTACCACATTTTCCTTTTTATCTTTAAACCCACCATCTCTAAACCCTCCAAAAAACCTACACTATCTACTGGGTCGAAGGAAGGCGAGGCCGATGTACCAAATCATTTAGCTCAGATTACGGCATACAGTACTAAAATTACCTTTTTATCCCTAAACCCTTCTAAAACTCACACTATCCACTGGTTCCAAGGAAGCCAAGGTCGATGAACAAGACCATTAAGCATGGATTACGGTATACAGTACCCCAATTCCCTTTTCATCTCTAAACCCTCCTAAAAACCTACACTACCAACTAGATCTTAGGAAGACAAAGATGATGAATCAGATTTTTTTTCTCAGTTTACGGTATACAGTACCCAATTTTTCCTTCCTATTTCTAATCCCTCATAAAACCTTACTATGTACTGTTTCAAGAAAGCCAAAGCCGATGGTTTCCAGCATGGAATACGGTATTTCTCTCCTTATCTCTAAACCCTCCTAAAAACCTACACTATCTACTGGGTCCCAGGAAGGCAAGGCCGAGGAGTCAGGCTTTCGGAATGGATTACGGTATACAGTACCACATTTCCCTTTTTATCTCTAATCCCTCCTAAAACCTACAGTATCCTATGAGTCAAAGAAAGTCGAGGATGAAGTCAGACTTTTTTCACGAATTACGGTATACAGTACCCGATTTCCCTTTCCATCTCTAAACCCTCCTAAAACCTACACTATCCACCGGGTCGAAGGAGGGCGAGGCCGACGAAGATCTTCTACACGATTTGGATGACGTCACTCCACCTCGACACCGTTGTCGGAGCTCCTCGGGGCGGAAACCGGCGCCGGTCCGTTGCTCCTGGCCATCCATCGTTGCCGACGCTGAACCAGGGGATCTCCTCATCACACCGCACTTCCAATCAGACGCAACCTGACGCTCAAAACTGATCTGGGTGAAGCACTCCGCCATGTACTCGGCCTAAAACGCTTCAATCAGTTTTTTTGATTTTTGATTAGTTATCATTCTCCACGATTTGGAACTGTCTGACCTATCTGCGCTCTCTTTTCTCTATAGATACAGTTTTTTTATGCTGATTCGAGCTCAAAAACTGCCGAAAAGATCCTCAAAATTGAAAAATACAGGATTTTCGTTTCAAGCAGATTTTCGCAATGGAAAGGACTCTTTTACTTGCAAACAAAAGCAAAAACTAAAAAAAGGACTTTTTCTATTTTTCCCGAATTTGTGAACTTTCTGGCGTTAGCAAATAGTTAATTTTGGGAAAAATATATTTATAGTCCAAACATGCTTTTTTTTTTGAATTTGAAACGTTCTCATACAAAAAAAAAATCGTTCTAAACAAATTTTCCGCCAAAAAGCTTCATTCGGTGTATGCACAATTTCATCCTACAGTATGCCTAATAGCGCACCCCCAGTGTCGCGTTTTTAACAGTTCTTATGATTGATAGGTGTTAACCGTCTAAAACTGCGAAATTCTGGAAACGCGAATTTTTCGACTTGCCGCCAGAAAAAAATTCATTCGGTGTATGCACAATTTCAACCTGCCGACTGAACGCGCAAAATTTCCAAAAATCATATCTTGACTCAAATTTTTTCCCAAAAAACGGATTTTCCTGTTTTTTTGTGACCACAGGGGCTAGCTTTACCTAAATGAGCTTTTTTTTTCAACTTAAAAAGTCCATAACTTGATTCGCAGAAACTCTCGGAGTTTCTGGTTCAGAAATTCGGAATCAGAGCAAAAAACTGTATCTAGTACTATCCGAAAATGAAGTTTCTGAGAGAAAAGAGGGCGCAGACACGTCAGAAAACTCCAAAACGCGGCAAATGAGTCATATTTTCAGCGTTTTCTACCGTCACGTACGAAATTGGTCAACAATTTAATCGTTTTTGGCGGTTTTCCTTCCTCTTCTCGTCGATAGTCGAACGAAAAGGCATTTCCTTCCTCGCAAACTCGAAAATCGGCGATCAATGACCAATCCAGGCGTATACAAAGGTCCTAAAATCGATTTTTCAGAACTTCAGGCAAGAAAAATGAGTAGTTTTTGTGATTTTCAGCGTTTTCACGCAGTCAGCTTAGGAGCAACAGAGTGGGCTCTATAGGGGCGACTTTAGTGGCCTTTAAAAGTTTCCTATAAGGGCCACTAAAGCTGCAAAAAAAAACCCCTATAGCATCCTAGTGATCTTTACACTTCTTTTAAACTTTTAAATCAGAAAAAAATAATTAGAAGACCCCTATAGGGACTACTCTGATGCTCCTAAGCTTAAGATTCAGAGACTTACGTTTCAGAGGCTTGAAGGTCAGACTCTGAACCCCCTAAAGATCACACCTGGATTTTAGCCCTTTAGGGGGCACTTTTTGATCCCTAACACCTATAGGGACCACTCTGGCTCTCCTAAGGAACTGCCAAAAATAATTTTTTTTTCTTTTTTCAAATATCTGGGAAAATTTTTAGTGACAGCTATAGAGGCTCGCCGAGGACACTAAACTGGCCACTGAAGCCCCCATTTGACCTCTATAGTGGCCACTAAAACGTCAAAACCCTATAGTGGCAACTAAAAACGTTCCCAGATCTGATCAAAAAATCGATATACCTCCGTGTTGGGATGTGGCTTCAGAACCAGTGATTCAAATCCAACAACCATCACAATTTCGCCGGGTTTTCCGGGCTGTTGAGCCGGCGGAAAAGACACTTCGCTGTACCCTTCGAGCCTTCGGGCCATTTCCAGAAACTGGAAAAGAAATACTATTTCTTCTGAGCTTAAAAAACGGCCTAAAATGGATAAAAACCAAGAAAATCGATCCGAAAAAATATGTCACATACAATTTTTTGCCGTTTCAGTAATTTTTCAAATATTTTTTCTATCTTCATTTCTCAGTGCAACGGCGATGACAAATATTCAGAAAAAAATTAAAAAAAGTTGTCACTTTTATGAAACGATTCGAAGAAAAAAAGTCCTAAGAATCTTCGTCAATAGTAATTCTCGTAAAAATATTAATAAAAAGCTAAAAATCGAAAATTCAGGAAGATTACCCATGGAGCGCTGTTGTGCTTCTAGACTATTTTTTTCGATATAATATCGTTTTCCCTTTTCAAAAATCAATAGAAACAAAGTGGAAATTTCAATAAAGGTAATCGACATGTATCAAAAATTCTTTAAAAAATCAAGAAAAATCACTTTTAAAAAAATGACAGACCGTAAGCTCCATTATTTCTCAAACCCCCCAGATTATTTGGTAAACTTTGAAAAAGATTCAATGCTTCCGGTTTCATTAGATTTAATGACCGTAAATCCCCATTTTCTTAAAAATCCCCCTGTCCAGAAAAAATTTTTTTGGTCAACTTTGAAAAAAATGATTCAATGTTTCCGGTTTCATTATTTTATAGACCGTGAATTCCTACCTCCTAGATATTCCCCCCACCCCCCTCAAAAATATCTATATTTTTTTCAAATTTGAGAAGGATATAATAATTCCGGTTTTATTACGGACCATGAATTTCCCTGTTTTCTCAAAAATCCATCCTCACATTATCCACGTTGTTCTCGCTCTGCATGGCCTTCAACTGATAGGCCTTATGATGAGATTTGACTCTTCCCTGAAGTAATTTCTTTTAAAATTGATGCTTTTTAAAAGTACCGAATTCAGGTCAGCCGTGGCTTGAATGAAGCAAAATTGTCTGAAAACGAGATCTTTCTGGCATAAGCTCCGTTCTCTGGAATATTTTGGGATGACTTTGGGGTCTTGGAAAGGTTGGGACAACCTTTCCACGTCGAAGAGCCACTTTTTTATCAACAGACAAGAGGAGGAGGCCGATGAATAATTCTGGGTGTAGAGGCCGTGGATACTCTCCGCGTCCATCACTTTCCGCTCTGAAAGAGAGAATTTGATTGAGCTGACATGAGTCATCGAAAAATGGGTCCTGACACGATAAGAAAAGAGACAGTGCTGGTGGAGCCCTATAGGGACCCCTTTTTCGACCCCTACATGGACCACTTGAGCTTTAGGGGCTGAGGGATCAGACCCTAAACCCCTAGAGGGACCAACTTGATTTTACCCCTATAGGGACCCCTTTTTCGATTCCTAGAGGGCTATTTTTTCCTCCTAACCCCTATAGGGACCACTCTAACATTCCTAAGAATGATTAATTTTTTATAACTTATTCACGACTGTTTGAGTCATCGAAAAAAGATTCTGACCCGATAAGGAAAGAGATAGTGCCTGGCTGGTGGAGAGCGCAGACAAGCCACGCCCCTTACGTTAGCCGTGAATCAACTATATTCATTTGAGACGAATCCTAGCCGATTTTCTTTCATAAAAGTGATTCAAGGCAAACTACAGTTTCTTTTCAGATTTCGCAATTCATGCAGTTAACTCCGCCTCTCCCTGGCTACGGTACCTTTCGCTTCGATTAACAACCTCGCGCGAGGATCCTTCAATAACGCTAGGTTTTTGAAAATCTAGAAAGAAAGCCAAAAAAATGCGGCTCCGTTAAAGGATCACCGTCGCGCAAAAGCGAAAGATACTGTAGCTTTTTTGATCAAAGAACTTTTGAAAAATTTTAAAAAAGAAGCTTTATTAAAGGATTATCGTTACGCGGGATAAAACTCGAGGAAAAATCTACCGTAAAACATCTTTCGAGGGTCTCGAAGCAAAAGTTGGTAATTTGAAAAATTATAATACAGTGGCGAATGATGGTACGAAAAAATCTCAAGTCCGCAAATCTTGAAGACCGTAATCTTGTGTACGCAGATCTCAAGGCCCATAATCTTGGAGACCAAACTCTTGGAAACCACTTCCGTCTAAGTTATTGTACTTTTCCTACTAATATTCCAAGGTAGGAAGGAATTTCGGGTCCACGAATATTCGTAAGCGTTAATTGTGCATGCGCCAATCTTGGGGGCTCGGATCTACGAATCAAAAAAGTTAATATTTTAGATTTGAAAAGCCGCATTTATGCACATTTCAACAGATTTTTATTTATGCGATTACTCTTACGTGTAAATGTTTTGTGTATTTTTTCATATTTTAAGCAGATTTTATCTCTGATTTTCTTTTCTTGGATCTTAATGCAACCAATGAAGGGCTATTTTTGAAATTTCGATAGTTTTTCCCTCAATGAGTCAATTTTTCCCAAGTTTCTGAACTATGCAACTTTTAAACTACGAGAAATAAAAAGGAAAACCAGACAGATATCAAGTTTGGTAGGAGAAAATCCAGTAGGCTGTAGATACAAAAATGAAAAAGCCTGCAAAAAAAGTATGAGCTTTATTGGATAGATTTTGTCACAATTTGTATGTTGAGAACGAAACCAGAGAATATAAGAAGAAATAAGTGCAAAAAATAAGACGAAAAAGATATACTTTTGATTTCCAAAATTACGCTCCTCAAGATTTGCGGACTTGAGATTTTGTCGTACCATCTGGCAATTATTTTGAAATTAAAAAAAGACGGGGAAAAACTTTTGAGCGGTTTTCGGTGTGAATTCATTAATTTTTTTTGACAGGGCTGAAAGAAAAAGAGGGCGGCATAGCTCAGCTGGCATAACTCATTTCTAACGTCCGCAAGGTCGTAGGTTCGAGTCCCCCCGAGGTCGACCAAGCCTTTCATCCCTCCGGGGTAGATAAAATTGGGAGCTGCATGCAGCGAAAAGGCTCAATCTCTGCCATCGGCCTTTGGAAAGCCGGCACCATACTTCTTCCTACGACCTCTCTTGTACCTGATGTTCTACGAGCGAAATTCACACCTTCTCTGCCTAAGCCACAGCTCCTGCCGCCGTTCAAACACAGTTATAATCAATGAAAGTCGATTGCACATGTATTCTTACATTGAAGATGCAATAAACAAAACAAAAAAAAAACAGAAAGAAATCCTATGAGATGGAAAAATGGAAATAATATAATGATTGGAAAGGCGCAGTTTTTATTCAACATTTTCTCATATCCTCTCCATATTTAACCTAATGATGTTGCAGTAAATTCAAATATCCATTTTTTCACGAAAACTTTCGCATTTTTTCAATTTTTCCCCTTTTCTGAAAACCTTACCGAAACCGCTATCGAGAAGCTCGAAAATGGCACAGGCGGCCGAGGCTTCGCGCGTCATTTGCAGTCTTCTTTGGGCCATGGAGAAGAATAAGGAAGTCGAGACGCTTCTTCGGGTTCTCACTGACAAAGGGGCGCCGTCGGGGAGCAAAACTCGGATTTCGACGTCGGACATCGGGTCGCACTCCATCAGGAACTCCTTTAAAGGGAAATACTGCGACTTTGAAGTGTTTTGAAGCCTCAATCTGATAACTAAAAGAGCTAAGAGTCGAGTTATTGGGTCAAACTATATCAGAAACCCCTTTTAAAGGAAATTTTTTTGAGCTTTCAGTTGATCTAGATTAAAAATTTATTGATTAAAAAAAGCTAAAAAAATTATGGTTATTTGGTCAAAAAAAATCCTCAGGAACACTTTTAATGAATAAAATTGCTTTTTTTGTCCATTTTAAAGCCTCAATTTGATAACTAAAAAAAGCTAAAAAAATCGAGTTTTTAGAAATAATCCATCAGGAACTCCTTTAATAGCCAAAAATGTTCCGTTTGAAGTGGATATAGAGCCTCAATTTGGCGGCAAAAGGAGCTAAAAAAATGGAACTGTTGGGTCACAGCCATCAGAAATAACTTCAAGATAGAATAATGCACTTTTGAACTGTTTAAAAAGTCTCAATTTGGCAACTTAAAAAAAGTTAAAAAAATCGAGTTTTAGCTCAGACTCCATCAGGAACTCTTCAGGGTAAATATTATTTTTTTTAAAAAAATAGTTTTTTTCTGATCGAACCAAGTCGAAATCAAATTATTTTCCCAGAATCTATCAGGAGCTCCTTCAATGAATAAACGAGCTAAAAAAATCGATTAACTTGGTCAGACTTCATCAGGAACTCATTTAATAAACAAAATATCATTTTCAAACTGTTTCAGAGTCTCAATTCGATCACTAACATAGTTAAAATATAGTTATTTAGTCAAACTCGAGCGGAAACGGCATGTTCTAAAACACGAGCGGTTGTGGGGCACGAGCGGCACGACCGTTACTAAATCACGAGCGGTTTCATTTTCGCTCCTTCGCGAACGCTTCTAAATCACGAGCGTTTTTGGCTTATCGTTCTGTTCGAGCGTTTCTAAACCGCGAGCGTTTCATTTTAATCATTTTCTTTATTACCATCCAAGTGTGTTTTTTTCATATTTCTACCTTCTTTTTCTCCTTGAATAAAAATTTTGACGATCTTATATGCACATTTTTTCGCTCAATTTGTTGATTGATTCACATTTGAGGTTCATATAATGGATTTTTTCTAAGTTTTTTTGCGGTCTCTATAATTTCACAGATTCTGCGTATGGCAAATTTTTTTTCTAATAATTTCATCTGATTTTTCATATTCAATATTTCACAGATTTTGCGTATGATAAACTAATATTTCACAGATGTCTCGCATGAAAGTCAATATTTCTCAGATTTTGCTTATGACAAATTAAAAAATATGAACTTTTTCTCTGATTCTCATCTGTGTTTTCTTGCAAAAAAAAATCTAGCTAGTATAGTCATTTTATAAGCGCTGTTTGGGCGGAATTATAATACGAAATTATAAAACTTAGTAACAGGCCGCTTGCTGCATTTTCTGGAACAACGGGAGCTTGCTGCATTTTCTGGAAAAAATCCATTATATGAACCTCAAATGTGAATCAATCAACAAATTGAGCGAAAAAATGTGCATATAAGATCGTCAAAATTTTTATTCAAGGAGAAAAAGAAGGTAGAAATATGAAAAAAAAAACACACTTGGATGGTAATAAAGAAAATGATTAAAATGAAACGCTCGCGGTTTAGAAACGCTCGTGATTTAGAAGCGTTCGCGAAGGAGCGAAAATGAAACCGCTCGTGATTTAGTAACGGTCGTGCCGCTCGTGCCCCACAACCGCTCGTGTTTTTAGAACATGCCAGCGGAAACTTATTAAACGGAAATTATCGAATTTAAAGTCGATCTGAAACCTTAATTTGATGTGTGAAAATTTAAAAAAATAGTTATTTTTGGTCTTCAAGAGCTCCTTTAAAAAATACAGTTTTTTTGGTTAATCTAGTACTCAAAGTTGATGATTAAAAAGGCTGAAAATCGAGTTTTTGAGTCAAAATTCCTTAAAAACTCCGCAGAAAAATATTTTTACGAGCCAAGTTGGAATCAAATTTTATTCTCAGAACCTATCAGGAGCTTCTTTAATGAGCAAATCTTGTTAAAACTGTTTTAAAACCTCAATTTCACGACTAAAGGCGCTAAAAATCGAGTTTTCGGGTCACACTCCAATAGGAACTCCTTTAAAGGGAAATACTGCACCTTTGAAGTGTTTTAAAGCGTCACTTTAATGACTAAAAGAGCTAAGAATCGAGTTATCGGTTCGTAATATTTCAAGAACTCCTTTGAAGGAAACTTTTAAGCTTGTAGTTGACCTAGAGTTCAAATTTATTGATTGAAAGAGCTAAAAATCGATTTTTGGGTCACACTCCATCAGAAACCTGCATAATGGGAAAATTTTGAGTTTAAAGCGATCTAGAATCTTGATTCAATGACCGAAAGAGCTGAAAATTGTGTCAAATTCCACCAAAATTCAAGAAAGAGGCTGAAAAACAACATTTTTTGGTGATGAAAACTTGATTTGGACACAAAATTCCATTCAAAGAAGCTCAAAATGACTCAAAATACAACCTAAAATAGCTGAAAATCCTTTTTTTCCCTATTTTCAATTTGAATATCATGGGAAAAAAATTCTTCGAAAATTATTATTTAGTGAGAATTTTTTGATTAAAAAGAATTCAATGTTTTCCAAAAAAAAACCTAATTTTAATTAATTTTTACCAGGAAAAAGTCGCTTAATTTTTGCTTATTGTACTGCAAAACTTCTAATTCAAATTCTTCAAATCACTTAAAATCCCTCAAAAATCGATTTTTTTACCTGCATGATATCCGAATCGGCGATGACTCTAACGGAGCAAACTCGCTCCAAATATTGTTCCAAGCCCCTGGAAAAATTCCAGATATATATTTTCATTCCATTTTCCAAGAAGCACCGTCTCCGGGAGTCTAACTGCTGTTCGCTCAGATGAAAGGGCCATTTTCCGGGTAATTTCGGGAAGACGAAGTCGATGAACTCCTTTTTGAGGGCCGAATGAAGGTCGACGAATTCCGAGTACCTTCTCGAGCCGAGATGTCTGCCCGCCATGTGCAAATCGTACACCTAAATACTCGAATATTCTGAGGAGTTCCAGAGAGGTCCCTATAGGGGTTAGGAGGGACAACAACTCCTACAGAGGCCGGGAAATTCCAGAGTGGTCCCTTAAAGGGTTAGGAAGGGAAATAGCTCCTATAAGGGCCGAAAAAGTGGTCCCCATAGGAGTAAAATTAAGTTGATCCCTATAAGGGTTTATGGTCTGATCCCTTAGCCCTTTAAGCTCAAGTGGACCCTAGAGGGGTCTCTCAAATTCATTCAAAAAAACTCTTTTTTATTCAATTTTCCCCATGGAAATGCTTCTTCTTCATAACAATTATCGACTAGCATGTGCCCTATAGAGACCACTTTTGCATGCTTTTAGCAGCCCCTATAGGGGTTGGTAAAGTGATTTCTAGAGGGGACCCTCCAAGGGCTCCTAAGATTACCCCTATAGGAACCACTCTTGAATATTTTATTTCACTTGGATATAGAGAAACATGAAATGGAATTAAAGAAACACTGTTTTTGCATAAATTAATTTTTAGTGGTCTCTTTTTGTCCCTTCAAAGAGAGTTTTTTTCAATTTACTGTTTCGGAAATATTATATAAAGTTGAAAAAAACGCCTTCTTTTTCACTAAAGGGATAATTAAAGAAATACGAAAAAGAATTTTTCGAAATTTTTCCCAAAAATCTCAAAAATCAAGAAACCGGTTTACATTGGAAACGGAAAAAAATGCTTGATTTTGACTCAAAAAAATATTTTTTTTCTAGCTGAAAAAAATCATATAATTTTTTTATAACTACCATTTTTTTCGTAAGATCACTGATTTTAAAATTTTTTTCCAGCTTAGCCTTCAAAAATTTCCCGGTTAATGATATCAAACCATGGATAAATACGTTTCATACGACTTCTAAATATGAATTAGGAAAAATTCAGAGCTGGAAAGCTGATGATGCATTCCGAAAAATCGCGAAGAAAAAAATGAGGTTGACTGAAAAAGCTACAAATTCAAAAAAAGGACAAAAAAATACTGGAATAAAATCCTATTTACAGTCATTTTTTTTTTTGAAATTTCACCGCTCTTTCTGATTTTTTCTCAAAAAAAAGCAGATTTGAAATTTTTCGAAAATATTTTTTAAAAGAGCATAGATAAGAAACTGATAAAGGTCTCAAGGGGAAAAATTTTTTTTTTCCTTATTATTAAAGGAGCATGGATAAGAATATGATAAAGGTCTTAAGGGGAAAATTTTTTCATTATCATTAAAGGAGCATGTGTAAGAACATGATAAAGGTCTCGAGGGGAAAATTTTTTTTAATCGTTAAAGGAGCATGGATGAAGAATTTGATAAAGGTCTCGAGAGGAAAATTTTTTTTTAATCGTCATAAAAGACATTTGAACCTGTAAAAACCTCAAAAAGCATTTCTGGACGATAAAAACGATAGTTTTATTGAGAAAAATGTTCTAAATCCAGAAAATATTGAACAAAACCGAAACTCACCACATATCTCTCAATGCTATCATTGATATTGTGATAAGAAGGTATCGTGACAGGTAAAGATCGGCTTTCGGAATAATCGTATCGATAGGAAGACACGCTGCTTTCCTCTCCAATTTCATATCTGAATTTTGAAAAAATCATCTTTTTCTGGCTTTTTAAAATGTTTCTTTTTTTGGTTTGAAATATTTTTCTTCAGTGTTTTTGTAAATCCTAAGCCGTGAGTTAAGTGAATTTGAACCTAATTTTACTGATAAATCTCGAAAATGAAGCAGGAAAGTAACTTAAAAGGTATTTTTAGTATTGCGAAAAAAATTCGAACTTTTTTCCATAAATTTTGAGGTTTTATCGATATTTTAAAACAAGACAGTAAAAAAATCTTTTTTTCGGTTTGAAATAGTTTCTTCTTTTTTTGTAAATCCTAACGCGTGAATTGAGTGAATGTGAACCTAATTTTTAGTAAAACCTGAAAAAAATGAAGCGGGAAAAGTAACTTTAGAAGCGCTTTTTGTACTTCAAAGTAAAATAACTTTTTTTCATGGATTTTAGGATTTGTCATGATTTTTAAAACACGAAATCCACTGAGAAAAAAATCCCTAGATCCAAAAAAATAACTATGAAAAATTATTTTTCAATCAAAAAAAGGCTTCAAAAATGATGATTATTTATAGCTGAATTTGGAAATAATAAAAATGAAAAATGATTGAAACAAAACTTCAAAAGAGTGATTTTTTTCCTGAATTTCTATAAAACTACGACCTTTAAAAAAATCAATAAAAATCAACGAAAAATAAATGACAATTCACAAAAAAATCAATAAAAAAATCTAAGAAAAATCATCAAAAAAATCAATAAAAAAACAATAAAAACTTACAAAAATTCAATAAAAAAATCTACGTCACCAAAAACTCGATAAAACCTACAAAAATTCGATAAAAAAATTTACTTTTTTTCAAATTTTTTTAATTCACAAAATTCAACAAAAAGGAAATTCTACCGATCAACTTCATATTCCTGCATGGAGATGGCGATCATGGTCAGCTGATCGCCGCCATTTTTGATCAATTCGACGACTTGCCGATGGGTCGCCCCTTCCACGTTTTCGCCGTTTCTGGAAATGTTCATAAATTTCTGAAATATCATTTAATTTAGTTGTCGATCTACCATTCGTGTCATTAAAGGTGACAAAAGCTCCTTTTTTTGCTGCCTTTTTGCGGCATTTTATCGGCCCTTATGCACCATTTCTGCTACCTTTTCCTTTTCCACCATTTCTTGAGCCTTTAAAATTCCAGAAAAATGGGAGGCTTGATAAAGGGACCCTTTTTGCAGCCTTTTTGCAGCCTTTTTGCTGCCTTTTTGCGGCCTTTTTTGAGCCTTTCCCTTTTAGCGGCCATTATCAACCCTTCCGGATTTGCCCGAATACTATGACCCGTTTCGAAGTTAATTTTTCGAAAATTCTGGCCATTATTTCTTTCTAAAGCTCATTTTTTTCTGATTTTTTGGCAATAAATGCTCTCAAATCTCAATTAACTCCATTTCGCCTTCATGATACTTGATTTCGGATCAAATTAAAAATGATTGACATGAAATTTATTGACAAAAACATAAATTCTTCTTTTTTTGAGACGCCAATAATTAGTTTTTAATTTTCAAACTAACCACAATCGAGAATTCTACACATTTTGCACACTCAAACAATTTAGAACTAAAAAAACTTAGGAATTTTCAAAAAAATGGCCACTCACAAAAAAACGACAGAACCGAGTATTTCTTATTTTTTTACAAAAAAAGTCCAAAAAACTGCAAGGAAATGCTATTCTTGAAATTTTTTTTCAGCGGAAGTAGCTCTAATAAACCAAATTTTTGATCTTGATCTTTCACTTCTCCCAGATTCTCTATTTTATACTTCTATTCGATGGAAAAAATTTTCACTCGGAAATTTTAAGAAAATTTTGCTTCCGTAAAACTCTGATGAATATAGCTGATTCACGGCTGGCTTGAGCCATCGAGAAAAGGGTCCTGCCACGAAAAGCGACGAGACAGTGCCCTGGTTGGTGGCGAGTGCAGACAGGCCATGCATTTTGCGTCCCAAGCTAGCCGTGCATCGTCTATACCCCTTTTACGACGCCCGCCCATATTTTTCTGTAAAGCTCCGTGTGTCGTGTGCATGCACTGCGCCGCTTTCGCGCAGAAAATAGCTTTTATGTAGAAAAATTTCGATTCGTCTCAAAGACCTCTGGCGATACAGCGGCCTGCGCCTTTAATAAGCCATATTATTTACGCTTTTAGAGCCGAAATCTCTGCCGTTCCCATTATTGTTGTTCTAGAGTTTTTCTACAGTACTTAAATTGTGAATATTTGCTTATCGTAAGATGTTATATAATAAAGAAATGCTATCGGATCTTTCGCACTATACAACACTTACACTTGTAAAAGGCGGTCGCCTTTCCGAAGGCCGGCTTTTTCAGCCGCGCCGCCGGGCAACACGGCGCTGACGTGTTGCAGCGGGGCGTACAATTCTCCATTTATGCTCCGGAGTTGGCCGCCTTCGCTCACTTGGCCCTTGACATTGAAACCGAATCCCGTGTGGGATTTGATTATTTTCACGACGTGGGGCTTCGGATTGAACACCAGGCCGACTTGGCGGCCGTTCTCGTAGTTTCCACCTGGAAAACTTTGATTTTGTTGGAAAAATAACAAAGAAAGATGGAAAATCTGTTCTTTTTTGAAGACGCAGTGGTATTTTAGTAAACAGTTAACATTAAAAAATGGCTCTTCTTATTGAGATTTTTGCGAAATTAGTCAAAGTTAAAATTCCCATAAACCTCAAAGACACTGTCCAAGTTCATTCTAGAAAATAAATTTTTATATGAGAAAAAACGTTTTCCTAAGATTTTTAAATGCGCAAAAGCCTTACGTGACCTAAAATATAACTAAAAACGCCTCAATGATTGGAGAATTTTCGGAAAAACTTCGAAAAACTGAAGCAAATTTTTATATCTGACTACATTCAAGGATCAAATGTGGAAAAAAAAAATTAACTTTCACACAAACATTCAGAAATTGAACTGATTGAAGGTTTTCTAAAAGCTTCTTAGAATTTGCTTATTAAGATATGATTCACAAACTTTTACGCAATGAAAAAAAAAACTAGAAAAGTAAGTAAATTGACGAAAACCGGCTTTATCAAATCAACACGTCAGCGTGACTCGGCGTCATTTTTTCAAAGTTACTTTTAAGAAAATCCCTATATTGAACCCCCTTTTTAACACTCAGTATTGCTTTTGTGTATTTTTTCCTAATTCTGAGTTGACTTTTCCATATTTTTCAAAACTTTAACAAGATAAACGCCAAAATTGACCATTAGAAGATTCCTTAGAACTGGAATTTTTGATTTAGGAAATTTTACGTCTTTTTAAGTACCGATTTAGTGTAATTTACCCTATGCTAAAGTGATTTTTCAACAATTTTTCCAAAAATTTAAGCAAAATATACACAAAAATTGACCATGAAAGGATCCCTAAGAACAAGAATTATGATTTAGGAAATTATTGAATTTTTGAATCCTCTTTGTAAGTACTTCTTTGTGCCCTTTTTGACTAATTTCAAGGTAATTTTTACAACTTTTTAAAGTTTTAACAAGATCAAAATCAATATTAATCATTGCAAGATCCCTAAAAACTGGAAATTTCTTTTTTTTTTCAAAATTCGACCAAGATAAACGCCCAAGTACAGCTTTTTCGTGTAATTTTCACGAATTCAAGGTGATTTTTCCATCTTTTTCCACAGTTTAATGAAGAAATGAGTTGAAATTGACCATGAAAGTATCCCTCGGAACTGGAAGTGGGATCCGAGACGCTGGGACAGCGATTCTGTTGAGGATCCTGCTGTATAAATCCATCGCCGCTCGAGTTTGAGTCGTCCGACTCGTAGTCGTAGCCGCGCATCATTTTATAGTATTGTTTCTTTCAATAAATAAGTCAGCAGGACCCTAGAAATCAACAAAAAATTTGTTTTAGAACAGAAAAAGATCGATAAAACATCAAATAGACGAGAAGTGTGAGTCATTGAAACAGGAAAAAACAACAAAAAAATAAAATTATGTTGAGAAAAAATAGAAAATCTTGAGAAATCGGTACCATTTTATAACAGAAAAAGAGGAAATGAAGGAAAAAACTGTTTCGTAACGTTGAAAAGTTCAAAACTATGCCTTAAAAATGATATTGAGCTTCTAAAAATGTTGCGAAAAAGTGCATGAAGCTTTTTTTTTTCCTTATCAGGTAAAAGGACCATTTATCGGCCTTTTGTTCTCTTTTTCGTACTTTATTCGATTTTCAACACGTTTTTTTATCTTCAAAACTTTTATTTTTTTATCCAACTCTTGATTTGTGACAAAATTTAGAAATTTAAAAACAGTTAAGCATTATTGATATTTTTATTTTATGAATTTTTTTACTTCAATTTGAAACTCCTTAAAATTCTATGACAAAACAGTTCAAATGCGCAGAAAAAATTTCGTTTCGAATAGGAAAAAACAATTATTTTTAAGTGGCTACAAATTCAATAAGTTTCCAATTTTCACTTCGCATTTTTCCTTTTCAACTATTTTGCAAAAAGTATCCAACTCAAAATTTTAAAACAGTCATTTTTATGAAACTACCCGTGAAAAAGAAACAATTGAAGCAGCGAAATATCCCACGATGAACAGAAAAAAAAACCCAGAAAACTAGTTGTTTATCGGGTTGGATATTTGCCAGATTTGGTGAAAAAGTGTGGCGCAAGTCGCCGAAAATAAATGGCCACTGTGTCGAAAGTTTTTTTCCGTGAAAAGTATGGGTTGGATAATGGAAAATAAGATGAAAGGCAGCAAAAGCACTTTAGGATCCAAAAAAAACATGAAGTATTTCTCTTCACATCATTTTTATGATGCAAACGCTTTTATCTCGCCTAAGTGCTCGTAATTCTTAACAGCTGATAAAAAGGGCAAAAAAAAAATCCGCTCTTATGACTTTAAAAAGTGAAGAAAAATATGTGACTCACATTTTGGTCTAGACTATTTTTTTATTTATTTTAAAAAAATTTTTGCTGAATGTAATATTTCTTTATTCATAATGGCCACGATGAGCTGTTTCTGATAAACAAAAAGAAGATAAACATACAAACAAAAACTTGAAAAGATAAGAGAAAAAGTTTGCGAAATGGTGGCGGTGGACTCGACAGGCAAAGTTGATCGTAAGTTTCGATGTTTGCGTAGATGACATCATAGCTGACGACATTATAACCAAATCTGGGTCGTTTCCCATTTTTCTATTCACTTTTCCACAATTTTTTTTAATTAAGTTTTCATGTTTTCTAATATTTTTTTAAAAAACTATATTCAATCCTGAACGCATTTTCTTGAGTTATTTGAAAATTTGCTCTGGAAATCGCTGAAAATGTGTTGAGGAAATGAGGCACTTTTTCCACATTTTTCCTTCACGCGATATTTGTTTACTTTTATTTTTTCTGATGCTTTGTTGCGTTTTGAGAGAGAATAATTGAGTTTTGCCATTTTTTTTTTGTTGAAATGCTTCGAAACAATATACTTTTTGAGGAATTTAGTCTAGTTTAGTTTCACGCCGTAATCAGGAACTCGAAAAGTTTCGATGATTCATAGGAAAACTTCAAAGCTTTCTTGATTATTTGCTTGCTATAAAAATAACATATAGAACGAAAAATTTCTGTTTGCATATTTTTTTTCCTAATCGTTTGAAGACCTTTTTCGAATATTGTTTCAAGTAAGCCATGGATGAACTTTGCTCTGTTTTCTTATTCAAAGAGCGAGGTTTTTCCGACAATTATTTCCAAGCACGACCTTCGAAATCACCAAGTAAACAAGAAGATTTATGAAAGGGAAAGAAAATGAACGCGGAACCGCCTGAGAAACACGAAGAATTGGGGCTTCTGCCGTTGGAAATGGACGGCGAGAGGCAGGACGCAGAGCCGCGAGACTCTTGAGCCGCCGAGTCAATGAAGAAGCTGTCTCTAGAGGAGGCTAGAAGTGCTCCAGGCGTTTTTAGGGCACTGCAGCCAGGGACGCAGATTCCTCCCAAATTGCCACTCACACACACTCTCGTTTGGAGTTCCCTTTTTCTCACTTGGATCTCTATTAGATATAACTTCTTGATTTATAGGCCATTTCACGCTAGTAACGTTTTTTTCTGCAAAAGGAAACGGATAAACCTCGCTCTGGGACTTTTTTGAAGCGTCCCGAAAAAAGTTTGATTCCGTTAGCTTTAAATATTCTGTAATTCGACCGTTTCGCGCGGAATTTACTGAATCCCAATAAGGAAGTTTCTAGAAACTTGAACGAAAAGTTTGAAGTTTCAATTCAATTCAATTTGTTTATTTTTTCGCAACATCGGGATGGTATGGTGATGTTGCAGGGAGGGAAAAAGACCACTAGGTGGATTAACTAACCCCACCTGTTTCGAAGCTTTTCATTTTCCGCGCTTTTTAAACTGCGATGAGTGCTGTTAACATCATTTAAAGTTTATTTTTCAGGTTTTCTTGGAATTTTTACCCTTCCAAAGCTATTCTCTATGTTTTGAAAGACGTGAAGCGATAAAAAATTCTTTTGTCAATTTTTCCATCAAATATTCACTACGTATACGTCAGTTTCGTGAATTATGGTGTCTTCTGTGTAAACACACCGGAACGCATTATCGCATACTTCAAACTTTTTATTTTAAATTTTGGAATTTTTGAGCTAATGAAATCAACTCTATTTGAAGAAAATGATGTTGAAAAAAACCTTGGAAAATTCTAAAAAGCTGTGTGAACATCCTTTTCTTCGCGCGTTCGTCAAAAAATTTTCTCTTTCCTATCCCAAATTTCGTTTCGATACCCTTTTTTTAAAAATTACCGTCTTTCTAACAAATTTTCGTATTTTACTAAATCAAATCATAAAAAAGGCTTTCAGAGCTTCGAAAAATGCCCGAAAGCGTCGCTGAAAGACGTAGAAAGGTTAGATACTGCTTCAAATGTTCCCTAGAAAAGGGAATTTTTCTTAAGATTCTGGTCGGCGAACTGCCCCCGGATTTTCTTCGTTTGGCTGTACCTGCCCCAACGGCGGCCGGTCCTGTACCTGTTTCCGTCGTTGATCCGGCAACTGCCGCTGAATTGGAACAGCAGCATCAGCAGTACGCGGCTGCTGTTCAGCAGGTGAGGAAAATAGGACGAGAAAAGGGCAAAAAGTACCTTGAAAGGATCACAGTGTTCCAAAAGAGACGGCGGCAAGCCAAAAAAAAGGTCGTCGCAATGGGGCGAAAACGCGAGTTTTTTCTAACGCAACGCGGTGCGGCGCGTATCACCCTTACAAAATTTCATTTATTTTTGATACGGTTTTTTCTCCTTTTCTACCATTCTTTTGTATTTTTTCACGTTGTATGTGTTCTTAAAACGTGTTTATCGCGTTATTCAGAGATTTGAAGAAATTTTCGATTGTTTTCGTCACAGAAATTTGCATTAAAAGGACATTTTTTTGATGACAACTTATTTCGCATAAGATATTTCTTTTTTTGTTTTATAAATTTCAAATAAACTTTCTTGAGAGAAACGCTTTGAGATTTTTTTTCTCCAAATCGAGGCAGTATTTGACGAATTTATTCTTGAAAATGTCATTTTGGGTGACAACTTTATTCGTACAAGCTATTATGTATCTGTTTTTTTGTTTTAAAACGTTCAAGTGGTATTTCTTAAGAGAAGTGCTGTGAGCTTTTTTTCTCCATTTTCCCTTTGAAGTCTCGATTTGACGAGTTTTCCTAAAAACGACATTTTGGGAGATATTTTGTTTTGCAAAAACTTTTTCGTCTCTTTCTTCATTTAAATGTGTTCGTTATAATTTAATACATATTAAAAAAATCTTTGAAAAACTTGCGAGAACCTAGGAAAAAACATCATTTGATGGTCTTTTTTTCCAACCACTAAATCCACAAAACTTGACTCTCATCCCCGCGCCCCTATTGCAATAAACCGTGCCGCTGTTGCAGTCAGCCAAGCCTACTGACCACAGCTGCCGCTCGTTTGGGAACACTGTGAAGGAGCTTTTGTTTTCAAGTGACCACCCTATGACTTTTTATGGAAAATATTCCGATCTTTTTTGTTGAAAGCCGAAGAAAGGAGTTTATAGGTCATTCCGCGCCAGCTTGTCACGATTTTAAATTTCAAACAATCTTTTTGATTTTCTTTTTACAAACTCAGCACAGAGTCTGAGTGTGTATAGTTAAGGCGAAAAATGAAATCAATCCATTAAAAACAGCCTCGTAACTTAATAAAAGAGAAAGATAAAATCTAAGGAATATCTTTTATCAGAAATAATATTTTATTAAAGGCGCACGCAAGGGAGAACACCGAGAGCATCGAAGCGAAGCGCCGAAATGGGTTCTCTAGCTCCGAGGAAATTTAAAATCGTGACAAGCTGGCGCGAAATGACCTATAGAACATTTTTCGGAACATTTTTTATTTTTTTGAGGCTTTTTGGAATGTCTATTGGAGTTTGCTCTTGGAAATCTCTTTAAAAAACTTTTTCGAAGCCAAGAAATTCGTAAATCCTAGTAGATATCTTTAACTTATTTAGAAATTAGCGCAGTCCAAGAATCCTTTCGAATGATAAAAGCAAAGAGAAGTCTTATTTTTTTACTCCTCTTTAACAAAATAATATTTTTTACAGTTTTCTAGACCTTCTTTTTGAAAATTCGTCGATCTTTTTTTTTTATTTTCAGTGATTTTTTTGAATTGAATAGTCATTTTACAGCAACTCTACGGATTCGTGCCGCCAAACACCCGCGGACGACTATCCGTGACGATCCAAGAGGCCAATTTGGTCAAGAACTACGGCCTCGTCCGCATGGACCCTTATTGCAGGTTACTTTTCATTTTTCATTCCATAAAATTGTTCCGAAAGTCCTTTTATTTCTTCTTTATAATGATTTAGATGAGTTTCTTGTCCTTTTTGCATTTGTAGAACCCTATTTGATTTTTTTCAAATGAAATAATTCAGTTTGAACTTTTTTTAAAAAAATTTCTGATTTTATTTCTGTCGTCTTATTTGATAATTCTATGAAATTAATTCATTCTCAAATTTTTGGTTTTTTTAAAATTATTGCCATGTTCAGGATTATTCTGAATGCCCCCAAGTAGGTAAAAATTATTTTTCTAACGGGTCTCGAAGCGATCTGAAAGGAGACCGCGTTCTTGATCGGACATGAGGGGGACTAAGGAGTTTTTTTCCCTTTTCTGTTCAACTAATTATAAGTTCAAAGCTTGAATATGTTTCTCACTCGAAAAAAATTGAATGTTTTTTTAAGAGTTCGGGTCGGGAACGCGGTCTTCGAAACGAACACAGTTCTGAGTGGCGGCAGGCAGCCGGCCTGGAACCGCACCGTTCATGCATATCTGCCCAACAACGTCGAGAGTATCTACATCCAGATTTTCGATGAGGTTAATGTTTCTCCCCAAATATAAAAAGCTTGAAAAGAAGAACAAACTGCTGTCAAATGATGATTATATCTACTTCAATATGTAATTTTTTGAGATTTCAGAAAATTTTTCCGAATTTCAGTTCTTTCTTTCGATTTTTGTTCATAATGCTAATCAAAAACTTGTTAAGAAGAATAATTTCAGAGAAATTACACTTTATAGCATATCCCCCTGCCCCGCCTCGATTTTTTTCATCGATATCATTTTAAAAATTAAGAACTTCCTTTTTGTAAATTTATGAGGTTTAGAAGAACCAGCTTCCGACTTTTAATCCACATTTTCCTTAGTCAGCTTCAAATCCTCCCAAAGTTGAAAATAATTCAGAGAAAAATCTTGTTTCTAGTTTGATTTTTTTAACAAAAAGCCTCCTTTAAATGCTACTTTTTTTCAATAATTAATATTTTAAATATTCTCATTTTTTTCCCTGACTCTAAACAAAATTTCATTTATTCCATGTTCAAAATGCTTAGAAACGCCAGAGTGGTCCCTATATGGTTTAGAGCTTTACCCCAAAAGCTCAAGTGGTCTCTGTAGGAATTTTCTAAATTTCTTTCTTCTTTAAAAGTTAAATACGTATATAGGGATCACTAGCGTGCTCCCCTGGAGTGGCCTCTTTTGCAAGCTTTTTTGCCACCCTACTTAGGAATTTCATAGTCCCTAAAGGGGTTACGGGGGCAATCTCTACGAACCTCTATAGAGGCCCCTATACTTCTAAAGTGGTCCCTATAAGCGTAAAACTAAGTGGCCTCTCAAGTGGCTTAGAATCTGACCCCTTAGCCCCTAAAGCTCAAGTGGACCCTATAGGTCTCACAAGTTTATTCAAAAAACGCTAATTTATCCAGTTTTCTCCCATGGAGATGCTTCTTCGCTTAAAGTTCAAAACATTTATCGACTAGCATTTTCCCTATAGGGACCACTTTTACAAGCTTGAGTGACCTCTATAGGGGCTGGTAATGTGGTCCCTAAGGTTGCCCCTCTAGACACCACTCGGCGTTTTGGGGAATTTTGCGGAACTCAAAAAAAACGTCACAGATTAAAAAAATAACGTGATTTGAGAGAGTCAGAGATAATATTGAATAACTTCGTTTTTGAAAATAAATATAATTTTTTTTTTCCAGAGAGCCTTCAGCGCCGACGAATGTATCGCCTGGGCGCATATCATGCTCCCTCAAACAATTTTCAACGGAGAATCCGTTGATGACTATTTCCACCTCAGTGGCCAACAGGTGATTCTGAACTCTTCCATTTCTGTGGCTTTTCGAACTGAAAAACAAAAAAAATCCCTAATTTCAAGCCAAAACCGTGAGAAAACGACTTTTTTACAGTTATTTCGCGCAACTTTTTTCAAAAAACTTCTTGAATTTTCTCTCAAAATGCACCTCAATTCGGCTTCGTTGTTCCGGAAGGCCGCCTTGGCTGTTATCTTTTTTTTCGGCGTTTCAACCGGAATCGGCCGTTTTTCCGGCGTTTCCTCGGCCATTGTCGGCTCTTTCCACTTGAGACGCGATATCGCAAACTGAAAAAAATCATTATTTTTCTACTTTTTTTATTCTTTTTCAACTTGGAAAAATTAATTTCTATACACTTGAATGTTTCAGTAAAATGAAATTTTTTTAAAGAAAAATTTCATTTTAGCGGTTCTTGTGAAGAAATTTCGATAAAAAAATATGGATTTTTGAAGTTTTAAAAACTTTCATTCCGTTACTCTCTACCTCTCTCCTTTTTTTTCTTGTACCATTTCATTTCTCTAATCTGTTTCTATCTTTCTCTGCGAATTGTTACAAGAAAAGTTGGTTTTTTAGGGTGAAGGCAAAGAAGGAATGGTGCACTTGGTTCTGGCTTTCGCCCCCGTCGAAAATCCGGCAGCAAATATTCAGAATGTCGATCCGGCAAGCGTTCCGCCGCCTCCGCAGCGTGAGTTTGGGGAAATTTCGGAATAATTTTTGAAAAAAATGATTTGAAAATGAGAAATTTTCCCTTTTTTGCAAGGACTTTTTGGGTTAAGGCCTGGATTTTTTGTTCTTTTTTGGGTTGGGGATTGAAAGACTGGACTTAGGGAGAGGGAAAAGGACGTTAAAATGTTTCGGAAAAAAAATATAGTGGCTGAGAAAGAAATCCTGTGAAAATTAGCTGCGAAAAACAGATTTCAAAACATTTTGAAAAAAAAAACCAGGAAGAAAATTTCGTAAAATGGCCCACAATGGTTTCTTGGAAAATTATAGTAAAATATCACACTGCAGAATTGTTTTTTCAATCCCCCAATAGTACAACTAACCGGAGATTATCACATTTCGAGTTTTTTAAAGGGTTTTTGAGTTTTCATTTTGGATCGAGAACCTCTGAATATGGAAAATTCAAAAATTCATTTTTTTTTTTTTACAATTTTAGCCAGGATTATGTTAATTAAAGCTTTATGGATTTTTGGAAAATAATTGTGCGGCGGTTTAAAGGAGCATGAACGACATTTCATGAAGGTCTCGAAGCGAAGAGCCGTTTTTAAGTTGTATTTTGGGGTTTTTGTTTTACAGCAAAGGTTTTTTTGAGCTGGATAAATTAAGGAAAAGATAGTTTTTGATGGAAAATTGAGATAAAGATGCTTTGAAATTTGAAAAAAAAAACCCCCATTTTGAAGCTTTTTTTAAAATGAATTTGAATATTGAGCCTTTTCATGATGCGAACGGAATCTATTTAGATTTTTCCATTGAAATTATTTTATTTTGTTTTGAAAGAAAGAAAAAAGAAAGAAAAATGTGAAGCAGGTGAAAATTCCAAACGGAAAAGCTGATTTCAGCTGTCGAGATAACTGACGAAGACACGAAAGAAATCGTGGCAATGTTCCCGGAAATCGACAAGGAAGTCATTCGTTGCGTTCTCGAGGAACGGCGAGGTAAAAAATCATAAAATCATCAAAATTTCCAGAGAAAACATGAAAAATTTGATTTTCAGGCGATAAAGATGCAACGGTCAGCGCCCTCCTTGAAATGACCCAATCGAAATAATCAGAAATCTTTTTTTTACTCGAGTTGTACATATATTTCTCTTTTTTTCAACGATAACCCATTTATTTATTCATTTCCCTGAAAAAGTGATCTGTACCATTATCAGTGTAACTATCCTTTTCCCGAGCTGGTTCCCTGAGAAACATTCTTTAATGTTTACTTTTTTGAATAAAAAGAATCCAAAACTCAGAGTTGATCATACCCTTCAGTAATGCAAGGAAAATCGATTCGAAGCTCAAATTTCGAATTTCGAAACAAAAGAAAAAGGGCAAGGGTATAAGGAGCCAGCTGGAAATGGCATATGGTTGATATTCTGTTCAAAAATTCTTGATAGAGAATCTTCCAAGGTGGAGAACGCACAGTTTAGTGAATTTCGCTTCAGGACCCATTTTCAACATTTTTCAAACCTTTTACGCTATTTCCAGCTGATACGTCGCTTTGGTAAATCAATAATCAACGTCGATTCATAGCAAAACGATGATTTTTCTCATGGCGTTTTTTTTTTCAATACAAGTCTAGACCTTACGTAAATTATGATGCTTAGGGTGTAAGCACACCGAGACGCACTATCGCATACTCCAAATTTTTTTCAATTGTTTCTGAAATTTTCGGATCTTGTCAGTTTGAAAAATATGATGTGAAAGAAACACTCACTTACGTTATAAAAAAATATTCAGGAACGATTTTGAAAGAGGAAAATTCTAAATTACTGATTACAAAATGTATAGGTAGATTTCCTCCCATCGACTAAGCATTCATAATTATGAAACAATTAATAGATAGAAAGCAGAAATTATAAAAAACCTTTTTTAATGTTAGAAAAACATCAAAAAAAAAACTAGAAAAATGATGTAATTCAGAATATTTATAGTATAAAAATTTTCAAACTGCCTCAGCAAATTCAATTAGGTCCAGTCTGCGCGGATTATCATCTAAAAAAAGGACAAAAAGATAGAAAACCGCGGGGAAAAAGATTACAAAAAAATTAAAAAAATTTAGACTTTAAAAAATATTTTAGTGCTTCCACTATCACTACCTTTTGCGTGGCTGGGAAAATTTTAGTTGCCACTATAGAGGGTCTCTATTTAGTGGCCACTTCAGTAGTTTTTCATCCAGTAACTCTGATAATTTTAAAACAAACAGATTGGACCAGTTATGTTGATCCATTGACCCCTAAAGTGGCCACTAAGATTTTTAGTGGTTCAGTAGTAGCACCTAGACCTCTATAGTGGCCACTAATTTGACTACTATAGTGGCCACTAAAACGTCAAACCCTATAGTGACCACTTTCTCAGGGATTTCGTCAAAATAAAAATTTCATTCTCTGCAAAAAAAACGTGAACCCCGTGGCAAGTTTTCATTTTCTTAATATCGAAAAAATTAACACGTGGCATCAAGTCATTTCTTCTTCTAGTTTTTATTCCTTCATTTATTTTTCTTCAAATATCCATCTCGCTTCTGCCTTCAAAGTCAAGATAAGTTTTGAACCTCTAAAAAACTTCTAAAGCTTTCCAAAATAAGTTTCTGACTTGTAAGCGCTAGTAGATTAGGCCCGCGGGACTCCCGGAGTGCCGATCCTTTTCGCTTGCGAATCGGATACGCAAAGTCAAGCTGAAGCCCATTCCGGTGGCGGAAGCAGAAACTGTTGGCAGCGCGATGCTGACAAAGCGATGATGGGACCCCCGCGGAAAATGCCGTGGCCTTCGGCGACTATAGTCCTATAGGATTCTTAGTTCTGACAAGGCCGCGCGGAGCAGCGCACCGCCTAGGTAGTTCTTATGACCGCAAAAAGCTTCCCTAACTTACTTTGACCTTACATAGCTAGTCAGTAAAACATTGTAATAATAATAATGCAATCGAGTTGCTTTTTTCAATCTTGAAATTATTGCAGAAAGCTTCCAACGAACTTTTCCTCAGTCCATGGAGAACCGACGACAGTCTCAAATAAAGCAGTTTGATATCTAAAAAATCTTTTTAAATTACTTTTTTTCTTCAGAAAGAACGTCTTACGATTTAAAATTGGAAAATGAGAAGTGCAAGAAAAGAAAAATTGCGGACTTCTACTGGAACGTAAGGTTTGGAAGTTTTTGATTTCAAAAAATTTTATGGGAAATGAGACGAATCGATTTCTCATTTTGAAAAAAAAACGCAATTTTTCTGCTTTTTTTTAAAGCACATGCTGTGTTGAAAGTAATTCCGCGAAATTCAAAATAGCCGCCAGAGAGTGAAAAATATAACTGAATTTCAGAAATTCAGAGATGGTTTTGAATTTGGCGAAAATTACTTTGAACATCACCATACCATCCCGATGTTGCGAAAACAAAATGATTGAATTGAAAAAAAAACACGTCATGTGCGAGAGCGCCGCAGTGCACACGACGCACTATATTTTACGGAAAAGAATTTTTATAAAAATCGTCATAAAAAAACGGGATCGCGATAAATATTCAATTATGATTCACGGCCGCAAACACTCTTGGTGCGGAAAACATAATTTAAATATACGAGCAGCTATTTTTAGTTCAATTTTTGTATTTATAGCTGAATCACGGCTCGCTTGAGCCAGAAAAAAAAAGGTCCTGAGACGATAAGAAAAGAGACAGTGTCTGGTTGGTGGAGAGCGCAGACAGGCCATGCCTTTTTCCGTCCCAAGCTAGCCATGAATCAGCTATATATCCTCTTTTTCCGCTTTTGAAAGTCTTTTATCTTTAAAAATTCAGTTAATCGCGATGCAAGAAGTCCGCCTTCTTCAACCAAATTCACGACGACTTTTTTGAGCGAGAGGCGGACAATAATCGATCAACTGCAAGGCCGAATAGACAATACCAGGTACCAGCCCAATGCTCTTAAAAGCAGCTGAGGGTTTTTTTGTTCTGTGTTGAGTTGCAAGGAGAAAAAGAAAAAACAATATTTCACAAAAATTGTTTTTTTCTAGTACAAAGGACGCAATTATCGTTTATACCGTGTTCAAAGTGATTCCGCGAAATTAGAAATGATCTCTGGCTCTCCATAATTTTTGGGAAAAACTTTAGTGGCCACTACAGGTTTTTGACCAGTGCGTCTGGACTCAGCGTTTAAAGAAAAGTATCTGAAGTGAAAAGAATAGCTCAGAGAACGTCAAGAAATCAAAAATAAATCACGGTGTTCCCAAACGGGTGGGGAAATGTCAAAAAAAAAATTTGGCGCGAAATTTGAAGTCTACAGTACATGAGCAGAGTCCTCCGACAGTCCAAGGCGTTCGAACAAACAAGTTATTAACGTTTGATACTCAGTGCATTTTATCCGTAGCGCGCACTAAATTTTTTTTGTAAATTCAGAAAGTTTGACGCCTCGCCACCCCGTTTGAGAACGCCGTGAAATATGAAAAAAAAAAGAAGGTAAAGCCGTGTTTAAAGTAATTAACACGAAATTCAATTTCATTTTTTCTTTGACTCTTCAAAATGAAGTTCTTTTTCACTGTCTGACCGCTATTTTGAACTTCGCGGGATCACTTCGAAAAGAGCATAAAAAACTCCCAAAGAGAAGAAAAAAAAAAACTGGACAATGGTAACGCGAAACGGACGTGACCTAGTGACAACTTTAGTAGCGTCAGCACTCTTAATTGATCGCTAGAATTGCTCAGAAACGTCTGGAGCACGTCCGTTTTGCGTTACCAATTTCCGAGAAGATGAAAAAAATCGATGGTAGGACGAAAAATTTGATCCGCAAAAATACGTCGCGTGAAAATTGCGACCACATAACTTATGAGCCACGAAAATTTTAAGCCTTCAAAATTTTTTTT